CCTAGTGACATCTGGTTGTCGACCTTCTTTCAATATATCATCGAAAGCCTCCGCCACTGCCTTTCCAGTTTTGGAGTGTAGCGGTCTAACCCAGGCAAAGCGAGACATAATGTCAATCGCAACCAGGATATACTTTATCCCGTCATTCTGCGATGATATATTAGAGACATCCATAAGATCTGCATCCCATTGTTCGTCAATATGCGAGACATATACTTTGTTACGAGCGAATCGTTTCTTATAAGGTCTCTGCAGACTATAGGATTCTTGATTGTCCAACCATTTCTTTATCTGATAACGAGACAGCTGATATTTTCCGTCGTTCAGCACAGTCCTATAGAGTTTCTCGGGCCCGGCAAATGCTCCAGAATGCTGACTGTCATAGTATAGTTTCTTCAAATAGTCTCGATATGCCATCTTATACCATAAATATCTAACTCGCGAATGATGATCTCTTTTGAAATCGTTAATATTTATCACTCACTGTCCGATTCAACAACCTCGTTTTCAGATTCAACAGCCTCGTTTTCAGATTCACTCTCTTCTTCTTCGGAGCTACTTTCCTCCTGGTCTGTGTCATCGAGGAAGAGCTCGTTAAATTTGTGATTGTTTTTAAAAAGTGTGATTCTAATGGCACGATTTCTAGAAACACTTCTTCTTATCATATTGTCTATAGTGTCTACAACATATTTGTGGAATGCATCTCGATATCTAAGTATGTAGGGTCATCCAACTCATCGCGTATACCTTTCACAAATTCTATATTTGTGATGTTTTTCATTTCTTCGTACACTGATTGCCACTGACCATAGCACCAAATGATTCTTCTAGGAGATGGGTTTATAAGATGTTGAGCATTCCTAATAAGATGTCTAACCATCCATGTTTTGCCCGATGACGTCGGCCCCGCTGAAAGTAGAGAATATAAACTATAAATTTATGATTATTGGTGTCAGTCTATTATTTTCTCAATGATAATGTATCATAAATATACCTGCTATCATTGTAAATGGATGCTGCAATATCAAACTCGAGTCACCTAAGTTATCAATACTATTATGGTATTTTCTAGTATGAGGATTATCCCGTCTGGTAAAGCTCATTTTACATTCAGAACAATGAGACATATTGCCTCTTGAAACAAACTTTTCGAAATAAAGTAAATTAAGAAGTAGATTAGGTTGAAAGTATCTATTTTATTAAATGCAATCTGATTGGCTAACAATTTAGAAGTTTGGGTACTCCAAGGAGGATAATGAATCGAATCATTTGGAGAGGAAAGGGAGGATAAGGGGAGTTGGGAGGGGGGTGGAGGTCGGGAGGGAGGAATTAGGGAGGACTAAGAGGTAGATAAGGAGGAATGTGGGTTGAGGGTTGGAGAGGATATGAGTTGATTAGATAGACAATAAACATCATACTTACCTTTTTATTTTGTAATGACCATGAGCCAAGGTTGTGATACCATCATCGAGTACGTATCTCTTGTCGTCGTAGGGATTCAGACTGATTTTGTTGATGCCTATCATGAAGATTTCGTGTTTGATTGACCGAAACTGTTTCATGCTAGACATCATTAGCTGATTGTTCAACACTGCGCCCCTATAGTCATTGTGTGTGATAGTGTTTTTCACGACACATTTAGACACACCTTTTGCCGTTTTCTTGGCTTCGCCATCGACTAACAATGAGTACATCTTGGGCTTCAGTCCTACAAATTCAGATGGGGGTACACCAGCCGTTTCATCCTTAAACTTGCCGATCACTTTCTTGTTGCACATGGAATGCAAATGGTGGTCTTTAGGGAAATCGGATGTATCATATAAATGTAGGTCCTTACTCATGTCATCATAAATGTCTCCTGTTTGGATGTGGTAACACAAACTAAAAATATAAATAATATAAAATAATGAAAAATAGTCTCGTTAAGATTTCACTAATTAAATTGCTTGATTTCAACAATTTTGAAGATATTCAAATCAATACAATACCTGTCAGTATCTGTGAAAAGAAGCCTGGCATTGGATCCATATTTGGGCACAATATGAGCATAATGGAACTCGTACATCAATGTCTTGCTTATGTCTAGTATGGAGAACCCACAATATATTGGACGATTGAGGTATAATTTCGTCTTCCTCAACTCTACTGCCGCCAAGTCTTCTGTGAAAATGCTGAATGCATGAAATGATGGTTTACATGCCAACTTCAACATTCTTAATTCCTTGTGGACAAGCTGGATATCACGGCGTTTCCTCAGGTTTTCCATCGTTTTGCCGAAGACACTACAATCAAAAGCAACATATCATATCATATTTGTTATAAGGTTCGAAAGAGTATATTTAACGATGTTGTCTACACTTTAACACATGAATATTAGTAATGACATCCTTCAATTGAATTGCTTACCTATTGTTCATGAGCTTAAAGAAGTCCTTCTCAAATGCACTCTTAGCCATCTTCCTTCTGTTGGTATTCAAATCAATATAAGGTTTAAGCCATCTTGATTGATAAAAGGTCATCACACGATGCATCTTGGTAACTTTAAGCCCATATTTTAAGTATTGCTGTAGGTTCCTATAATGTAGGACGTACTTCGTATATCCTTCATCTGCATCCTCGGCAATATGGTTGATATCTAATGATTCTACTTCCCTATCATCAAGCCATCGGAATCCATGTGTTGGTAGTGGATTGCTCATTGCCCATCCATATAAGTTATTAGCATCTAGATATGAAATGTATGAAGTAGGTTGCGTAGGATCATAACTCGGGAGATGTGGATTATTGGCATTAGCGTAACGATGTGAGATCATAGATATGCCACCCCTTAAGCCTGATTCTATGAAAAGGTGCATATCTGGATCAGTTAGTAATTCCAATCTAACACCTGTATACTTCAGAGCAGCAGACCAAGACAACCCCGGGGCTGTGTAAAAATGAGCTGCATCTAATGAATACATCTCCATTGAAAGTCTCCTGAAGCTTTCAAATATATCAGTCAACAGAAGGACATCTGTTTTGAGATAGAGATTGTGGTAATCTTCAAATGTTTTCATCTTAAAGGTATTCCACACATTTTGTGCATGTTCATAATCCGCATCACATAATTGTTCTTCTGTTAAATCATTGTAAAATTCGTTTTGAGATGGTAGTTCGAGTTGATCAAATTTCTGGGTGCTGTCAAACCATGAATAAGGAAATACGCCTTTCCTAAGAAGCAAATCACTTTCGTTTGTATCATGATATTCAGACATCATATGTTGAAACTTTTCTTTGCCTTCTATTAGCAGATTACTGGTCAGTTTCTCTAGAGATGTGCCTAAGAACTGAAACGAGTCTATGAAGTCCATAGATCCCATTGAGAATGAAATGTATTGTTCCATATTCGTTGGAATCACCTTCAGTTTCCCATGCTGATAAAGGCCTATAGACTGCATGATGAGATGGGCATCATAATTCTGTAAATAGGAAATGGGGCTCGAGTTAAGATTGGAACATGTATTAAATTATACATGACTAGTTGATGCTATGATACTTAGATATCTGTGTTAAAATAGTGTATTAATATCAAAATACCATGTATAGCAAAATATATGCAACATTATTTTTAAATTCTCATGTATACCTTAAGATTGTGGAACACAACAGGGATTTTGCCTCTGAATTGGAAATTTACATTGCACGCATTGTGGGCTGCACCTCGGAATAAACCTATAAATAGATTTAAAAATATATATTCTGTTTGAGATCATATGGTGAATTATTAAATAGAAGCATTGATACTGTTATTATACATTTCAAAAACATCATTATTTTATAATTTGCTGGTTTACCTGTTACATGATCGTGGTCCCTCACTCTATCATCGCCCATGGGCTTCTCACAAATGTGACAGTTTACAGCCTTGTTGAAGACATCCCAATCTTCAGGTTGCATATTTAGTGGTTTTTGTTCATGTTTGTACCATAGATCCACCCTGTCTTGCACCTTTACCATGTGCTGGATGAAGGTGTCTGTAACATTGTCACCACTATAGACAACTGTTGATTTGGTTAATTCTTCAGTAGGTCCAACAACCTTATAGGCAAACCCCGATGGTGTGTGTTGAGTCATCTTTTGAGTATTGGAATGGCTGGGATCTGGCTGGCAGCCTTGTACCTTTTCAGTTGCTGCTTCAAAGTCAGCATACACTATCCATGGCACTTTTAGTTGTTTGCTGACATCTTTATAATGTAGCCATTTGTCCTCTTCCTTTGGCATCTCTATTTTCTGAGGACCATATAGCTTACAATTTCCGATATGTTGCTCCAATAAATCTGCTCTCTTAAACCCATGAAGGCAATAGTCACAGAAATGACGTTTCCCATTGTGTGCTGTTGTGTGGCTTAATAAACGACTCATGTCCTTAATCCAACAATAATGTGATGCTCTCTGATTGGAGACAAGAAGAAGATTCACGTGTTGATCTCGTTTTTTATCAGAGATATGTAATGGAAATACCTCGTTATCAAATCCGAAAACATTGATTGAAATATCATTGTTTTGTTCAAAACGTCCAATATCTGTCAACTTCACAGGGTATCCTATGCCCTCCATATTGAGGGAAGACTCGTATTTTTTATATTTTGCAACCCTATCAGAATGCTTTTTAGTGGGATATAGAGCCGATAGAACTGCCCAGACAAAACATCGCTTGTCTTTGTTTCTCACATTTATTACAGCTTTTTTATTCCTCAGCTTAGATGGAGTCGGTATGTAACTAGATCCTCTGATAGGTTTCCACTTGACCATATGAATGGTTATGCTGATGACATGATCTAATATCCAGGCACTTCCTTCGCGTTGGTATTTGATAAAGGAATCATAGATTTTTTTAACTGTTTCCTGCCAAGCCTCATTTAGATCAACAGACTTCATTGCAATGTGACATCTCCCCCTAAAGTGTGGTCGTGCAATTTCTGTTTCTTCTTTTTTATCTTTCTTAAATTGTACATTTATACTACAGTACCATTTGATACCCCCTTTCTTTTTCATTTGTTTGAGAAGAACACCTTTCACTTTTGCTTCTCTCTCTTTGAATAATCGTAATGGATCAAATTTTGATAATCCTTGTGCCTTTAATGTTACTTTTTTCAGAGATCCATTTAATGCATTCTCATCTTCAAAATCACAATCTCCCTCATCAGAGTCAGTGGATGACATTGCTTCGGGTTCAATATTGGCCAATTGTGGATCAGTATCTGAAGATGGTTGACCTTGAGATCGTACATGTTCCTCTTGACTCATTGATGATGTTTGTTTAGATTGATCATTTGATAAATCCTGGGTATTAACTGTAAAACCTGTTGTTTGATCAGGAGCAGATGGTGTAGAACTACCAGGGCCATATCCCATCTGTACTGGATGCCATCTCTGGTGAGCCATTAGTTTATCCTTTCTATAAAATGCTTCACTACATTGACTGCATTTATAACTTGGAGCTTCATGGAGTCGTTCGTGTCGTTTCAATGTATCTTTTCGTTTAAATATCTCCCCACAGTGACACTGATGTGTGTTTGATTGGAATTGATGCTCCACACGTTTATGTCTAGTTAAACTTTTGGCGTGTTTGAACTGTTTCCCACAATGACAATCGTATGTTGTGTGTATAGCCGGCATGATTAGAGTGTATTTTATATAGATTATTCTAGTTTGCCTTTTGATAAATCCAATTGTCCGCTGTTGAGAGCTTCAAATGTAGCTGGTTCCGACTTTAAGTTAGAATGAAAATCTTGTTGCTGAAGTTATTTTTATAGGTCCTTCTCTGCTACTCCTAAATGTGTTCAATCAAGGTTGTTTAGTACCACAGACTGAAAACTTCATTAAGATGTTAACTAGATGAAGACAAAGGTATTATGATCACAATGACACTATATTAGTCTTAAAGCTGGAAAAAATTGTTTTTTCATATCTAAATGTTAATATAATTCCTAGGTTCACTTAATTGTAGACTCTTTTTGAAAGGTCGTAACAATTATATAACAAAAAGGTATTGTTTTATATCAAATTTGATATGCTTATTTTGAAAAAATATTTGCTTCTTTAATAAATATTAATTATTAATTGTAAGCTTAATTTTACTATTGATAGTGATGTTAAAATAAAGAATGTATGGATTTTGGTACTTGCTTTTGAAACAACAGTGTGGTTAAACAAATGTATCAGCATAGTGGAATATAGGAGGTCCTTGTTCTAAATAACACTCTGAAATAACTCACATTTAGACATTTACAAGTATATCATGAGAGCAGATAGATTAAACATGAGCGATTTAAATTTAAAATATAAAATCATGAAATAATCAAGTATTTTATTACTTTCTCTTAAACCATATGTGTTAAATTGATACTTACCATGTTGTGGTATGTTCATAAACATTCTGGCATCATCACATAAATAATCCATTTCAAATATAAAACTATGTTTGAAAGAGGATAATATTGGAAAATACAATCCATCTTAGCGGATGTAGACTAGATCAATATTTCGTAAATGCTGAGGTTACTGTATTAGTATATTATAAAGTGTACATGTAATAAACATTCATGATCGATAGATAAGTGAATTAAGTATTAACGGTCGAAGCCTTCAGGCTTGTGTTTGAACAACATATCAGCAGCTGATCGTCTGACTCACGTGGAGGTTTGAGTCACGTGTCTTTACTTAACGTATTACTACTACAATTTACACGGTTATTGTCAGTTGGTAGCAGTGGCCTAATGGATAACGCGTCTGGCTGTTGAGCGGAAGGTTGCGAGTTCGAGCCTGGCAATGGTCTCATTATGTTTCTTTGGTTTTTTATAAAGTTAAAGGGTTTTGTTGCATGATGGGCACCACCCCATTGGTTTGTACAGGCGAGCACCACCCCATAGAGTTATACAGGCTGGCACCACCCCATTGATTTATACAGGCGAGCACCACCCCATAGAGTTATACAGGCTGGCACCACCCCATTGATTTGTACAGGCGAGCACCACCCCATAGAGTTATACAGGCTGGCACCACCCCATTGATTTGTACAGGCGAGCACCACCCCATAGAGTTATACAGGCCATACAGGCACCACCCCATAGACCTCTATAGGATGAGAAGGTACCGCCTCATAGAACTATACAGTAAAACAAAAGGGTTATGTAATAGGGGTGGGTCAGTTCTCTCCTTTTGACAACTACTTTCCTCCATTCAGTTCCCGGCATGCACCAGTCATAAGGGAAATCCCTGGGGAATTCCCCTTCCGATATTTTGAAAATTGCTGAGATATTTCCGATGTAAAAACTAAAATCTCTTCGTTCTGACGATAAACCCATACAATTGGCGATCTAACAACATAAAAAGAATTTTAAAATACTCTGGAATGTATCGAGGTAGGTCATTTAATAGCGCAATGCGTAGTTCATTCTCCGACATTGTAGAAAGACAGGCTTACGAATGAAACGGGCCTACGACCACAATCTAAAGGGGTCGTAGGATGCGATAAGTTTTGACTACATGATCATGTAAAAAATGTCTGAAAATATTAATTGGTTTATCTGTGCTGTTGATATACTTTTGGGTACATTTTTTGAGACACCTGATATACAGTGAAGGTACTTCCCTGGCATTGAAAAATGGTTGGTAAGAGTGCCCGAGTAATAGGTGAAATACATAGGCAAAGGTCGATAGAAATAATTTTAAAATAAAGATGGCATCTGTGTTTATTTATAAATATTCTCTTCAGGTAATCAATGGGAGCCGACATATTCTCAAACATCAACAAACGATCTGAAATGTGTCAGTGATTTTTTAAAGTTTTTAGAATGATATGCTACATTTATTTTTAAAGGCTTCGCTAAAAATCGGTAAGTACCAATTGTATGCTTTGCGGATGCGCAAAATCAACCAATACAACAGCAATGCCAAAAGGTAGTGAATTCCATTGAACAGAAATGGCTGGCATTTTTACAAACGAAATATATAGCAAATATCATAAAACAACACATGTAAGAAAGGCCACTTTCAAAATGGTTGCTCATGAGCCATGTTGTCATCAGAAGAAGTAATATGCTTTTAAGTAGCCACCTACAAAACTTTTAAAAAATCGCACACATGTACTTGTACTTCTACCCAAAATGTCATGAGACAGTATGCAATGCAAATGAGTATTCATATATCAAATATGAACAAAATCGCTCTATTACTTTAGTAGTAGCGTAGTATACGTAGTAAGTGTAGTTACTCATAGCTTGACCCCACCCCCAGCGTAGCAGTGTAGTATACGTAGTAAGTGTAGTATGCTCCTAGCCTGACCCCACCCCAGCGTAGTAGCGTAGTATACGTAGTATGCGTAGTAAGTGTAGTATGCTCCTAGCCTGACCCCACCCCAGCGTAGTAGCATAGTATATGTAGTAAGTGTAGTATGCTTATAGCCTGAGCCTACCCCCAATGTAGTAGTGTAGTATGCGTAGTAAGTGTAGTAAGTGTAGTGTGCTCCTAGCCTGACCCCCCGGGGGGTTCACTGTATATAAAACTCGACGGGGGTCCTAGGCTGAAGCCTCAAATATCAATATGTTCCCATACCAATCTGTCAAATTTCAATATGTTCCCATACCAATCTGTCAAATTTCAATATGTTCCCATACCAACCAAAATAACGCCCAAAGGCCATACCAAATGTCCAAATATAGGACCAATGCCATACCAAATGTCCTATTATGGGACCAATGCCATACCAAATATCAAAACGTAGGACCAATGCCATACCATTCAAAAGTTGAAGAAGGACCTGGAAAAGAAGATACTTCGGGAAACGATCCAAAACAACTTCAAATTTGCAACTACTGGACCAATGCCATACCACGAATGTTAGGTAACGTATCTAAAACGACCATTCTCATACCAGAAGAGCAAAAGTCCGACCATTGCCATACCTCAGAAGTCAGAAATTTCCGGGCATTCCTATACCAAATCCTGAAATATGGGTCCATTGCCATACCACACGTTGAAAAAGGTACCCCACATGCGCCGAGGATCCCTGTCAAGGTTTATATATAGTGCACCCCCCGGGCCTGACCCCGACCCAGCGTAGTATACGTAGTAAGTTTAGTATGCTCATAGCCTGACCCCACCCCAGCGTAGTAGCGTAGTATACGTAGTAAGTGTAGTATGCTCCTAGCCTGACCCTACCCCAGCGTAGTAACGTAGTATACGTAGTATGCTCATAGCCTGACCCCACCCCCAGCGTAGTATACATAGTACATGTAAGTGTAGTATGCATAGCCTGAGCCTACACCCAGTGTAGTAGCATAGTAAGTGTAGTATGCTCCTAGCCTGACCCTAGTCCCAGCGTAGTAGCGTAAGTGTAGTATGCTCCTAGCCTGACCACACCAGCGTAGTAGCGTAGTATTACTCCCGTCGAGAGCTACTTAGATTTTGAAAGTATCTTTCAAAATCTAACATGGTAGCTCTCGACGTGAGTAAGCGTAGTATACATGCTTTGTTACTTTCAAATAAGTGGTACTGTAGTGCTGATACAAAATAATAAAGGGTGCGGTAACAGGCCCGGGGGGATCAAGTCCTTTTTGGGCCTTTATGGAATTTTGCCCCCCCCCCCCCACCCGCAGAAGAGATGTATTTGCTTGCTTTTTTAAGGAAAGTGTCATTAGTCATTACACTGTCTAAAAAAAGTGGGGAACAAAAATAAATCTCAACCACCCTCAAAAGTTGTCACAATGAGCTAAATTCCACGGACATCTAATACGTTCTTCGAATTGCCCTGGAACTATATTTATACCCAGAATTTCGCCAGAAACATTCTCTCTGACTGTGCTATACTCTGTTAAGCATGATAAAAGGCAAGAAGTTTAGTTAGAAATAAAAGAGTTATCTCATGAATGGGACCCTTACATGGCTCCTAAAAGGTAGAAGACACTAAATGGTGTGACACCATAAGCTGAATTTTGTCCACATAGAGCATGTGCACAATACTAAAGACATGTAAAATTGAACTGTCAAAAGAACTGAAATATACTTACCAGCTCGCCTCTTCCGGAAGTTGTGATACGTTATGGTGTAACTACGGTAATTAATTTTAAAATATTGAAAAAATCAACAACATTCAATTTCTAGGGTGTACAACCATTTTCGAGCGAATTTGCCGATATAATAACAATATTTTTGAGTTCCCCTAGGCTATATATAAACTTCATCAATACACAGTATATTCAACATAGGTTTTGCTTCTCGATTTTTAAATATCACTATGCAAAGACAGGGACTCATTTTAGGTAAAATCATTGCTTCACCAATGAAAATTAAAGGGAACGTTAGCTCACAAAATAAATAAATCCATTACAATGTTAAGTATATGATTTGAAAGATTGTCTGGATTATATGTGTGATCGATTGATGCATAAACAAACATATTCATTTCAACTTGCAGACCTCCATTCTGGCTCATGTATAGGCCTAAGACGCCATATTGCCTCATGTATTGTACTGCCCATGCGTGCATACATAATGTGTGACGTCACCGATCGACAGAGATCAGCGATCAAGTTTGACTAAAAAATTAAAAGATCCACACTTAACAGCACAAAAATGATATCAATGATCGCCTATTTCATATCAAATAAGTGTAGGATGTAAGGTTTAACATTTTTCATGTTATTTAGTATTTACAGAAGCAGAGCTTGTAAAGAAACCAAGTTTTAAATTCCGATTTTGACTGTTGACAAAAATAAAGAAAAGAGAGAAAGAGGCGACTTGTTTGAAACAATGACATGAAATTGTGAATAAAAAAGATATTATTGTGGGTTTTATTTTTTGAGAGTTCATCAAATACACTCATGTGTATTAATTTAAATATGTATTGTAATACCTCTCAGTTCTACCAAGGGTTATAAAAACTGATCGAAATGGCTTCGTTTTTAAAGTATAAAAAACACTACCCTACCCGGAAGTAGTATAACATGTATATTGAAACCATGTGTAAACTGTAAATCACGTGAATTGGCTGATGCAATCAGGATGTGACTAGTACAAAGTAACTATGATGCAATCAGGATATGACTTGTGCAAAATAATTGGCTTCACCTAGAATTCGCGATATTTGCTCTTTAGCATAACATGAAGACATGTTTTGTGTTTAAGTAGCTAGATTCAAATACAAACTAAATGAATATAACATAAACCAACCATCATTTGTTCCAATCATGGCGAATTTTCAAGGAAATACGTGTAACTGAATGTAAATCAACAGCGGAGCTCTTCAATTATGAGGTGAGAAAAATGTAAAAATAAAAACAAAAATAAATCTCACAGAATAGAGCTATTTATACGATTCTAAGTACATTTTAAGTGCTCCATACATTAATGTAAGTATAAAAGCCATTAACCTCAACTGGGAAGCACTTTCCAACTATTTTTACGGCTTGAATTGTAAGAAAATGGCACTTATCTCAAAAAATGGAAATTTGAAAGAATCTCAATTTATTGTGAAGATGAAGTTTATATATATCTGTATATGGGGGTGCGAATATATAGTCATAGTATGGGCTAATTCGCTTAAAATGGCGATATATACCTCAGAACTTGTATTTTGTGATTTTTTCAATATTTTAAAATTAATTACCGTAGTTACACCATAACGTATCATAACTTCCGGAAGAGGCGAGCTGGTAAGTATATTTCAGTTCTTTTGACAGTTCAATTTTACATGTCTTTAGTATTGTGCACATGCTCTATGTGGACAAAATTCAGCTTATAGTGTCACACCATTTAGTGTCTTCTACCTTTTAGGAGCCATGTAAGGGTCCCATTCATGAGATAACTCTTTTATTTCTAACTAAACTTCTTGCCTTTTATCATGCTTAACAGAGTTTAAATTCTAAGTTTCGTGTCTCAAACTCTTCCAAGCGGTAGAAAAATAATTCCCATTCACTTTAAGTAGCACAATAAATGAATCCAAAGCTTCATACCTGCAAATGATGGATAAATCGCTACCAAATCGAGCGAATGTTTTCATGAATCGCCATGTTTGTGATCCAAGGGGAGGATTGACTCCCAGAATGCAACATCAGGTAACCTTATTTACTCGTGACCACAGACAAGGGAACAAGTCAAGAGTTCATCCCCCTCCCACTCACTATGTATTAGGTATTTTTTTTATATTAGCTATACAGTGACTGGGGGGGGGGGTTAAATCTTCCTGTGCCTGTGCTCGTGACAGCTAACACGTGTCATGTTGCATTCTGGGAGCCAATCCACATTGCGGCGTAATCGGGCTCCAAAATCACCTCAACATTTGAAAAGTCGGCATAACATGTGAATTCTACTTCACAATTTTAAGTTCTTATTTGTCATTATGGACACGAATTCCACTATATCTGGACTTACTAGGACAGAGAAAACAGAGCACTGAATACATAGAGGTTAGAATTTATTTCCATAGCTTTTGTAAGTTTATGTAATTCTTTTCTGTAGCTCTTTTTGGATCTAATTCACTGGTGTGGACTTACTTCCTGCGAAAGCTATTTGGATCTAACATGGCTCTCGAAGTGAGCAAGTGTGGACATGATCTACAGTACAATTTCTTTTTTTAAACCTGGAAACCAAATGGTAGCTCCTGTGTTGTCTGGAAACTTTGAAAGAAAATATGGAAAAATACGGGTTTGTATAAAAAACCTCCTACCTCATACCCACCTACCCACCTACGTGGAACATGATACAGTCATTGAAGGGTTCAATATTTTAATAGCTCAAATTATCAACATTTCTACAATTCCGGGTTTATGACTAGACAGATGACAGATCCATAAATAAAGGCTGAGGCCCAGGATACTGAGAGGTACATGTAGTTCACTTTGATATTGTTCCATACGAGAAAATCCAGGGGTCACTATCTTCATATCAGTGAATCTCGTAACCAAACCTCTCTGGCCCAGTTATCTACTCCTGACGTCGTAGATCTACGAGTTCGGGAGTAGATAACTGGGCCAGACATGTTTGGTTATGAATCTCCGTACATGCAGCATACATTTCTTTAACATTACAGAAAACCCTTGTCAACATATAAAACTTGATAATTAAACAAAGAAATAAGAACAGCTTATCACAACAACCGACGTTTTAGGTAAATTGTTACAGAAACGATCAACCGAAATTTGCGAGGACACTTTAGATGTTTACTAATAGTGCAGTCAGTTTGCACATTGCACTTGCTTGTTCTTATTTTTAATATATTTAGCCCTTATTGTAAGTTGACCGAAAATCCCCATTGGCTGCCATTATTAAAACTGCTATAAAAATTCTAAAGCCATTCTTGGCGAAAGAATTTTGTGGTTTCGTCCAGTGCGAACTAAATACAGTTGGATGAGGGATCCTACTGGTCGAAGTGACCTACCTCTCTTTTACTATAGAAAACTTACATGTATAAGCATAAGACTGTTTTTTAATAATGACTATATACCCGGGCCTCAGAATAAAGGCATATGGATGCATTTTAATGTGTAATGGCCCGAGGGAATAAATAACTAATGACCGCGAGCATAGGACCAACAAGCCAGATAAAGAAATTTAAAGAAAGTACCGTATTCTCTGTAATTAGCGCCCAGGGCGTTTAGAAAATTGAAAATACATTATTTAGACCATTCTAATAAGCGCCCATGTATGAAAGAAATCAGAAATCCAGAGGAATTTCATGTATGGCAATTTTTCTTGACAAGAATGCATTTTCTTCAACATATTTTTATAATAATATGACAAGTGCTGTTATTGGAGAGAATACGGTAAAGATCGCTTAGACAATATTGACAGTGGTTGAAGACCCGTCTATGTCTAATTTATTTCCGGCACGCCCACTTTGTCATTATCGCCGATTACCTTCAATATTTCCACTAGAGACTGCTGGATATCGATCTAAAGTTATACATTATTTCTAATTTGATGAGAGATCATCATTATTCGTGCAAAAGTCGTGTAAAAGTCGAGAAACATTAAAAAGAAACCAGAAAGTTCACGACCTTGACATGCGCAGAACATCTGCGCAGTAGCTTTTGAAATTTCTGAATGCCGATAAAGAACAATTCCTTCATTCATTATGGACTATTTGGAGACAATATTAGCATGGTATGGTGTGGGAAGCACCCATCGATAGATATGTATCGAGAGGATGCATAGAATTACAAAACGCGTCGTGTTTACAGCAGTTTTAGGGTAAGTACTCTATTATCGCCCGCTCCTGGATTTTGAGAAATATTTTTTTCCTGATATATTCTTCAATTCTTGTTGATTCCTCGATGTTTCTTGAACTTTGTGAAGCGGGGTGGGCGCTTATTAGAGAGTGGGCGGTAATTACAGAGAATACGGTATGCTAAATTTGATGTCCCGAGTGGGAATCAACCCAGCTGGGATGTAGTAGCAACTAGCTATCAAGGGTCGTTACAAATGCATCTATAATTCATCATAAACTAAGATTTAATAAACTAAGATCTTTAAAATTGAACCCTTCAAAGACTGTATCATGTCCCACGTACGTGGGTAGGTGGGTATGAGGTAGGAGGTTTTTTATACAAAGCCGAAAAATATGAAAGTGTGAAATATCAGTATTTCCTGAATTCCCATTGAAGTCCTACCAGATATTCTAAAAGAAGACAATGGAATGATACTTTCCTGAAAAAAGCAAGGAAATTGACACATGCCTTCATACTTTATTTTGTACCAGAAAATAACATGTCACAATAATTTTTTACCAAAATGTTATTTTCCAGCTGTACCTTAAATGTTTGGAACTGCTTTGAATTTAAAAAATAAGCAATCAAAGGACCATATTGAAACAGTATATGTAAAAATAGAGACATTTATACATGTCCTAACTTTTGTATATTTTAGTTTGTTTTGTTGTTTAGCTATCATATCTGTGGCCTCTTATATTTTGATGCCTCTCTGCCATGTTATTTTCGGAAAAATAACATGGCTGCTGCACATTATACATAAATATCTGAAATATACAAAAGTTAGGACAAGTTCAAATGTTTCTATTTTTATATACTGTTGCAATATAGTCATTTGATTGCTTATTTTTTAAATTCAAAGTAGTTCCAAACATCTAAAATTTCTCCGATTCCAGGATTTATAAAAAGTGGGGTCATAGCATATGATAAAAATGGTAGTTGCTGTATGTGCAACATATGTCCTCTGAATATTTCAAAGCTCCAGTAGTTACAGTGTTTGGTGTTTACTCTATAATATTTGACAAAAAGTCTAGGACTGTCATTTTCTGGGAACTTTCACATGTATACAGTCATGAGCTTTCAATTAGAATTCTAGTTGAAATCCCATGATAAAGTCAGTGGCAGATTTTGTGATTGACAAGTTTCTCAAAGTTTATCCTTATACTTCATTTTTTCTTGAAATAATTTAAATTGTAACTGGATTTAAGTATTCTCTACTAATTGATGAATATATGTCAGTATTAAATGTTTACTGTTTTTGAGATATTTAACATCAAAAAACGGTACAAATAGGTTATTTGCCAACTTGCTTTGACCAAAGATCTTTAAAAAATCATTCACAAGTTCCTAGGAATTCAAAGCTGACCTTAGTTCTTAGATTTGACCTTCAGTGACCTGCGAAAGGTCAAAAAAGTGGATTTATTGGATTCAAATTCTAGTCAGCTTAATTACAAAAGACCTAGTCAGCTCTGAAAAAGTAAAATTTTCAAGGTTCAAGGTCATCAAACTAGGTCCCAAACTGTGCTATCTAAGTTTCTCAAAGTTTGAGACTACAAATCAATATTTTTGGTTGAAAGTCAGGATGTACATTATCCTAGTATTAGAAGACATTCTAGTAATCAGATTATCACCTTTCCAGGCATTGACTAATCTACATATCTACAGGCTGCAGAGACACATCTTGTCAAGATGGAACCTGTAAAGTTATTGCTAAAAAGACTGGATAAAACTGATGCATACCCAGAGTTGATAAAGGATAGCCTAACAACCTTAAGGAGGTTAGAAATCTCAAATAGGGATGATTTGGTAGAGGTTAACAAGACATTGCAGTTTTTGACTTTGATATTGAATGGATCTGCCAACGTAGATCAGAGTATTTCTAAGGATGTTATTGACCAGATAATATTCATATTATCAAATATCAAACAGGATAATGATGAGGATGATATGACAGAAATCTGGATTAATATAAACGCCTTGTTTGCCAATTGTGTAGAGTTCTCAACCAATGAGCAACAGGAACATTTTCAGGAGTTTGGCTTGACGAATCTTCGCCTATTTAACAAAGAAAGTTCTCGAAAAGTTGTAAATTCTCAAAACATGAGCATATTTGGTACCCTGGACTTGATGTCTCATCTCCTGAAATGCAACTTCAATTGGTCAACAAAATCCACATGGATTAATGAGATATTTGAGCAAATTATTATTTCTCTACAAATAACCGAAGATGCATTTTGTGGAAAAATATTAACAATGGTCTTTCCAGCTGTATTAGATCTTTCAAACTCAGAAATAAGTACTTCACTTGAACGTGTATGGGACATCATTAAAGAAACATACGTCCAAGGGGATTCGGGTATACAGAGGGCATATATGCTTCTCTGTGGTCTGTCAGACAGATATTTACCAATTGATGGTAAACCCATTTTTGAAATTCGACACCAAAAGAAATTCTGGGAAATAATCCAATATGGGATTTCTCATAAAAATCCTCTAAGCCGAAAACGCTCAATGTACTTGCTGAAGAGGATGGTTGATACATGTGAACATCAAAAGCAGAATCTTACATTTGCTTTTGGTCCAGACAATGTCCCAATATTCCAATGGAGTAAGAAAGATGGTGAGAAGCTCAGCAGTATATGGGAGGATTATTTCCTATTGATGGAAACTCTTGATGAGAAACAGGTGACCTGCCTTTTAATTCGATTCTTTCTGTAATCATGTAAAAATTTGGTTTGTCATAATCAGGAAATTTGTTTTACAAAGAAGGTTGAGATAGAAATTAGTCATATTATTGGGCATTACAGTAGGTCCATTTAGATCATTTCAGCACTAAGGATTGGTATTGATATGGTGAACTTAATTCAACAATGTTTTTCTCTTAAACCAATTATTGAAAACATACTGTCTTTTATGTAATGGTCACTGATTGACAACAATTTAATGCGAAATTATTTAAATATATTTCATACAATTTTTTGTGAACAATTTTTGTTTTTTAGTGCAATTGTTTTTTGTCCCTTTCTACCAATTCTTGAGAATAAAATAAAAGATCTTCCTGAACCTTGTTGGAACAAAATAGCATATACAACATTTTCTTAGACCTCTCAATATTATAGTTATACAAAGGAAAGTTTTGTTGATTTAACAAAAAGTATTCAAAAAATTAAAACAAAAATAGATAAAAATTAAGATAAATCTTTTATGTCATTTACAAGATACATGTACCTTTTTTAAATCAACCAAACGAAACATGTTGTGTATATGTCATTTTGTTCCAATGAGGTTCAGATCGATGTTTCATTTCATTCCGAACATATGATACCAAGATCAAAAAAAGTGTCTGATGTATTTTTTAAAACAATATAGAGAAAAAGATTGACGGTGTGTATAATTTTTAGTATTTTTTGATGACTGGTTTAAGAGAAATGTGTGTTCAAAAAGTTCACCATAACGATACCAATCCTTTAAGACTAAAAGGCAGTGGCTTCATTCATTTCTAGCCTTAGGTTTGTTATATTATTATTTCATTTTCTTTATTTTTTGACTATGTATTTCCACAGAATGTTATTTGGTTTTTCTTGCAGACTCATGTCATTAGACCAGTGATGCCTAGGTTCGAAAACTTGGTAAATGCCTCTTGTGCAACTACTATAGGTAAGTTTGAAATGAAACATATAGACTTATCCCATTGTTCCTCATGGACAATAGCTTTTTGCTTACATCTATGTACATATAATTATAAAAATGCAGTATACATTATTTATAGTTGTATACATCTGTTGTATATTCTATTTTGAATATAGGCATCTGAGAAATTGAAATACTGTACATAAGATTTATATTCGTCTCTATGTAATATGTGTGTAATAATCAAATACAATGTATTTATATGATAAACTGCTTGTTTCAGGTACCACTTTTCATACTTCCTGGTTGTGCACAATCATCAAACGTGCCTCCATACATGAAAGTGCCAATATTCTGCGCTGGGCTGTCCAATCATTATTTGATATTGATCTTAAGTTGTGCCCCATGTTGGAACAGGGTTGCGACAAGGTAATCTCTCTACAATGTCATTTTGTTAGATTATCATATATTTAAATGAAATATTAAGTGCATCCTCATTTTCATCTAAGCTCTAAAAATACTCATGTTGGATGGAATACAATCTTAACTACAAATTTTTATGATTTATTGATAAGAAAAATGTAATATTGTACTGTGTTGCTGAATTACTCATATGCAAGTTGGTAGTTACCAGCTGGCTAATTCGGGGAAAAAACATATTACCCTTATTACCCTTATCTCAAATTTAATACAAATTAAAATATGTCCAGTAAAAGAAAATATTAGAGACTTTAAGCAATACACATAAAATCGAAACATCAACCTGTATGCACAAGTTGCCCTATATAAATGCACATAGTTTTCTCACATAAACAATCGTCCAGTAACAGGGTTTACTTAGTGAGTCCGTTGCATAGACTACACATCATCGTGTAATATGCCATTAATAGGTATATAGCGAGTTTTCTACAACTTGTATGATACATATTTTAAACATGCTCGTTTCTGACATACATCATTTTCTTCAGAAAGCATAATACTATGCAACCAAATCAAAATTCCCAGATAGTAATCAATCGTCATGAGTATAATAATTCCCGTTGCCACCAACATGAAATTGTAAATATACCGTTCTAAACACAGCTCTGAAGCTGATCGGGTATTTTAAGTAGACCAAGTAGCGCTTGTTTTGTATGCGTGCTATATACATTACTGTATTATTTCATTGACTTTGCGTTCACGGTTACGTTGTGCAAAATATCGCTAGTTTAAACTCTCTAATATCTGCCGATGGGGAAATAAAATTTTCAAAGTTGATAAACTCTTTCCAAAACCACGTTAATTTATGTAATTTTACATGTAGATTCCAAATTCTTAATGACATAAATCAAGATTATTTCTACTCGCATCTAGTCTATTATGATATGTGTCATAGATATTGAAATTAAATGGATCAGAAAGAAAACAAATTAACACTTGATGTCTGATGATTAAAATTTGTATTTCCAGTTCTTCTGTGGTGAACTGGTGAAGATCTTGACAGATTCAAGTCTGTACGCGAGGTTTGTCTTTCAACCATATGCATGTAATTGGAGTATGCTTAAAAAAACATCATTTTCAAAAAAATTCTAAAATCAAAATTCTACAATTAAACCAAGACCTCATAGTATAAATGTTGTCAAATTCTATTTGATTCTTATCCTACAATTTTTAGAAATTTCATAAAAATTGTGATTTAATACTATTTTGTCTTTTTCATTTTGACACTCACTTTGACATTCAAAAATGCATATTTGTGTATGTGTTTTGAAGGTCATTTGAAGGATGTTTAGGATCCATTCCACCTTTAGCTAAGAGTCTAGGGACATTCCTGACTAACTGCCATGATGTCATAGAACCCTTAAAGAGGACACAGTTCTTTGAAAGTTTCATTAATGGTGTGGCTAGAGAATCCTGGGGAGGCCCAACTTTTTTATATGTCAGCCAAGCATTAGCAGAACTTCCTAAATCTGGTCTTTTAGGTGCTGGATCTATTGGGAATTTGAGGTAGGTTTATATGACATACATAATATAGTACATCTATAAAGGTATGAGAGAACTTTAAAATAAGGTGTAAGAAGTCGAAAGTCCTCACAAAACTATTGACTTATTATCATCATATTTTATATAGAAAAGGAACTAAAAAATGTAATTAAAAGCAAAAAATGATTTATTGACTTTCAGAGAAATTGTCATCCGGCTGTTTAGTTCAATGAACACCTACCTTAGAGGAGCAACACAGGTGTTTGTTACAAGAACAGTCCTTAACCTCATTGATATGGTAAGTATATGAGAAATGCAGATATACAGAGGTCATGAGACTTTTATGATGGAAACAAAAATAAAGAATTTGGATAGACATGTAATAGTAATCCTGAATATGAGAGTTACAAAGCTACCAGTTTACAAGAAAATTTTATCTGTTGTCTCCTTAAAAGAATCTCATGACTTATGAAACACTGTACAGATAGAGTCTGGTTATGACATTAGCTCAGGGCCAACTGAAGTTTACCACCACCAGCTGTACCAACTGATAGTTTCAACACTATGAATCAATCTTGGCAATTTAAGAAACATAACACTTCCATTTTCAAAATCATTATTTCCAATAATTGTCAGTAATTTTAATGAAGCCACTTGGAATGTATCCAAGTCAACAACTGGAATCTTTGTTTTAATTTATTAAATTGGAAACATATACCGTATACCACCAGAAGTTTGCTTTAGTCTTTAACTTTTTTTGTGTTTATGATTCGTGTTTAGTGGTCAGTGTCTGTAACAAATGGCAGGTGGTGACAGTTTGCATGTGGATGCCTTGTTATTAGATAATTCCATTATATTTTCCAGATGCAGGTCTCGATTCATGATGTTAGTCAGTTCCTAGCTGTACTACGCACCGATGAGTGTATTCAGAGACCTCTACTGCTGTGGATGGAATGTTCTCAATGGCTTTTAGATGCATCTGGAAGTAATTATGTAAATTGGTCAGCTGCAGACGTCAGGGACTATTTACAAAGCAGCCTGAAAGATTTGTTGTTTGTCCAGTTGACAGATGGTATGTATTAAAGTAACAAAAAACATGTTGAACATTTTGCCATGTGTGCTGAAACTTTTTCACAAAATATAATCAAATTATTTATTTATAGATGGCGATAGTCAGGTTTTGAAATCTCAAAGCAGCCTCGTCATTGCAAGATTTCTACTCATGTACCATGATGCAATGTCAATTCCTTCAATCAACAAGAGCAGTGTTATAAGCAAAGATCAACAAATGAATAATGATCACCTTGACTACAATGAAAGAACCAATGGAATTCAAGCTATATTTCACCCAGTGATTGATGTATTGAATCAGATGAACTCAAATGCCTACATGCCCTCTGTGAAAGTTGACCGTGCTCTGCAGTTCATGCTGATGATTTATGAAGAGGCTGGTCCAGGTATAAACTGACTCATCAAGCTTAATAAAATATTGTGATTTTTGATTAATTACTTTTGTCATCTGTGATATTTTATGAGAGTAAGAATGAGATTGAGAAAATTGAATGTTGATAATTGAGTACATGTAAATACAATAAACAACTGATTTTCAGACATTCAATGCATTAAATTATCGTATGATCTGTAAAATGAAGCCCTCTGATTGGTCAGTTTTCTTGTGCTGTACCAATCTGTATTGGTACTGAGATTGTCCCCTTTGATCATCTCTGGAGCAATACAGAAAATATTGGTATGGAGGGAACAATCTCAGTAGTAATACAGAGAATACAGAATATTTCTTGGGGATTATCTCCTAGGTTAAATTGGACTAAGATCATACAATAAAAACGTTATAGAATGATTTGAATTGCAATACAGGATATATTCTGCTCTCGATATTCCGTATTGGCACTCGACTTCATCTCGTGTCCAATACAGAATTTCTTGAGCAGAATGTATCCTGTATTGCGCTTTTAATCATTCAACAACTCAAAGTGTTGCCCCACATTCTCTGTTGCAAATACATGTATAGCCAAATAGATTGATGAATAGAGAGACATAATAGAAGATTTCTTCTACTCTATTGCACTAGCCACTTATATTCAATTCTGCTTTAGTTGGTTTAGATGATCCAGTGTTAGAGATGATGAGACATTTGCTGAAACCTCACAGTGGTGAGGTGCTTGTATTTCTACAGAGGAGGATCCATGAACTAGACCAAGTATGTAAAAACATAAAATAGACCAATCCAGTAAATTATACCACCTTGGTTATGTTGCCATTGTTAGAGTTTTACTGTACAAACAGAATTTACTCATTTTTTGTTAACTGTGTTTTCATGTATTTTCTTGCAAAGCTTGCTGCCTGCAAAGTATGACATCATCAGTCTAATTAAATGGGCTGAGGAGTTATTTGAAAGATATTGATTATTATTGGGAATGAATCATGGGGTTTGATGGTTAAGGGTCTGTTGTTTGCTGATTGCAGGGCTACTTTTATACAAACTGACTGACATATTTTAGTTTAATTGGAAGATAACATTGCAACAGATCTTTTATATTAAAATTCACTTTTGGCCTTCATTTTCAAACACTGATTGTGTCTTATAAAAAATTAGGCATTTCTTCTTTTACTCTATTAAGATAACATGAAACAAATATTCATACTTTACAACTTCCACCAAAAGTTTTATTAATTTCAAAATAAATCCAATAATTTCTGAATTTTATATATGAATACATGTTGCAATATAATAAAGTTTGTATGTAACATATATTTCAACATACAACTGTCATGAAAGATGATTATGTCCACATTTCAGATGCATCAGGTTGAATTGATTAAGTTGTACAGTGAAGTCTTGGCAATGTTGTACAAACTGGACCTAATGGGTGATATCTCTGTGGACAATCTATTGTCTCTATGCCTTACCTTGCTGGCCGTAACTCCAGCTGAGGTAAGTAAGCTTCACAATTACTACATTAAAGTAATTTTACTTTATTTACCTTTATCAGAACTTTTTTTTAATCAACTGGAATCTTCGCTAGAATTGTTAAAAAATCTCATCTTGGCACTATATCACTTACTCACTGGTTTATTACAATCTTAAGTATTTACTTTAATACATATACTGAAACTCATTTATTTGTTTATTCTAGGTAACTATGGAAACACAAATGCAGAAATTGAGTGCAATATGTTTTACAAAGACTCTTTACAAAGAAATAATCCAACAGAAAGACAGAGGAAACAGCATACATGTGATACTTAACATTACCCAAAATGTTGAAAAGCTCAACATTACCTCAAGTTTTGAACGACCAAATACAGGAGAGGATGACATATCCCATAATGCCTGGGGTAAAATTGCATCTGAATATATAACCAGCCAATGGGACTGTGTTCAAGTGTATCTCGCTCAACAGAATGGAAGTGGGAAAGACTTAGGAGATTCAAATAGTCTGGATTTGATGAATAGTTGTATCGAGGCCCTGAATGTGTGTCAAGCAGAGGGGGCAACTGTGATATTCAACTGTCTAAAGCACCTTGTTTCACAGGTAAGCTCTTTAACCAACTTCTGAATACATGGAATGTTCAAACCTCAAATGCTGTTTGATATATTTTTATGGCACTGTAAAAGTGCTGTGTCTCTTTAGCTTGATTTAGCAAAAAGATCAGTGATCCAAAAAAGCATTTGAATACCCAAGTTGGTCACAGATTTTTTTGACAAACTGAATCTTATTTGAATATATCTGAATATACATAATATTGGAAAACTCTCATACAAGCACAAAAATAGATTTTAAAGCTGTCCTGATAAAAAAGTCCACCCGTTCCTAGCCTCCCACTGTCTGTATACCAAGACATTGATTTTCAGGGCAGCTCAGCTTAATATGTTCTTGTGCCTGTTATTTCTTAGTTTTAAAATTGATTTTATTTGTACAATAAAATAGATTATACACCCACTGCCATCTTTTTTCTGGATATATGGCTGTGCAACTAGACATGAAATAATGCCTGAGTTGCTGTGGTTGCCTACAAGCCCTACATGGGCAAGAACGAAGGCATATTTCACTTCTAGTTGCTGATTTGTTACATGCCTCTTATCCCAGTGCCAATTTTGTATGATGCCACATTTATATTTGTGTTTTTTGATAGAAATTAAACTTGACATCAAATTGTTGTCATGGTGATAAATACAAGCAGGCTATTTTGGCTGGGCCTGAATAGCTTGATGACTTTTCTGTTAACATGACATCAATGCAATGGCATTGGCAGATATGTAATACACAATTTAAAATCCCACCACCCTTTTCATTTGACAGGAATGTTTGCCTGTTATAAGTTAACAGTTATGTCCTCTATATGCCAATGATTGCATATATTGTACTACACAAGAACAACAGTATGTTGTAGTAGGTTTGAACAGGTTTTCCTCCTCCAGCCCTAGCTGTAGTAGTAGTAGAAGATTCTGTGGTAGTAGTAGAAGATTCTGTTGTCACTGTAAAATATTGTTTGCAACCAGCGTTGAAATCATTTATTTCTTCCTCGGTGTCTTCCCCATTATAAAGAATAGCTGTAGCATTATCAGTTACCTTACTTATTGATGTTGCATTATCTTTAGGGTGAATTTGATCAGAAATAAGATCAAGTAGTTGATCTTCGATATCTTTCTCATTTACACCCTTTGTTGTTGAATCTTTAACCTGGCGTTTAGTATCAACATCTTTTGAATCTTCAGGTTGTGTTGCTTCTGTTGTCGTGGTATCATCTATTGGTGCCTCTGGAGTAGTAGCGTCAGTACCACCTGTTGTTTCTGTTGTTGTGGGTTCAGTTTCATCTATTTCTGATTCTGTTGTCTTGGCTTCAGTACCAACTGATTCTGTTGTTTTGGCTTCAGTACCAGCTGATTCTGTTGTCTTGGCTTCAGTACCAGCTGATTCTGTTGTCTTGGCTTCAGTACCAGCTGATTCTGTTGTCTTGGCTTCAGTACCAGCTGATTCTGTTGTCTTGGCTTCAGTACCAGCTGATTCTGTTGTCTTGGCTTCAGTACCAGCTGATTCTGTTGTCTTGGCTTCAGTACCAGCTGATTCTGTTTTCTTGGCTTCAGTACCAGCTGATTCTGTTGTCTTGGCTTCAGTACCAGCTGTTGTTTTTGTTGTGGGTTCAGTATCAACTATTTTTGATTCTGAAGTTTTGGTTTCAGTCCCACCTGTTGTTGATTCTGTAGTTTTGGTTTCAGTACCACCTATTGTGGATTCTGTAGTCTTGGTTTCAGTTCCAACTTTTGGTGATTCTGTAGTCATAATTTCAGTATCATCTGCTGTTTGTCCCGTTGTCTTGCTTTCGGTTGTGGTACTTTCATCATGAATAGGGCTTTCTGTTTCATCTGTAGAGTTACATACACCAGTGCCTTTCATAAATATGTCTCCTTTAACCCACGCATCTCTTGCAATTCTTATTTCAATTTTATCCAGAACAAAGTATATGTTGTCATCATATTTCTTAGATGGGGGATTGGGTTTTGCAGTAAATTCCAAAAATCGTGGCATTGGACCATGGAAAGCAGTACTAATTTGTTTACCTCCATTGAAGCTTGTTGGATTTGTGTGCTTTATCCAAAATGTATCATTGGAATATGTCTCGAATTGAACCTTTAAGTATAATCCACATTCATGTTCCAGAACAGGAAAGAGTGGAGAACGCAAATATGGGGTTGGGTCTCTCATGACTTTATCAGGCTCTGCCTCAATATAGATGTAGTAACTTGGTTTAGAGTCATTTCCGATGATTTTGTTCACAAAAGTTTTGGAGCACAAATCATGTAAATCTGGCCTTTTTGTGTTGTCCATAGGTGTGAAGCGCCTTAACCAGTTAACAGATTCATCTTTCTCGAAATCACAAAAGTCAGTGTTGAAATCACAACTAGTAAATATACCCTCAACAGGTATTTTTACTGTCTCATTTGCATCTTCATTGATGATGTCACATTCATACCATCCTACATCGTTATATTGGAATTGATGGATCAGTAAACTAGAGTCCTTCACCGTGTATTTATCATTCGAAAGCAGCTCAATTCTGATCTGATTCGTATCCCCGTATTCATATGTAAAAAACCTATATTTTGTGTTTTTGTCGACTGTTGTGTTTTCGCTTGTTGATGTACATGGGATGACTGCATCTGTATTCAGCCGAACTACTATCATTGGATCAACTTTGATGAAGTTTTCATGATGTGAATTATCTGAAACAACATGACTGACCAGAATAAGGCTAATTACAATTGCTTTCAGAATATGGAAGAACTCCATAACTTACTTTGCTTGAATGTCTTATTTATTCTTCTTATAATAGTAGCTTCACGCGTCACTGATATTCACTGTTTACTATTAAATATTTTATTACGATGCAATCTTCCTAGCGCTACTATCCAATATGGTGATATTATCTGTAGATTTAATATATGCTAACAAAAGCATTTAAGGTAGTTAGAAATCCATAGGCCTAAAATTAACAGGAATTATCCTTTAAAGTGTATATATTGAGATTATCCTCAGGCCGATATAATATATCTGCCTTAGGGTAGATGATGCTATATGATATCATATTATATTTGTTGGCCAAATGATAATCCCATTATTGTCACGTGGTCCTAACTTTGACCGTTAATTTGAATTTTTGACCTACCGGATGTTTGAAAATCAAGGATTGCGACTCTCATACTGCACCGTTTTTCTTCAAACTAATACCATTAAAAGCAGAACAAAATTGCCTTTCTGTCGGTGCATTACTTTATTGTAAAGAGTCCCTCGTTCTAGCAGCGTTTTGGTCCCCAGCTGTTAGAAGGCCTTCTTACAGCTGGGGACCAAAATGCCGCTGGAAGTAGGGACTCTGTTTGAGAGAATAATGTACCATCAGAAAGGGATTTTTGTTATGCTTTGAATGGAACAAGTTTGAAGAAAAACGGTGCAGTATGAGACTCATAATCCTTGATTTTCAAACATCCGGTAGGTCAAAAATTCAAAATAACGGTCGAAGTTAGGACCGCGTGATTGTGAACAGACGAGGATTATCTGTTTACCAGTAGGTGTTGTTTGTACATACATTTCAAGGAAAGTTTGCTGGAGTGTCTGAAAATTCTCTGAATTTTTATTAGAATAGTGTTGAAAGGTTGTCAATATGACGTAATATTTAAGTTGCTCCTATGCTATTGCATGAAGTTATCTTTTGCCAGTGTAAAACAGCCTTACCACAACGCTTCTAAAAGAATAAATAACTATGAAAATAACTGTGGCTGCAGTTACGACCACATTTTTTAATACTAATATATTCATAGCTATTATACAGAGTCAGGTGTTTTTTGAATGGGATGACATTTAATGCTTACTCATTTAAATTCGAAAACTACAGCACAAAATAAATACCTTTATCCTTCCATTGGACTACTTACAACATTATAATCAACCCCTTACCCAAGTTGTGAATTTCATGTATTATTATTTGAATATCTTCAATATTTTTCTCATGTGAATACCATGAATAATGAGTTGTTGGGCTGACATTATCGTTTTATATAATCATAAATAAAGCACTACACAAAGAGGGTTAATGTAATTAAGTTATTAATATAAATACATTTATTGTTTTGTGCATCCTGGTTTAAAGCATTCATGTCATTTCATGTGTATATTGTATCTAATATACTTTCATTTGTTAGATGCTTAAACATTGCTGACATTAGTGGGAAATACTTTGAATAATATCAGGATTATTCAATAAGCAAGGTCAATCTGATACAGTTAATGGGGTGAAACGTTTGTACTGTAATAAAAAGATATACTACTTTATTATTTATATATAACGCTATGTCTGTTTCAGATTAAATATCATTTAAAGCCTATCCCAAAGCCCAGCTATCACATATGGTTGTAAAACATGCAATTTCTAGATTTTCCTATTTATATAATAACAACATATAAAGGCAACATTCTCAGATTATAATGGAAAAGATTTTGCCTGTATTTTCTGTAGAAATATGCTTTTTGGAATAACTATTTTGCGAGGATGCAATTAGTATTTATTGTACAATCCAGATATGAGCTGCTTGTATTGTTTGGGTTGCTCTGACTTCACTTAGGCTTATTGCTAATCAATTTCTATACTCCTGAAGAAAATATACAAATAGCATTTCCAGGTAACTACTGGAACTCCTTGTATTGTATTTGCAAGATAACAACACTCTGCTTATTTCAGACACTCAATAATTGCAAATATGCTTCATGATTAATTAATTTCAATTACTGTATTCTAATTGATATTTGTTGAGTTAATAAGATTTTTTGTGTTTTATAATCATTTCGTTCCTTCTAATCAGTGTTTAATTAATATCATATTCTTAATAGTACAATACACAAAGCTGTAGCTGTAAGATGAATTAAAGTACTGTAGGTTCAGATCATCCAGATATACCAGATTGGAAATTTATTCCTGAATATAATTGAACAAATGTGTTTGTTTTTTGTTTGTCAGGTTGTCCATGCAGACCAAGACCTGTGTCAAAGAGTCATCAAAATATCCTGGAATAAGGTCATCGAAGAGGCAAAAAGTTTAGAGTTCTGGGGACTATGGAAGGCATATCTGAATCTAGTTTTTCAAGAGGCAACACTAAAGCCAAATGTGGAAGCCCCAATTGTGCAATATTTACTAAAGGTAATATACACATGTACAGGGTGATCATTAAGTTCTGGGAATTGGTCTGCCATTTCAAGATTTCTCAACCATTTGATTCGAAATTTTTAGCAGGTGTACATTGTATAATTCTGAATTGACAGAAAATGTTTCATATACATATCACTTCTGCAATTTATTTTATTGTAATTATAAAAAAAGTTACAGTGGTCCGCGGGTCAGCAAATTTTGACTGATGTTAATCTGAAAATTTCCTGCCAAACATATTCATCTTGCCTAGATGGTTGCCTCAAACTACTCGTACTAGAGGCAGAACAGTACTCTTGAAATCATTTATTCAGAAGTACAGTATTCTTAATTGCTGAGAGGATCCTTTCATTTATAATTGTTTCCATTAGCCTGGACGCAAATGCGTTGTTGACAAACCTAGTCCATAAAGACGTGTTCCAAACCTCCCTTTTGGTATCCCTTGACGATTTGCTCAAGTCGTTGAAATTAGTCCCTTATCGGAATCAAACATATGACCTCTCATATATGATGCTTTAGCACCCCAAATGTAGTGAAGCCCAATGGTGCTTCATCTGGTGAATATTGTATGGTGAATATGGGGCAGTAACAACTTGTGTGGACCCTAATTCTTCAAGAGTAGTATGGGCAGTTTGAGGAATGGGAAGGAGCATAGCCATAATGGAGGATAACTCCCCGCTATTTTGAGTCATGATTGTGACTTTGAGAGTCTGACGAATGATAAGAAAATAGAGCAAAGTACACTCGTATATCGCAATATAGAAGTTACTTTAGAAACAAAAGTTAAAAGTATTTGAAAATATAAAAATCACAGAAATATCATAATAATAAGTCCACCAAATAGGGATTAATTAACCATACTTTTGAATGAAGCAAAATTGGAATTCATTTTTACTTTACTTGACCTGCTACGCCATTTGTCATGTTGCTATAGTAACAATAATTATTATGTCACCACCAAAAGTGGTGACATATTGTTATGGTCTCCGTTTTTTTGCGACGGCGTCCGGCGGTTGGTGGTTGGCGTCCGGCGTCCGGCGGTTGGCGTCTGTAACAATTTCTTACAACTTCCTATAACTTAACAAATACTGTTTAGACTGACTTCAATTTTTTTCTAAATCATCTACATGTTCTCAGAAGTTCAAATCTGACTTTAGATTTGACATTTGACCTTCAATGACCTTCTCAAGGTCAAAAAGGTCTTTTTTCAACTTGCTTCACATTGACTAAATTTTTTTTCAAAATCATCTACATGTTCTCAAAAATTCAAATCTGACTTTAGATTTGACATTTGCCCTTCAAATCTGACTTTAGATTTGACATTTGACCTTCAATGACCTTCTCAAGGTCAAAAAAGGTCAAAAAGGTCTGTTTTCAACTTGCTTCAAATTGACTAAATTTTTTTTCAAAATCATCTACGTGTTCTCAGAAATTCAAATCTGACTTAAGATTTGACTTAAGATTTGACATTTGACCTTCAATGACCTTCTCAAGGTCAAAAAAGGTCAGAAAGGTCTGTTTTCAACTTGCTTCAAATTGACTAAAAAATTTTTTCAAAATCATCTACGTGTTCTCAGAAATTCAAATCTGACTTTAGATTTGACTTAAGATTTGACATTTGACCTTCAATGACCTTCTCAAAGTCAAAAAAGGTCAAAAAGGTCTTTTTTCAACTTGCTTCAAATTGACTAAATTTTTTTTTCAAAATCATCTACATGTTCTCAGAAATTCAAATCTGACTTTAGATTTGACATTTGACCTTCAATGACCTTCTCAAGGTCAAAAAAGGTCAAAAAGGTCTGTTTTCAACTTGCTTCAAATTGACCAAATTTTTTTTTCAAAATCATCTACGTGTTCTCAGAAATTCAAATCTGACTTAAGATTTGACTTAAGGTTTGACATTTGACCTTCAATGACCTTCTCAAGGTCAAAAAAGGTCAAAAAGGTCTGTTTTCAACTTGCTTCAAATTGACTAAAAAAAATTTTCAAAATCATCTACGTGTTCTCAGAAATTCAAATCTGACTTTAGATTTGACTTAAGATTTGACATTTGACCTTCAATGACCTTCCCAAAGTCAAAAAAGGTCAAAAAGGTCTTTTTTCAACTTGCTTCAAATTGACTAAATTTTTTTTTCAAAATCATCTACATGTTCTCAGAAATTCAAATCTGACTTTAGATTTGACATTTGACCTTCAATGACCTTCTCAATGTCAAAAAAGGTCAAAAAGGTATTTTTTCATCTTGCTTCAAATTGACTAAATTTTTTTTCAAAATCATCTACATGTTCTCAGAAATTCAAATATGACTTTAGATTTGACTTTAGATTTGACATTTGACCTTCTCAAGGTCAAAAAAGGTCAAAAAGGTCTTTTTTCAACTTGCTTCAAATTGACTAATTTTTTTTTCAAAATCATCTACATGTTCTCAGAAATTCAAATCTGACTTTAGATTTGACATTTGACCTTTAATGACCTTCTCAAGGTCAAAAAAGGTCAAAAAGGTCTGTTTTCAACTTGCTTCAAATTGACCAAATTTTTTTTTCAAAATCATCTACATCTTTTCAGAAGTTCAAATTTGACTTTACAAGTTCTCAGAAATTCAAATCTGACTTATATTAAGTTTGAACTCATAATATTGTGAGCAACTAGGTGGTGACATTTTGTCATGTTAATGCCTTGTTATCCATTGTGACATCAGATGACACTGACACTGTTTTGTCCAACCCAAAATCACAATCCCCATTTACCTTGAAAATTTCAAGTAAATTGGTTGAAAAATAATGAAATGACAGATAAATTCCCAGAACTTAGTGATCACCCTGTATATATGATTTTTTGTTCATCTTTGTACATGTGTGTTTTAGTGTTGTCGCGATGTGCCATAATTGTACACCGATGCATCGGCAATTTTCAGTAGAAAACATCGATGCACATCGCGATGTAGATCGAGAAAAAGTCTGAGAAAAGTGCACTGAAATACCAAATGCTAATGCACTAAAATACCGAACAGAACAAATTAATAAGAGTACGCTGGTACATCCGGGAACTTCTAGTAACGGTGAAATGAAAGTAAAGTAATTTTTTAGATTAATGGTTCATTTCGACTAGCTAAAACAGTTTTAAAGTGAAAGAATATCAGAAAACCTTGGAAAATGAAATAAGACATGAGAAAGGTAAGCGATTTGCGTCAAAATAAGATAAGAAAGGATGATTTTCAGCGAATTAAAGTTTTTTAAAAACATCGATGTTTTGTTTCAGACATCGATGCATCGCCAGAATCAGCTTTGGCGATATATATCGCGATGTATCGATTAATCGCGACAACACTAGTGTGTATGTATAAACTAGAATAATTCATATCTTTGATGGATTCACATTTTCTATGGTAAGTGTGTTAGACAATAATTATTAATTTATGCTTAAATAATTTGTAGCAATCAGCAGAGATAGTCAGCTTGGGAGAGGACCGTGGCGGTCAAGTCAACATCTTTATTCTTCATCTTTCCAAAATTTGGCAACAGAATTGGGATATTGCGGCAAAGTTCACTGATTTCATGATTGAATGTGCCACGTTTGGAAAGATGTCTAAACGCTGTGCATGGTAAGTTACATATAAACATAACAGATGAGTGCATTTGTACACACTTTCTGTCCAACGAGTGTAGAATTTCACCATATTGAACATGTTGAATGGGCTACCATTCTTTTTTCCAATTCAAACATAAAAAATTAAAACGTTGTTCAGAGAAATGGGGATTGATGTCCATGAGATAACCAAGATACTGTTATTTTCCTATCAAATTTCGTAACTGGCCATTCTTAGACAGAGCTGTAGATGTAATGTCACGGTACAACACAATACATATATTCCTGATGATGATTGCATAGAGAATGGCTATGGTGCAATCTGATTGGATGAGAAGTTAACGAGAGTTTGGTCATGTTTGTATTATTTTTATATTGCCATATTCCAGGTACTACCTAGATGCCTTTGCTTACATAGATGGACTTGGTGTAGACTTTCCTGCTAACCAGCTACAGAAAAAGTAGGTTTATTTTTGAGATTATGTTAGAGCTTATTTATTGCAAATACTATTACATTTATATTCCATGTGCTGTTACAGTTGAATCTGTTCTCCGGATTGTATTATACTACATTATTATGTCATCACCATAAGTGGTGATATATTGCTATAGTCTCCAACTTTTTTTGGACAGTGTTTACCAGTTGACATTCAGCATCTGTAGCAGGTGGTGACATTTTGCATGTTAATGTTTAATTTTGAATATTTCCAGTTACCTCAAATCCAATGGCCATGTTAGATGTTGCATTGTGACCTACTTCAATACCTTGGACCTAAACAACAATAATGATGTGGCCCTAGCCAGGTCATTGATTGCCAGTATCATTGCAAAACAGTTAGCTCTCACTAAAGTCCCAAGTTTCAGAAATTTCCCAAATTCAATGCCTCATCGACTGAAACAACGTTTGATATCAGCTTTACTAGTGCTAGAGCCTTTCATGGATTTGGTAAGTGCAAATTGACTCGTAACCAGGAGGCTGTTTCTCGAAACTTTTCGTTATTAACGAATTGTAAATTAACGAGTGGGTTAGCAAAATGTGCAAATTTCGTTTCTCGAACCGTCTCGTTATAAGGCTCATTATCCTGTTCTGAATCGTTATATTTAACACCAAATGAATTATGCATCTTGTTTAAATTTTATTCTGCTTTTACCCAGCGACCAAAGCTGTTATTTTCCTGCAAAATTTGCATAACATGGACACTGTACACGTGACATTTTGTAGTGAAAACAGGACAAATTTTAATGTTCTAACGCATTAAAATAACTTACTGGCTTAAGAGCATGTATACTCAGTCTTGGATGCATCTTCGCGATACCGATGTAAACTTGTTCAACAATAACGTCATTTTTGGTCATATCCCTTACTTGTGCGAGGCCTACTTTCCTCGGAAATTCCTATACTTTGTATTCATATTTAGTATGTTGGACACGAAATAAAAAAGTCTGGTTACCGATACAATGAAATCGTATTATAATTTCCAACACCTAAAACCAGGAAACACGGTCCACCGACCCTTTTTGAATGTCCTTATTCTGCAAAGATATTCATTAAATATGCCAAAAGAATGTTCCAAATAATGAACGTAATTTCGGTCTTTGAAAACATGTAATTTTTATCATATAAGGGTAGTATCAAATTGTTAAATCAGCGTAGAAAATGTGTTTTAATGACTCACATTTTGTTTAGATACCACATCGTTATATTACAAGACCCCCTAACCCTCTTGTTAAACCAGTCATGGATAACAAACAAATCATTAAGAATCATGATGTCATTGCGTATCGTTTACTTTTGAGAAACGGAGAAATCGTTAACAACAACTGAATTAACGATTCGTTAATAACGAAACTTTCGAGAAACAGCCTCTTGTATCTTTAGATTCAGCTGATTTTGTAATACCCTGCATGGTAAAGATGCAGAATCAAGAAGTTCAGAAAAATAATTAGATCATTATAATATTAAGTGTTACTGTTTCCATACTTAATATTTGCACCAAAGCATGCAGAGGTCTTTTATCTCTTATATTGGTGTGTTCAAGGCTGAGGTAGAGCGACATTGGGCTACTATTCTAGAACTACTATTACACGAGAAGATCCCCTCAGTGCGGTGTATGGTGGAGTGGTTCACTGTGCGCCTAATCAACCGTTGCCCATCCTTCATCCCCAAGCTATGGGATGAACTCAGATATGTAAGTTGTATATGCTGCACTATAATAGTATACATAAATGTACAATATAAAGCCATTCATAAAGAAACAATCCAGAATACCCCACCCTATGATCTAATGCATGAACTAAAAGTTTCAAATGAACCCACTCTTTCCACCATTCAAGAACCATTCAATCTAATAGGACAATTAAGAACATTTGTTAAAAAAGAATAGAATAAAAGATGATATCGAAATAGTTGCGGATACCAGTAGACGGCAATAATATCAAAAGATGCTTGTGAAATAATATAAGATGATTTTGATTTGTAGCGAGAGGAGAAGAGGTCTGCATGTATATGTTCTTTGTTATCCATAACTTCACAGCTTGGCACACTGCAGCCAGACCACAACACACAGGTACTCATATGTTTCTCATTATCAGTTGAATTTAACAGTTATAAATCAAGGCTCACATTCTCAACATGATAATCTATATACATGCAGATTTACTGTGACAAATCTTATTCATTTCAAAATATAAAAATGTATCACAAAAGTGCAAGTGCAAATAACTTGAAAATAACACAGAGAAACAGCCTGCAATGTATGTTCTAATTGTATTATTTTATCAGTTTGAAATTGTTTATTTCTGAAAATGAAAATACTACTGAAGGCTAAATACAAACATGTATCTGCAAACTGCCAATGTGAAGTATCTCAAACGTATTGATATCTTTTGTTTTAGGAAATCTAATTATCCTGTGTCAAAAACTTAAAGGACTTCATTCTGTTTGTTTTTCAAATGTTATTCTTTGTGCTTTCTAATGTCATAAATGAAAGAATGGAATGAAAACCCATACATGTACATGTAGTTTGATTTTCAAATGGTCTTTCAGGAGTTGTTTTTCTTGGAAGCAATCCCTCACATCCTACCATGGTGTCTGTCCCACCATTTCAACATTCGGGTTTTCTCCCAGTCTGTCATGATGAAGACATGGCTGTATTGTAAGGACAAGGGCCTCAAGAATGTTCTTGACAAACACAATGTAGTTGAGTGCTGCTTAGACATAAATTCTGGATCAGGGTAAGATGCTTATAAATGAAATTGCTAAAATGTCAGAGGTATGCAGGGGCGGATCTGGGAACCAACAAGGGGGGGGCCCAAATTTTAGGTCAGAGAAAAATATATTTAGGAAAAGGGTAAATGGGTTAAACAAAACTTCTGAAGAATTGAGTTTCAAATTATACATTGGTGGAGGGTGGCATTACATTGTCCAAGTGAAATCAACTTTCCATACCACTGGCGGATTAGGGGGGGGGGCCTGGGGGCCCGGGCCCCCCCCCTTGGTTGGGCCCAGAAAAAAAAATTGGGCCCAAAAAAATTTTGGGGCCCTAAAAGGCAAAAGTGGGCCCAAATTTTGAAATTTTGAGGCCCATTTTCTTCAAAATTTGGCCTGAATTTAAAAAATAAGGCCTTAAAAGGCCCAGTAATGACCAAAAAGGCCGACTTTTTGGGGCCTTAAGGCCTTTTTTGGCCCAAAAAATTGTTTTGGGCCCAATTTTTTTTTCTGGGCCCAACCAAGGGGGGGGGCCCGGGCCCCCAGGCCCCCCCCCCCTAATCCGCCAGTGGTATGGAAAGTTGATTTCACTTGGACAATGTAATGCCACCCTCCACCAATGTATAATTTGAAACTCAATTCTTCAGAAGTTTTGTTTAACCCATTTACCCTTTTCCTAAATATATTTTTCTACTTCATTTCTTTCCTATTTTGTCGCTGTGAAAACAGTTATTTTCTCTCCATTCTCCATCATGACACAAACTTTTGTATCAGTTTTTATCATTGATTTTCAAAATTACACATAACATTGGATGCTTCTATAAGAAATGGTTTATACAAATTTTCATATTATTAATGTGGTGAGAATAAACTGTATGCAAGTCTTTATTCATGTAAACATTTATTTATTCTACTTGGCCCATCTTAAAGATAATATTATGCATTATAGGCATGCAGCTAAAAGTACATTGAAGTTAATGGAGAATTTCTTCTTCTGTGTCTTCCATCCACTCAGAGATCACAGCCTGCAGGTAATTGAATTATGCTACATTTATATGTATATATAAAGCTTTTGTATACAACCATTAAACAAAATATGGGTAAGTATACGATATACGGTTCACCTCTAAACCCTGTTTAAAGATGTAAGAGAGCTAAAAATAATTTTTCATGTATAATATTGTAATATTTTAGTTATGTGATGTTTTTCAATGTAGAGAGATAAAAATACAAAATACAAGAATATCTTGGAATATTTTCACAATTTTTATAATCTTTGATTGCAAAACATCAGTCTTCCATGTTAACATTGCAACTACCAACTACCAGTTATGTGATGTTGATCGCTATCTCTCAAACTATGCCTTGTGTGAACATTAAATTGTACAAATTGCATACAAAAATTTTTTTCAGTCAATCTTCCACACCATTCCTCGTCTTAATGGAGTTACAGATGAGGAATGGATCCATCCAAAGATCTTCCACGCCACCATTGAAGCAATGCCAACTAGCAACAGGCAAATTCTTCCTCTGTTTAATGAGACTGAACACTTGGAGAATGCTACCCCTGGAGCATGGAGGGTAAAACCATCAGGTAGGGCTGCTATTCTATTATACGCATTGCCTTACTAATAAATCTCAAATATTGAAAAACAATAGTGTTATATTTGGCTGATAACATTATTTTGACATATCCATTATTCACTTCAATATGATCTTACATTCTATTAATCAGAGCTTGAAGACACTCTTGAAGCAACAGATGGTGATGTACAGAAGAAAGTGCAACCATGGCGACAGATGTTGCCTGATGAGGACATGCTTCATGATATAGATGGCGCTAGGAAGAAACACACACCAGGGGGCCTGGTACTTGTCACATCCCTGATCAATAAACCAACTAATCTTGGAGGTACGACCTAAGTCTTAAACTCATTCAAATCAGTATTCAGTTGAATAGTTAATAATTTTCTATAGCTGCGATACAGTACAGGCAGAAAAGTTGACTGGCTTGATCTACAATATAGCCCCGTAGCCAGGGTGGGGGTTTTGGTTTTGGTTCCCCCCTGAAAGAAAATGCTTTCAAAATTATGCAAGTTTTCACCATCCCGATCAAGTGATATAGTGTGTTGCATTTATGACTTTTTAAGTTCCATAAAGGTCCTTTCCTGATAGAACCTCCTTTAGATGTATACCTCTTAATCTTGCATAGATACAGTCATTTAATTAAAATGCATGGCGCTATTTTATTTTTGCGGATTGGCTGTTTTGAACATTTGGTGACTAGTTAATTTGGCGGACTTGCTGATATATTGAAATGTACCATTGAAATATGAAATATTGAATTTGGCGGTTACTTAATTTGGTGGACTTTAACAATTTGGCGGATATGAAACGCCAAAATAAAATGGCTGCCAAATTAAGTAGAAGTACAGTAGCTCATAAGTTATAGGTCCATGTAGTACTTTTAAAGATTCATTAATCTGAAAAAAAGGATTCTTATAATTTTTTGATTACATTTAACCTTATATGTTGTTTAGGTTTGTGTAGAACTGGCGAGATATTTGGTGTCTCTGAGTATGTCATTGGCAACATGAAATGGCTTGATGACAAAATGTTCCAGGGCCTCAGTGTCACAGCACACAAATGGCTGCCTATAAAAGAGGTAAGTTACACTTATAAGTTATATGGCTTAGCAAAATATATTAACTTATGCATGTTATGTCACCATCAACTTTTTGTGAATGGTGTTTGGCAGGTTGTGTTCGGGGATCGGTGTCTGTAACAAATGTTAGGTGGTGACATTTTGCATGTTAATGCCTTGTTCTTTAATGAGATGACCATTTCACAGATTTGGTAGTTCAGTACACTCCAAATTTCATTCATTTTTAGGACTGCTCTGATTTATGGAAGATCAGACTAGTACCAAGATCTGATTATGTTTTGGCCATGCTGAATAAATAACATGGTTGCCATTATGCTTTTTAAATTATGATATTCATGTTAGAGTGTTTACTTTCAGGTGCGTCCACATATGTTGAAAACATATCTGTCAGAGATGCGAGAGGAAGGCTACACTCTGATTGGTGTTGAGCAGACCGCTAATAGCACACAGTTAACTGATTACTCATTCCCGAAGAAATCTCTACTGCTACTGGGGTAAGTGCTTGTAATGCCACATTGCTAAACAAATTTGGTGCATCAAAAACAGATCAGTTGACATGAAATATGTTTTTACATTCTGAGAAGCCAACTGGCTTTGCTATGGTGAACTGTCACCGAGTCATAGCTTCTGGGTCATGGTTATGTCACATCCTACAAATATTTCAGTCTAAGGTCTGTTACTTCACTTAGTTGATTTTGCATATTGTAATGCCTAACTGAACAAAGGCAGAGCTCACAAAGAATGTAACAAATGTACAAGCTATTGAACGTTTTGTGTGAAATACATGAAACGATGCGACAGGGTAGCATATTAGATACACTACAGTATGTTATCATATTGGACATATTTGGTAACGAATTACTTTATGCTTAATATTAATTTCAGGAGTGAGAAGGAAGGCATTCCAGTGGAGCTGATCCAGTATCTTGATGTATGTGTCGAGATTCCACAACAAGGTGTAATTCGTTCCCTTAATGTACACGTCAGTGGGGCACTCCTCACATGGGAATACACACGTCAAATGTTAAACCAGAAACATTGAACATAAGTTGTTCATTGGCAATAGTTTGGACTTTTTGCTCTTTACAATAGTTTATATAAAAAGTAACATCCATCACGATTATTACACTTCAAAAGTGCTTGATTTTCAAGTTATAAGAATAAGAATAGCTCTTTAAAGTACTCCATTTAGTACATTGTACTTGACCAAATTTGACAGAAAAAGATTAGTGTATTACTTGATTATTCCCAAATAAATACAGACTAAAATATTAGACTAATATCTGGTTGACTTCATCAATCAAAATCAAGCTTTACATTAACAACAACAATAAACCTGCGGACCAGCACTTGGCTCAAACACTGGATACAAAGTTTTTGAAAATATTTAACTATATCTTTGATTCTACTTTGGACAGCCATTCTTTAAGATCTGTGGAAAAGCCTTTTTTCAGAATACAAAATCATCCAGGCATATCTTGTTTTTGGTTTAGTATAAAACATGACACGGTGACATGGCAAACCCTATATAAATCTGCAAGGATTTGACCCAAAAATAGTGTCCTAGAGCCGTGCCATAGTCTATGCCATGGCACCATGCAACGTTTTGTACCAACCTCTTGTTTTCTGAACAACCCAAGACTGAATGATAAGAAAATTATTCACAAGAATATGAAAAGCAATTAATATACTGATATGAAGTATATTTGGTTAAAGAAGATACAGACATTGATAACACGTGAATGGCTGGTGCTTTCTAAGAAGTCAGTAAAGGATAACTGCTTGTGTGTTGCTGTGACTTCTACAGTGTCTGGAAACACAATTATATAACAATACAATTTGTATTTTCAACAATTTTGCTTTTTTTATTTAAAACATGAACAGTTGCTGCAGTTTATATCAGTTCTGGATAGGAACTATGGTATATAGATTGGAGACCTGGATGAATTTATGTAACCATACCCACTTACATGTAAAGGTATTAGAAAGAACAGAGACAAATCGAGACTAAGTTTTGAGTACTTTTAAAAAAGGGGACATCCTCTTTTTCAATCCTAATTCCTAGTTGCCAAACAACTTCTATATTTGATTCTCAATTTATTTTTAGAAAATTAGATTAAGACAAAACATTGGCATGATTATTGAAAAGAGTGCTTGCAACATTTTACACTGTCTGTTCCTTCTAATCATTGAAATAGAACCAATGCTAGAGGGTGAAATTGTTAAATAGCCAGGTAACATTGTCACTGTTGTTTTAGATGCCATATATCTGGGAAATAATGGACATTATCAAAGGACATTGCAATTCAAGAACCAAGATGCAAAGGTGTGAAAATATAAATAAATATGATGAAAATAATGCTGTAACATGTGTAAGCAAAATGTAATTGTCAATCATTTTTCAAAAAATAATCGTTTAGTCCAAGAGAGGTTTCCATGAAGATGTTTTAATGCATTAGAAAGTAAGGTCAGTCACAGTTAATATGTTTAACGTCCTGTTGAGAAGTCATCTAAGGGAAGGGGAAAACAAACAAATTAAAACCTTCATTTTTTGTTTTCTTATTTAGATTTCATAATATTCAATGATTCAAATAACATAACACAGACATAGATAGCTACAGACTAAGTATACTCAATTTGGGGGGGTCTTCGTTTTATTTTTTTTGAATACTTTTTGTTAAATGAACCAAACTTTCCTTTGTATTAACTATAATATTGAGAGGTCTTAAGTAAATGTTATATATGCTATTTTGTTCCACCAAGGTTCGGAAATATCTTTTATTTCATTCTCAAGAATTGGTAGAAAGGGAGGCACAAAAAGCAATTGCACGAAAAAACAAAAATTGATCACAAAAACAATAATATAAAATATATAAAAATAATTTTGCATTAAATTGTTGTCAATCAGTGACCATTACATAAAGGACAGTTGTTTTCCCTGAATAGTAAAAGGGAGGTGACTTTATAAACGGCCTAACATTTAAAACCGGAAAGGACGAATTTGCACAGTAATAACATACCAGAAAACTACTTTCCAACACATCCACAGTCAGATTCCTTGCATCTACAGACAACACCAGGAGCAGACTCCTTACATCCAGAGAAAGACATCTGTCCTGGGGCAGATCTTCTCTTCTTTCTACCAGTACACCCACAGGAACTTGCTCTGCATTGACACCTTGAGTTCCGTCCTTGTTCACAGGCAGTGAAGGTGCTCATACCTCTTTTCTCAAGCTCTTCTGATTCATCATTTACAGCAATCACTGCATTTGCAGCTATCAGGCATAAGACAAATATCGCCAGTTTGTTCATCTTGCTAGGTTCCTATACACAAATAATCACTTGAAAAAAGCGGGCATATATCATGAAAAATACATAAGGACTGAATATTGATAAAATATTTTGAGGTGGATTGGGTTTGGTAGATGTAATGGTTCACCTCTAAACCTTGTAGATACAATATTGATATAATATTTTGGGGGTGGATTGGGTTTGGCAAATGTAATGGCTCACCTCTAAACCTTGTAGATATTGAAATAATATTTTGGGGGTGGATTGGGTTTGGCAAATGTAATGGCTCACCTCTAAACCTTGTAGATATTGAAATAATATTTTTAGGTGGATTGGGTTTGGCAAATGTAATGGTTCACCTCTAAACCTTGTAGATATTGAAATAATATTTTTAGGTGGTTTGGGTTTGGCAAATGTAATGGTTCACCTCTAAACCTTGTAGATATTGAAATAATATTTTTAGGTGGATTGGGTTTGGCAAATGTAATGGTTCACCTCTAAACCTTGTAGATATTGAAATAATATTTTGAGGTGGATTGGGTTTGGTAGAAGTAATGGATCACCTCTAAACCCTGTTGGAAAATATGTCCACACATGAAAAGCCCAGTTTGTTTTGATAGTTTTCCTAGCTCATTGCACAGCATACTAATACACCATATGCAGACAGAGCCTGTGGGAAATATTGGGTGCGGAGCAAATGAGCGGAGGGTGCGGAGCTAACGGTCATTTTTGAATTTAAATTTGGGATATTTCTGAAACTAAACCGTCTTGGGACTTCAAATATACCAAGATATGTGTATTTGACACCAAATATCAATACAATTGTGAAAATAGTAGGGCAATTCATTCTATAGCGACGCAGTGTGCCTTAAACCTTTCCCAGACCTACATATTTTGAAATTATCCTTTTAATACTGAGTCCCCAGCATTCATAAAAAATGGTGTTCAAGGTGCACTATCTATACAAATTATTTTTGCATCTTGGAAGCCAGGCAGTATCTGTGTGATTTTATAAAAATTCGGAAATGTTTTTCAGATATGAGCCCCCTCTAAATATTGGGTGCGGAGGAGCTCCATAAACGTACCTCCGCACCCAATATTTAGAGGGGGCTCATATCTGAAGAACATTTCCGAATTTTTATAAAATCACACAGATACTGCCTGGCTTCCAAGATGCAAAAATAATTTGCATTGGTAGTGTATCTTGAACAACATTTTTTATGAATGCTGGGGAATCAAAATGCTAGTCTCAAAATATATAGGTCTGGGAAATGTTTAAGGCATACTGCGTCGCTATAAAATGAATTGCACTACTATTTTCACAATTTTATTGATATTTGGTGTCAAATACACATATCTTGGTATATTTGAAGTCCCAAAACGGCTTAGTTTCAGAAATATCCCAATTTTAAATTCAAAAATGACCGTTAGCTCCGCACCCTCCGCTCATTTGCGCCGCACCCAATATTTCCCACAGGCTCTGTCTGCATAGAGTGTAATAGAAAGCTTTATTTGACTGCAAAGCATGATAAACATAAACGCAAGGGTAACATCATTTACATAAAAATCTAAATAATTTGGAAATTCTGTCCATCAACATAGTTACAAGTTTAATCATGTTACAGTTGTTTGCAATTATAGTCAAGTATTGAAGTATTGTCATTTGCTGTTTTATCCTTCAAACTTTAGACCACACATCCTTTCTTTTTCATAGGATTCTGTAACCTCCAATACTAGCTTGAATTACACCATGCGTTTTAGAAAGGCGCTTAAGGTTTTAACCCGGTTTGAAAAATAGGTGTAAACACGATTGCCGTTTTACAAAAGGGCTTTTCCAAAACTCCTAAAACCCTAGTCACTAAAAAACGCCTTAAATCGTTAGGTGCTTTTGGAGTGTAGCGTAATACCGATAACGCCTTACCTGGTTTTTTTGTCTTATGCTCTTAACGAAATAAGATGTATTTCGGATGCTACACATTTGGGCCACGGCAAAAATACAGGAAATGATGGATGGGACCCAAAAATGCAATAGGTCATCAAATTATATCGCAAATTGAAAGTTCACATCACTTGCAAAAGTCTCGGTTATGCTTTCTCTTAGATGGTAAAAGAATACATTTATTGTAGATGTATACATCTGCTTGATATTCTCCATATCGGCATCGTTAAAAGTGCACGAAAAATGTTTTAGAAATGACATATGTAATTTCAAAATACAATTCCTAAGGCTGTAAGGCGCTTTAGAAATGTTAGTGTTATCAGGATGGCGATTTTGTAAAGAGCTTTATCAGGTGTAATTCCAGCAACTATGTCATGCAAGACAATTAAAATGGAAAGGTGGCAAGTCTAGGCTTAGACTTCTTGGCATGTATGGAGCCCAACATGTTTGTCACCATGTTATTTGCTGGAATTACACCAGAAAAATGCTAAAAGCGCGTTAGTGGAAAGCGCTTTACAAAATCGCCATCCTGATTACACCAACAAATTTTATTTTGAAATTACACCTGTCATTTCAAAAACGCCTTTCGTGCACTATTAATGATGTAGATATGGAGAACATCCAGCAGATATGTACATCTACAATAAATGTGTTCTTTAAGTATCTAAGACAAAACGTAACTGAGACTTTTGCCAGTGATGTGAACTTACTTTGAATTTTTGCAATTATAATTTGGTGATCTATTGCATTTTTGGGTCCCATCCATCATTTCCTGTATTTTTGCTGTGGCCCAAATGTGTAGCATTCGAAATATGTCTTATTACGTTTAAGGTAAATGGTAAAAACCCGGAATAAGGTGTTTTCCAAAAAACGATTGGTATCAGGCCCATAGCCAGGGGGGTTCGCAGTGACCCTAGGTGCCTTTCTAAAACGCATGGTGTAAATCCAGCAATTATGTCTATGAAACCATGAACTGAACAGGAGGAACTTAGTTAAGATATAAAGCACAATAACCACTTTAACTTACCTCTACTGTTCACGTCTTCCCAGAATAATGGTATTCCAACTTGTTAAGTGTATTTAAAGGGAGTATTAATTGCTTATTTGAAATGATTTTTTGCAATCATAATTGTCAGTAATTTAACATATAATATGTTATATTTATGTGTTTGATGAGGTTGTCAATCATGATAATAAAATAATAAAAATGATGATTGAATAAATGTTATAAACATGATAAATGCAATTAAATATCATGAATGGTAACAAATTTTTGAATTTTCAAGAGGAAATGTTTGACATTTTTATCTATTCAGACTGACTGTAATTGAGATAACTTTTTACCAGACTTCCGAATTGTCTGTCTAATATCAATTTTAACTGTTTTGATGAGTTGATTTTTTTTGTTACCATGATAATCTTTGATAAAATTAATTTTCATTCTTATTTTATAAAAATTGTCCAGTTATGAATTACATCTTGTAAAATCATTCTTCAGCTTTGTAAATGTAGAAATTATCTTGATAAAGTACAAATACGGGGTGTTCCATAATGAATGCTCCCTACCCATCAACCAGATATTCTAAATAGCATGCACTCATAAGTAATGTGTCATATGAAAGCTAATGTTAAATTCTGAACTTATTTGAAACAACTTTGATTAAACTCAAGTTTTTATTACAACTTGCTACATATTGAGGTAGCATTGAATCTAAAAACCACATTTTTCCAAAATTAGCAACATGCACTGCAAACAGCTATGATAACCATTATCTGTAGTAATGTTCAACTTATAACATTTGATGAATGCTGAGGATATATCTTAATGATATTTGAAAGACAAAAAGTATAAAATAATAGAAAATAGAAATACACTGAACCCTAGATGATACAATGGGTTATATAGTATTCTGCTCCTCTCTTTAAATCCATTGGGAATAGTAGCTACAAATCATGCAAATTGAGAGGAAAGTGACTTACCAAACACAAATTCACAACTTATGTTCCTAAATACCAGTCATGCTAAAATGTGGCACATTAGTCCAGAATTGAATAAGCTTTTTTTTATGGTATATAGATAATGTGATAGCCATGTGATCTAGGATTACCTATGGATGGGGAGATGATCATTATGAAACACCCTATACATATGTATATGTCACCATCTCTACAACATAACAAAATCTTAATGATACATAATATGTCTTACATCTTATTCAAGGGAATCTTACAAAGTTGTTTCATTATAGAGGAGGTTGGCATTGTTTTGTGTATAGAATAAGTAATATTGCCACCTAATTATGAAAATGTGATCTTGGAATGGATAATGCAAAATTTTCCTATGATTTTAACAATAGTACAAAGATATTTTTATACTTATTTGTATTTTATTCTATTCATATTTTTGTCAATGCATAATTCTCAATGTCCTCAATGCCCTCCATAAGACATGTAAGAATGGCAGAGTGTACAATGAGGATGAAAATATAATTTGAATACTGTATACCTCTTTATCTTATATATCTTAACATTCATCAAGTACATCATATTTCATAAAATTGTTAAAATTTAAAGCAAACCATAAATAATTTAATTTCATGATAACATTAAAAAATTGGGTTCAAACATTATTAGAACAAGGCATTAACATGACAAAATGTCAACACCTAGTTGAAGCAAGATAAAAAAGACCTTTTTGACCTTGAGGAGGTCATTAAAGGTCAAATCTATTTTGACCCTGAGAATGTCATTTAAGGATCAAATCTATAGTCAGATTTGAAATGTTGAGAACTTGTTGACGATTTTGATAAAAATGGTCAATTTGAAGCAAGTTGGAAAAATACCTTTTTGACCTTTTTACCTCAAGAAGGTCATTCAAGGTCAAATCTCAAATCTTAAGTCAGATTTGAACTTCCGATTAACTTATAGATGACTTTGAAAAAAAATTGGTTAATTTGAAGCAAGTTGAAAAAAGACCTTTTTTGACCTTGATAAGGTCATTGAAGGTCAAATCTTAAATACAAAGTCAGATTTGAAGTTCTGAAAACATGTAGATGATTTTGAAAACAATTGAAGTCAGTCTATACAGTATTTGTTAAATTATAGGAAGTTGTAAGAATTTGTTACAGACGAATATGTCACCACTTTTTGGTGATGACATAAAAAGTTCATGTCAAGTAAACTCTGTTCCATCAACAATATAACATGACATAAACACTGACAATCTGAGATGTGTAGAGTCTTCATGTTGATTTTAAAATTAGATGTTGTCTTGAATATATTCACCATGCATCTCATTTATTGTCGTGAAGTTGTCACATGGAGTCATATTGCTATGTTCAAAGGTTGATGGCTTTTATGACATTCATTGCATTTATTGTCCTTCAATACAAATATTGGTTTGAGGTTGGCACTAAGAACTTCATTGCAATTACCTGACATGAATTATCCATGCAGTCTCAATTTTCGCAGTTTTCTATAAAATTCATTGCATTAATTGTCTGTGTAATACTCATGTGAAGTCTCATTCTTGAATTTCATGCGGTTGATCATTGTGTTTTGTATTTGGTCACATTTATTAATTCACTTTGTCTTAGTTACTTGGGGTCTTGGTTTGTTTGGAGGTTGGAGAGAAGTAAGACAGGATGGTTCTGCTTGGAGGTGTCTGGAAAATAGAAATTATTATTTATTATATATTCCACAGAAAAAATTCACTGGAATAGTACAAATGGACTCTCTTTTGTAAAGGAATAAATCTGGTTGACAAAAGATAAACAGAAAAATATTATAATTACATTTGAGTTTAACTGCAGTGCCAATTTTAATTTTGTGTAACAGGGACTAATTTTATAAATAAATGATAATTACATGACAATTACCTACAAACATTAAAAAATCTTGAAATGAAACACGACAAACTAGCTGCTATGTCCATTTTAACCCCAAATTCTGAAAGCCTTACTGACTTTCCTGTCAAAGTCCTTAGAATAACTGCGATACAAAATCTGACGTTGACATTACTTTTATCAAAAATTCTGAAAGCACCATCGGTAAATTCTACCACCACATTCTGTCATTTCACATCATTACTCTAAGAAGGTATATTAAGACAGGCAAGTGGGCTTACTTGTAATACATTGGGTGATGAAGGTCTACTGGATCTTTGCGGTGTCTGCAGCAGAGTTCTTCGGGATCTTCCACTTTTAGGAGTTACTCCCTGGCTCGTAGTTGCATTTTCCTCACTCCCTCTGCGAGAGGTCCTCCCACTGGGACTATTTTTGGATTCATGATTTATAACCTTAATTTTGGAAGATTTTGGAGTTTGCCCCAAATCATCCTTTGAGAATGTATTTCTAGATAGTTTATCATCCTCAGAATTAAAGACCGAGTCATTTGGGCTTACGCTATCAACCCCTACTGATGCACGTCTCTGTTGGGACAATTTTGTCAGCCAGTTAGATTTCTTTGTATTTGAATTTAGAGCACATGGTGTTTTTCTTGAATCAGGGTCAAGTACAAAGTTTGGTAAATTGCTAGTGGGAGATTGGTATATTCTTGGTGAGAGAGGTTTCTTAACATCCTTGAAGTGTTCATTCACTTTGGAATCTTCTAATTTATTTTCCATGCGATTCATATTGTATTCAGCATCATTTTTATCAATTTTGTTTAAACATTTCCGTTTCTGTGATACTTCAGGTGATAATGTTTCACAGAGTTTCCGCTTCACCCCGACATGAATATTTTCTTTGTCTCTGATTGGTCCAATTGTCAACTTCCTGGGTGATAAAAGTTTCCTTGGTGATTTTTTACAAGGTGACTCAGCAATTTTTTTCTCACGGGCTTTGGTTATTTTACCAAGCCATTCTTTTATAGATGGAGTTAATGTCTTTGTTGCTATAGGAGCAGTGGTTTGTTGACCCTGAGTGTTACTTGGATTATGCATGGGAGATATTCCAGTAAAATTTGATGGATTTCTTGCACTCGAAGAATTGGTTGACGTTCCTGCAACATAAAAATCTGAGATTATTACAAGTTCTTTATTCAGGTAGGCTAAGTATGGCGTTTTATATGTGGAGGTTTTGGAAGTTTTGTTTTCTGATTACTTTGTTATGTAATCTTATGTAACTCTATGTAATTTCTTTTGTTATGTAATCTTATGTAACATTACGTGTGATTATACAATATACTTTCTACAGCTCCAAACACTTTTTTGTTGTTTCATTTATTTAAATGTATGCTTGCACACTATTACGATGGCACATGGTTTCAAAGGTTTGTCTGCTTGCCCAACCTTAAAGATGACTGTGCAAAATTCAAATAAATGTTTGCTGGAGTGTAACCACCCATTTTTTATGTTTAACTGAATGAATGATTCTCTTTATGCTAATAACCAAAGGCCAAGTAACGTAAAATTATTTCTCAATTTTGTTCAATACAATTTTACCATTATCTACATAGATCCTAGGACCACCTTCATTAAATAGTTCCTTGTACATGAACATCTGTTAGAGACTACATTGTTTTCACTATTTTTAGATATTTCTTACCATTATCACCTATATGTGATTTCACAGCAGCACCAACAACAGTACCAGGTTCAGGGGATAGAGAGCTCTGGGTTGAGCGCCAAATATTGACAGTGTCGTCATCAGCCAATGTTACAATCTGTAATTGTTGAAAGATACATTATGGAATCTTTAATATTTTATGATTTCTAAATCCACCAATTAGTGATTTCATCATCACAAAAGCAACTTACCTTGAAAATATCTGTGGGGCACCAGGCAACTGCAGTGACCTCTTTTGTGTGACCCTTCAACAACACTGGGCTAGCCATAGGAGAATCCACATTCCATATATAGGCATTGTTGTCACTGGAGCCACTCAGTAGAAAGCGATCATCGGGACTGAGGCATGACTTCACATAGAATGTACTGTTCATATGACCCTGGTATGTTACCACTGGAAATAGAGTATACTTCTCCCAATCAAATATCATACTATACTTTGAGACAAGGCATTAACATGACAAAATGTCACCACCTAAAACAATTTGGTCAATTTAAAGCAAGTTGAAAAAATACCTCTTTGACTTTTTTGACATTGAGAAGGTCATTGAAGGTCAAATGTCAAATGTAAAGTCAGATTTGAACTTCTGAGAACATGTAGATGATTTTGAAAAAAAAATTAAGTAAATTTGAAGCAAGTTGAAAAAAGACCTTTTTGACATTGAAAAGGTCATTGAAGGTCAAATGTCAAATCTAAAGTCAGATTTGAACTTCTGAGAACATGTAGATGATTTTGAAAAAAAAATTAAGTAAATTTGAAGCAAGTTGAAAAAAGACCTTTTTGACCTTGAAAAGATCATTGAAGGTCAAAGGTCAAATCTAAAGTCAGATTTGAACTTCTGAGAACTTGTAAAGTCAAATTTGAACTTCTGAAAAGATGAAGATGATTTTGAAAAAAAAATTTGGTCAATTTGAAGCAAGTTGAAAACAGACCTTTTTGACCTTTTTTGACCTTGAGAAGGTCATTAAAGGTCAAATCTAAAGTCAGATTTGAATTTCTGAGAACATGTAGATGATTTTGAAAAAAAAAATAGTCAATTTGAAGCAAGTTGAAAAAATACCTTTTTGACCTTTTTTGACCTTGAGAAGGTCATTGAAGGTCAAATGTCAAATCTAAAGTCATATTTGAATTTCTGAGAACATGTAGATGATTTTGAAAAAAAAATTTAGTCAATTTGAAGCAAGATGAAAAAATACCTTTTTGACCTTTTTTGACATTGAGAAGGTCATTGAAGGTCAAATGTCAAATCTAAAGTCAGATTTGAATTTCTGAGAACATGTAGATGATTTTGAAAAAAAAATTTAGTCAATTTGAAGCAAGTTGAAAAAAGACCTTTTTGACCTTTTTTGACTTTGAGAAGGTCATTGAAGGTCAAATGTCAAATCTTAAGTCAAATCTAAAGTCAGATTTGAATTTCTGAGAACACGTAGATGATTTTGAAAAAAAATTTTAGTCAATTTGAAGCAAGTTGAAAACAGACCTTTTTGACCTTTTTGACCTTGAGAAGGTCATTGAAGGTCAAATGTCAAATCTTAAGTCAAATCTTAAGTCAGATTTGAATTTCTGAGAACATGTAGATGATTTTGAAAAAAAAATTTAGTCAATTTGAAGCAAGTTGAAAACAGACCTTTTTGACCTTTTTTGACCTTGAGAAGGTCATTGAAGGTCAAATGTCAAATCTAAAGTCAGATTTGAAGGTCAAATGTCAAATCTAAAGTCAAATCTAAAGTCAGATTTGAACTTCTGAGAACATGTAGATGATTTAGAAAAAAATTGAAGTCAATCTAAACAGTATTTGTTAAGTTATAGGAAGTTGTAAGAAATTGTTACAGACGCCGGACGCCAACCTCCAACCGCCGGACGCCAACCTCCAACCGCCGTCGCAAAAAAACAGAGACCATAACAATATGTCACCACTTTTGGTGGTGACATAAAAACCTGAAATATGCTTTGAGATAATACAATGTTCTGCAATCTGAACATTCTGATTATGTGAAGGTTCACATTAATACGTAAAGAGGACTCAATATTAGGGTTAAGGTCTTGAAGCCTGAAAATAAATGAATAAATTTACTTTCAACTGCTCTTACCTAAAATGACAATTTTCAATAATTTTCTGTCTTGGTATCATTTGTTTTTAACTGTTTTCATACAAAATGTTAATTAAACCAATGAAACAGAACAAATATTCTCAAGTTTCTACTTTTCAATTTCACAATCATGTCTTACCTGGTTGCTTGTTGAAGTTGGCACAATTAAACTGGTAGATGGAACTGTCAGTACAACTTGCAAATAACCGAGAGTAGGTAGAGTCCAGTACCAGGCTAGAGAACCCTGTAAGAAAATGTCATCATTTAAAATGGTTGTGACTTTTCATATAAGCCCTTCACAACTAGCATGTATTTCAAATAAAGAATCCAACAATGAATGTCAAAATTTTTAAATTGAAATGAATTTTAATATCCTGATGTTAAAAAACATTTTTTATACAGTACATCATTGCTATTACTTTTGTGTAGAGTAGTGGGGATCAGGAAAACTTCATAGCCAGGTAGGCTTCATAGATAGGTTTGTTTATTGACAACATGCCCAAGAAAGACTAAATGCTCATCTCAAACATTATTCAATTCCACTTACCATGTTTTCTTGTGCTGGTCCCAGCATACGGGAATATGAACTTTGGATTCAGCTTTTGTCGAAGATCCCACACTTTAACCACCCTGAAAACATCAGGAGCTCATATCAAACCTATTCTGATACATGCAAGAGAAGCTTCAATACAAATACAAAATGCACTCGCTTTATGTTGTATGCAGAGTTGGAAACAAACAGGCCTAGTATCAAAAAAAGTTTTTGTTCAAAATAAGTTTTGATGAAATATTAAGTGAAAGGATTTATTAAAAAATCAAAAGTTGGCATAGACTTTAATTTTTGGGAGTCAGCTGGTGTGACAAAGCAGAACATGCTAGATAGTAGATACTGTCTTATTAATTATGTTTAACAGCCTTTGAATGTTAAAATCCACACCTACCCATCTACAGCTCCTGCCGATATGAGTGTGTTATCATCTTGGAACAAAACACAGGTAACACTTTGTTGACTGTCCTGAAATATAATATAAGAATGTTATCATCTTGGAACAAAACACAGGTAACACTTTGTTAACTGTCCTTAAACATGATATGGGAGTCAGTCATAAAAACATTACAACAGAATATACAAACATTAGACTACTTTTCACTGCAGAGGAGTTCACCATGTTTTTTCAAGGAGGCAGTGACATAACAGATCCAAGACTATATTTAGCACTTTCATAGTCAATATATTCAATCCATTAATTTCATGTACATCAATTACTCCTCTAAGATGAATGTTCTTGGGACCTGGTTGAGAGGTTCTACTGAATTACCTGTACAGTTGTAGCTTTGGATCCTCTCTTTTGTTTAGTTGTCCTGGCAACAGTATGACAACAATGGGCATTCTTTATTGTCATGGTAGGACACATAAAACCATCTAAATGGAAAAGATCAACTTGTCTAAAGGGTCACATATTTATACTTTGAATTGATTGACACTGAATGAAGTATCAAAACATTGGAGTTCTAAAACACGAAATGACTACAAAGCAGAACAACTACTGTATACAGCATAAACTGAGCTAACAGAATATGGCTCTTCCAATTAAACTTGAGATGCAATGCAACCAGAGCAGTTCTAATGTAAAAATGTATCCATCATGGGTAAGTGGTTCACATTCTGACATTCAACAACAGTGGACTGCATTTTCTATAAGAGACAGGTAAGCTTATTTGTACCTTTCTCATTGCACCTAGCATCCCAGATCATAATATGACCATCTCTTGAACCACTGGCAAATACACCTTGAATAAATACACATAAGTTAAATGATTTAAAATACTATGGCTTAACATGACAAAATGTAACCACCTACAAATAGTTATAAGAATGTAACAATTTGTAACAGATACTAGAATGAAGTATAATACAAATCTCATCACAATTTGAAGAATTCATCATGAATCAAATAAGTTGAAATTACAAAGATTTGCACCGAAGGAATTTCCATGAAAATAATTTCACTTTTAACCTCAAAAATTGAAGGATAATACAAATCTCATCACAAATTGAAGAATTTAACATGAATCAAAGAAGTTGAAATTACAAAGATTTGCACTGAAGGAATCTTACTTTTATCTTGAGGTCTGAAATTGACTGATTTCACACTGCTCGAGTGACCTTTGAATAATCCTAAACACGAAGTTGTGTCCACATCCCATAGTGAAATTGTCTGGTCACCTGATGCAGTTAAAAGTTTATTTTCCTGTTCAACCCAAGTAACATCGAACACTGCATTGTTGTGAGCTAGCCATTCTTGAATGGGAACAATAATCATTTTAAAACAGTGCAGTAGTACACCATGAAAGGTGAGACATAAGCCAAAATCAAGAAATCAACAGCTCGTTTATTTCAATCTAAAGACAGTTGATTCTTTAGCATGGATAGAAAAATATCAGATCTTTTAATGTACATATTTTATCATTCAATGGTCCATGTATTTCAATTGGTTTTCAAATTATTGCAATCATACCTGGTTGTTCAATTCCTCAAAAAATGTTCTATATTATTTGTCAAATGTCATGTTCGATATAAGGGTATTCAATATTAAACATATATTTAATGTACATTCCCTCCCAAGTTAGGGTAACACAGGGTAAAAACAGATAGGTACAATACATGCAACAATAAATGTTTGTTTGTATTAGTACCTCAAAGCCTCCTTACATTCTTCCACTCAAAAAAGCATTGAACTTTGAGGACAAAAATATTATGATCACCTAATTTGTTGGCCCGTGGACCAGAGATGTTAGTATCATATATACAGACAGCGCCATCCTCATCTACAATTGCAATCATGTGACCACATCCTGAGACACGGCTAAATGAACATGCAAATGGTGGAACTATATCCTGGAAAACAGAATTAGGAAATGAGTACATTTTAAAATGAAAACATTATCATTCTACACTGTATGAGTAAACTGAATTACATCTTATCAGTATGGGCGTAGCTACATATACGCAGAATATGCATGTTCTGGGGGAGCATCCCGGGGGGAGACCCCCCCTAATTTTGCTCGGCTCATGGCCAGCACTACTAATCCTGGCTACGCCCCTGAACAGTATTTTATATAATCGAACAAAATAATTATGTAAAGTATTCATAAAGTATGAAATATATTATTTTCATTTTATTAAACACATGCATATATTTTCTTACCCCTATTTCCTGTCCCTCTATTACATGCTGGTCAGATCTCACACACTGAAAATTTTCTATGATATCATTGAGTTTTTGTTGGAATGTCCCTGAAAAATAAAAGATTAATACTTTTACATTGTATTTGTAATGACCCTGGGGGTCATTAACAGAAAGTTCATAAAGTTAGGAATTCGTTTAGTCCATTGTTCTCTAACTGTGATGTCACTATATCCATGGTTACAACAATTGATTGAGGAATTCATAACTTTATAAAGTTTCTGTTAATGACACTCTGGATAGCAAGTTCCTACTACAGTTCATCAGATCTCACATAGAAAATAGCATGAAAGTTCAGAAATCATTAACATGTACTCTTTTCAATAAGTTGGTTTCACTTTTGAACAAATAGATGATGTGCATGGTCCTAGCTGTGGTTTATTTTACTAGGAAGATGCAGCAAATCTGTGGCCTTTTGTAATTTAGGGAGTTTCAGCAATGTTAATTTTTCAAAAATAACATGGTAGAGAAGCAGCAAAATACAAGAGGCCACACACATGATAGCCAAACTACAAAACAAACCAATAATACAAAAGTTAGGCCTTGTAGGCTACTATGGGCATTCAGATTGAAAGCCCATGCTTGAACAAATGTTTCTAATTTTACATATACTGTTTCAATATGGTCCTTTGATTGCTTATTTTTTAGATTCAAAGTACTCAATGGAATTATGAATCGGACTTTAGACTACACCATTGAAGTGGCACTGGTTAGGGCTATAGTCTAGCCTACCACTAGTTCAACGCCGTTAAAACTCAATAATGGCATTCGCATTCTTTATTATTAGGAATTTTCTTGGCCGTTATTGAGTTTAACCTCCTTACTATTCTTTCCTCAGTTGCAAGTTCTGGATCCATCGAAACCATTTTTTCGCGATGCAACTGATACTTGACAAATAAAAATTAAATGCAACACAGATGGTGACACATATTGAACTATAACGGCACAGGATATAATAAAGCAACTATTGAACAAGTTTTATAAAAATAGGTATGTAAACATCATAAAACGTCAAGATAATGACGTTTTTTTCGTGGAAGCAAAATATGTTTTTTTACGAATTTTCCAGAAAAATATCCTTCTACAACTCTCGACTTGTATGACTCTAATCGCATCGGCATGTATATTTTTGTATTGCTGTACCAATTATCTATCAAATGATGTACTTAATTGTTGTTTTGGGATGACAAGGAATTTTTTATTTGATTTTTCAGTTGGTGCTATATTACAGGTTAGACCCCTTCCCTGTGGTATGCATGCTTGAAGCACATTCTTTATGTAATATTACCATGTGTTCAGCACAGGGAAATTATTATTATTCAGGGTTTAATTAGTTCCGCTTGTCGAAACCTGTGGAACGATTAAATTAACGAATCAAAGGCAAAATGAGCATGGAGGTTAGACCAAGCTGGGACATGTCAGATAAGAAACGAGGCTAGGTCTAGACTAATGTTCCCAGGCTTTGTATAAAAAACCTCCAACATCCACCTACCCACCTACGTGGAACATGATACAGTCATTGAAGGGTTCAATTTTAAAGATCGTTAAATCTCAAAATAGCTCAAAATATTAACATTTCAACAATTCCGGCTTTATTTTATGACTAGAGTCCATTTCACTTCTTCATTGCGTCAGTAGAACAGCAAAAATAAGAAATTGGGAGACCATTGTGCAATAATATATGGAAAAGTATAGATCTATTCATAATGTACATGAATGACATTTGTATATTTCAGATTTTTTAGTTTTTTTGTGCAATAAGCCTGTGCCGTCTTGTAATTTGAAGAATTTCAGCCATGTTAATCTTATTGAAAATAACATGGCAGAGAAGCATCCAAATATAAGAGGCCACACACTTTATAAGCCAAACTAGAAGCAATCCAAGATATACAAATGTCATTCATGTACAATAGGAATATATTTTTGCATATATTATTGCAAAATGATATTTTGATTTCTTATTTTTTAGCTTTTACTGACGCAGTTAAACAATGAAATGGACTCTACTACTTTTTTCAAGGCCTGACTGCGTCGCTAACATGCTAAATATAAGAGTTAGCTGACGTTTGGGAGTCTGACTTACCTTCTAAAGGTTAGAACCCGAATCTTAATGAAACCATATCACCTTTGTTGCGTCGATGATGATGCATAAACATAGCATTTGATAGAAATTAGCGTAAATGCTTTTCCGACTTTTTCATTTTTCATCAATGTTGACTTCCGGGAAGGCGTTGTAGTTATCACGAAATAACGCATTGACCCTTGAACTTTACTTTGTTGACGTGTCAACCAAGCATGTCTGGTGTCAAAATTAAAAGAATATTAAGCAATGTTCTACATCCGCCAAGCTAAGTGAAGTAGTCAATATTTAAAATTACCAATTTCAAGTGAAGTACGCAACGAACGAAACTGCGTGATCTACACTCCCACAATTGGTCTGAATGAAATGCTACGTAGAAATATAAGCCGTCTGCTGTATTAGTCGATTAATAGAGTAAGACCTGTTGGTGATGCTTTATAATTTAGACCAAAACATTGAAGAACAAACGAACCTGTAAATCGTGAAAACAACGAACAAATATTCGGTTTTCACATATGTTCGGTAATTTTTCGTATTGAAACTTCCGGAACTTACAAGGAAATCATTCATTTTCTCGATCCATGATTTTGGATGTTGTGGCAAATGCTCCATGGTTGACGGAACAAAGGTGATATGGTTTCATTAAGATTCGGGTTCTAACCTTTAGAAGGTAAGTCAGACTCCCAAACGTCAGCTAACTCTTATATTTAGCATGTTAGCGACGCAGTCAGGCCTTGAAAAAAGTAGTAGACCGATAACAGATCCATAAATAAATGCATATGGATGCATTTTAATATGTAATGACCCGAGGGCGCCCCAAGGGAATAAATAACTAACGACCGCGAGCATAGGTCCAACAAGCCAGATGAAGAAATTGAAAGAAAGTTGCTAAATTTGATGCCCTGAGTGGGAATTGAATCCCAGCTGGGATGCTATCAAGGGTCGTTACAAATGCATCTATAATTCATCATAAACTAAGATTTAATAAACTAAGATCTTTCAAATTGAGCCCTTCAAAGACTGTATCATGTCTCACGTACGTGGGTAAGTGGATATGAGGTAGGAGGTTTTTTATACAAAAGCCTGTTGGACTCAGTCATTGAAAAATAGGCTAGAAAAAATAAATTCTAAAACTTACTTTGAGTGCCTCTTTTCGAAATTATTTCTCTGTTCCAAATGAATCCTAAGGCTTGATCCATATCTCGTGTACCATATACAGTTGATTATCTTACTTAGATTTCGATCTTTAAATTGGTAGATTATAAAATGAGAAAAACATGAAAAACTAAAATTTTGTTCCCTCCATATTTTCCCGCAACGTGACGTCATATATCTAAGTAATTCAATGTTTGTAAAACATTCGTCATTTTGAAAATTAAATAGTACAAATTTTTCATAGATAATAATAATCTCAATGTATTACTTAAAAATACTTGATTTAGATGCAGTAAAATATCAAAGATTTGAATTCCACTTTCTCAAAATATAACGAGACTACGTCGGCCATATTTGATATTCCAGAAATTTCCACATTTTTCTGGCTAAAATCTGTCACAATCTCGACATTTTAAGACGTTAACAGCATTCAATCGTTCACTGAAGTAAAGATTTGTTCCATATCTATCTAATATGGGGCCTAAACAAGCACCTAGACAAGGAAAGAAGTCGGAATATCAAGATAAAGACAAGCCTGCCCAAATTCGAGGGAGCAACATAACTGCTGCAAAAGGTTTGAAAAAAATTGTGTCATAGCAACCAAATTTGGCTTGGCTTCTCATGAAATAAAGAAAATGTGCAATCTTGACAACGCTCCATGTGGCCATGTGTCAGTTTTGCGTGCAAAATTTGGGACTCCAATGTCCCAAACGTAGCTATTTTGACAGATCTGTGAAATTTTTCAAGAAAAAAAGGAAAAAAGTTAGAAAATGATCTCTGTCAAATCATGAATTCATATGTCAGACTGAGATTTCTGACTCATTCTTTTTCAGTTCTTTATGAATTGCAAGTGCTCATTAGAGTCAATACGTCCAAATCCAAACAGGGGGGTAACACGAACGGGTTCCAAATAATGGCAAGCAGATCAATGAATTGAATAATAGTACCTCTACTACCTCTACACAATATTTATAGCCTGAAAGATACAATATAATGATGTATATCAACAATCTTACAATAAAATAATCAATTATGATGATTTAGGTGTTCGGAATTACCCCCATGCTAGTGTTTGGAATTACCCCCACAAACTCTGTGTGTTTAAATAAATAAATGTCAGTAATAAATGATTTAAATTTGGGTTTCTTGATATGCAGGGGTGACAGATCCAGTATCATAAGTTAAGGGTATCATATAATGATATACCATCAATCTAATAATTAAAACAATTAAGTTTAAGTTAAGTGTTTGGAATTACCCCCATGCAAGTGTTCGGATTTACCCCCCAAAAAAACTCCTGTTCGGAATTACCCCCCTAAAATACCTTGTAGTAAAAATGGAATAACCCAGATATTTTTTACAATTTTTCGCAATTTTTTCTGCAAATGCATTCTACAGTGGATAATACACATAATATATATAGAATCATAGCATAGATGTGCAGTACAGCCAAGCTAACTACATTTTTTGATGGGGGTGTTTGGAAATAGACGTACTGACTCTACCCTTCTTTACATACCTACAAGTTTTGTAAATCTATTCGTAATTTTAAAAGTCAGTTGAAGTTCAGGTGTTACATTCAAAGTCGTCACCATCAATCTACCTTTAGTAATAGAATAGAAAAGTCCGAAAGCTCTTTGGAAATATAAACACTTCCGGTAAATATTCTGACATTTATCCTTCAAACTGTGACATTTATGCTTATATTTCGACATATATATGACAAATCACGTGACGTGATATTTCTGTGAAGTAAAAACAAACACAAATAATTTGATCAATTTGATCGAATTCACTCTATATTATCATTCAAAGACTTCCTAACAATACACAATCACACACGAGATACACGATGATACAATATATCCACTGTAGTTGATGTGAGCGGGAAATCGAGCTGAGAAATCGGCTTCGTTAAGGATTTTTCCAAATATTTTAGTTTCACTTTCAGATTTTTCCCCGGGATTTTAGGAACATTATCAGTATCAACGATTATCGGTAACGGTAAGGTAATGGAGGTGAAATTTACCGGCAGTGAGATCCATTACCGTTGCAAGCACTACTTCCCCCTAGATCAGAAATTAGAGCAAATAAACAACAAGGTGTCGAAGTTACCCCACATGTCGAAGTTACCCCAAAATGGTGTAGACGTTACACCCTTTCGCCGTAATAGAGAGCTTTCTAGGGCTCGGTCCGGTTGTGAAAATCACAACCGAAAACCGTTTTGGTCAACGAATCTGAATAGCTGAACTTTAACTTATGATAGTCCAAGAAAGTAAACTTATACGTCAAGATCTTGTCAAACTGCTTCAAAATTCTTATTTTCAATGAAAAATATGACAAAACTTATGTCTCCTGTCGTTGTTGTTAACTTCCGGGTATTCCAGAATTCCTATGACCTACATCCGGGTATCATAAATATGTTGGGACGAAAAATAAAAGCACAAAAAATAGTGATTATCAGCGTTGAGGTGAGATTTTGTTCATATTCTTTGATTTCTAGACGTTTTTGCAATATCCAGGCATAGAATCGTGTGATTATTTAGAACAGAAATGGGTTCGGTTTTCGGATATTGAAGTCTGTAACCGAATCCGGCCACATTTTGCACCTGACTTGTCATTCCCGAGTACCGGTCCGAGCCCTAGAGCTTTCGATATACGTTTTCAATATATACATTTTTTATAAATTTTAAATTTTGTTATTTTCAGCTGTTGCAGATGCTATACGTACAAGTTTAGGCCCTAGGGGCATGGATAAAATGGCAAGTACACTCTCTCCATCTCTAACTATGTTGTGCATGATACAGGCTGTTTGAAATGGGATTCTTTAACATATCATCAAAGAAATTTCAATTAGCAAGGGGAAAAATATGTTTCTATTAAATGAATTCATTATTTGAACAACAGGAATAATGTATAAATTATATTTTAGATCCAGGCCTCTAATGGCGATGTCACAATCACAAATGATGGAGCTACTATACTGAAGGAAATGAAAGTACTTCACCCGGCTGCCAAAATGGTTAGTGCAACTAATATCTATCACCTAGGCTAGTATAAACTCATGTCAGTATGACTCGCAACCTCCGAAAATGGCTAAAATCAAAGCACTGTTCCATCCTTTTACATTAACCAAACATAGGGGGACATCTATTTGAACATTAAAGGGATTGGGCTTTAATTTGAATTAAAATACATTGATTAAGTGTTGTTGCTTGAAGTTAACAAGACACTTTTCTAATGTTTTTAATTGGTAAATTCCAGTTGGTTGAGCTGTCCAAAGCACAAGATATTGAGGCTGGAGATGGTACAACTTCTGTGGTAGTCATTGCAGGAAGTTTGCTTGATGCCAGTGCAAAACTTCTAGCTAAAGGTAAATCAATATGTTTTTCCAATTGGAAGTTGAATCAGATAACAAATTGACTTTACTCTTAGGGTATTCTTCAGAATACATGTATACTGAATATTTCTTTAATCAAAAAATAGGCACATACTAAACTCCTGTGAAAGTTAGTCATCAGACTGAAAAGAATAGCCTGGATGCCCATTCCAACTCCAACTTTTCCTCGCCAGGGTCAAAATTCTCATAATAAATTCCAAAACTGATAAGATTACTTTAAATTTTATTCGCACATTGTTTAATTGGTTGTAGAAAACTTTCAACTCGGAAAACTTTGCATCTAATAACTGGTTGCAGTTTGCTTTAATGCTTCAATGGTAGAATATTGATGTAAAAGTGTTATGTATATCTGTTGTGTTGTAGGTATACACCCCACAACTATATCAGAGTCCTTCCAGGGTGCAGCTCAGAAGTCTTGTGAGATCTTGGAGAAAATTGCCACTCCTGTTGATCTGTCAGACAGAGAGGTGCTCCTCAAAAATGCATCTACTTCACTTAATTCAAAGGTAATCTTCTAAATTCTGGTAGTTAATAGCAACTGATGTATGTCAATTACATCCTTGCAAAAAATTGATATGTAAAAAGGTTGCATTGAGTTGTACAAACAAACCTTGTCATGAAAAGATACTGAATGATAATATCTTGAAAATAGTCTACACTGTATCAATATGTTTACAGGTTGTCTCCCAGTACTCCAGTATCATCAGTCCTATTGTGGTTGACTCAATTCTCAGAGTCACAGATATTGCCAAAGACACCAACGTTGATCTCAGAGACATTAAAATTGTAAAAAAATTAGGGTAAGTGAAAAGTCTATTATCTGTTGGATTCTGTATGCGGCCTGATTAGATTGTCCTTAGACTTAGACAGTCCACTACTTGTGTTTCATTTATTTTATTTGAAATGTCTGAATATATCGTATGGTTAAAAATTGTTTACCTTCCAAATTGAAAGAGTAGTACATGTAATTTGTAGGTCCTTTATACATATTTTCTGAGAAGCTAGGAAATGGTTGATTGTACAAGTACATATTACATAACTTTGTTGCTAATGTAGTGGTTAATTTGAATTCTAGTGGGACAGTTGAAGACACAGAACTCATAGATGGTCTAGTGTTCACACAGAAAACCTCAGGAGCTGGAGGACCTAACAAAGTAGAGAAAGCAAAAATTGGTCTCATTCAGTTCTGTATATCACCACCTAAAACTGATGTTAGTACACAATAAAGGCCTAGGCTTACACAGTGATAAACACCCTAAGTTTAGGTTTTCCTCAATCCACATATTAAATTTTAAAAATGTACCAGCTACTGATTAGAGAAGAAATCCAGATTCTATGATGAACACAATACCGCCCCAGTCTGAATTTTATGACTGATTGGAAATTCTGAGGATCATCAATCCAAAATGAAAAATGAAAATTATTTATGATTTGTCAAAGCATCAGCTGTAAAAGTGGCTTGTCTTTCAAACACAATATAATCAACGACTCGGTGTTGTATTCTTTCTATTGTACATATACTACACTTTCAGATGGAGAACCAAGTTGTTGTATCAGATTACACTCAGATGGATAGGGTCTTGAGAGAGGAGAGGCAGTACATATTGAACATTGTCAAGCAGATCAAAAAGTCTGGATGCAATGTCCTCCTTATTCAAAAATCTATACTCAGGTTAGTGTGAATGGAAAAAAAACGGTTTAACCCTATATTTGTGTGTATAACATAACTTAACATAAAGGGCAACACATATATCCAGAAACTACATACATGTATATTACAATATGCATTGCATTTTGTATAAAAATTCTCAATATGATGAATTAAAAGTTGTGCCAAGCATCAACAGGTTGGTTGGAAATGAATTAATTGACTTGGAAAATAGGGTAATAGATGGTGTATGTTTACGATGATTTATCTGTTAAAAGTTCTGCATCCACATTTGATGGACACCTTGGAGAAGACATTGTTTGAATTTGCATGATCTGATCAACTAGGGGAGCTTTGCAGGAGATTATTAAAAATGCTGTATGTATTTATTGGCTCATTTGCCTTCAGGGATGCTGTGAGTGATCTAGCTGAACATTTCCTTGCCAAGATGAAGATTATGCTCATCAAAGACATCGAGAGAGAGGATATAGAGTTCATTTGCAAGGTAGGTTTTACCATTCCTCATCTTAAGAGGTTTGTGATCTTTTTCTTGATAACTTCAACATGGATGAGAAAACTCGAAACTTTGCCATTTGAACTAAATGAAATGTACTGAATGCTGTATCTAAATCCTGTTATATCTATTATTCAGAGTATTGGTTGCAAGCCTATAGCCAGTCTAGACCATTGTACAGCTGACATGTTGGGATCTGCCGAGTTAGTGGAGGAAATACAGACTGGTTCCAGTAAGGTTGTTAAGGTAAGGGTAGCCACCAATCGCTAGTAGAAACCTACAATATATGGTTGTATACTAAGGGTCTAACGGTGCACCGAAACCGCGGTGCTCCGCAGTTCTTGGGCATCGGTCGGTACGTTCGGTTCGAAAACTCAGATGTTCAGTTTTTTAACGGTTCGTTAATTCAGAAAAAAGTGCCATTCGCTAAAGTAGAGGAAGATGAATCTCGAAACGAGAGGTGAAGATTTCGGCATTCTAAACGCTCAAAAGTCGTACAAGGCCCACTCTTGGGGTTATTTTGGATTTCCAACGAAAGATGGTGTTCCTCTCCCGGAAAGAACGATATGCCGGCTTTGCAAAATCGTTATGGTATATGAGAAACGTATGTGTGAAAAATGTGAAAATTTGCTGTCTGCAGAAATAGAATAGATCAGAATTATACATGCTCCCGGCCGCTTATTTATTATGAAATCGCGCCATCTATTTATCATCGCATAAATAAAATACAATGCAAAGTTAATGATTAATTTGTAAATAAAACTGACTTAGATCAGAGGTAAACATGTTCCCGGGCTGCTCATTTAAATAATGAAATCGCGCCATCTTTTTGAATTATTTGATTTTTTACATTAAAGTGCGATAAGAACCGAAAACCGAAACTGAGGAGATAAAACCGTGAACCGACCCGAACCGAGGAATTATGAAACCGTGAGAGCCCTATTGTAGACACTCCACAGTTATACTACACCCTTTCATTACCATACCATTTTGACAGTAATATATATTGTTGTATGAAGAACTGCTTGGATATCAAAGATTTTTTTTTTTAAACTCCCGCTCAAGTCTTTTCGATGAAGTAACATGTTTTGAATTTCATTTGATTAAAAAACACAACATAAAAGATAAAGTCCTGCTATAAATATGGATATGTAAGGGTTATGTACTGGAGGTCTTGAATACAGGATTTATCCCAAGGGAAGTAGGTGTATATCCTGAGGGACCGATGGACATATATTCACATATTTCCAGAAGGATAAACCCTGTGTCCAAAACTGACAGTACATAACAGATGTATTCCATACCTACATAGGTTCTATGTACTTTCTAATGTTTCCAGGTGACAGGTGTACTCAACCCAGTACATACATGTAACAGATGTACTCCATACCTACATAGTTTCTATGTACTTTCTAATGTTTCCAGGTGACAGGTGTACTCAACCCTGGTCAGGCAGTGTCTGTTATTGTGAGAGGATCTAACAAACTAGTCTTAGAAGAGGCTGACAGATCTATACATGATGCTCTCTGTGTTATCAGATGTCTCGTGAAAAAGAGGTGAATAATGTTTTTTAAATGTCTGAAATGTGGTACAGTTTACAAGTGTATATATCTTCATGGCAACATTTGGTAGATTCTATGATGAACACAATACCGCCCCAGTCTGATTTCTATGACTGATTGGAATAACTGAGAATCTTCAACTGAAAAGGTGAATAATTGTAATCTACAGTTCACTCCACTATATTCAATCCTCTACCCTGAATCCACAGTGGTTAGTCATACTGCCCTCTGACTTTACAAATTGTTTTACAGTTTTTTTGCTGATATGATCTAATGACCTTTTGTTGAGCTCCATGAAAGGGTAATTTTCTACTATACATGTTCATTCTAGGGCCCTGATTTCTGGTGGAGGAGCCCCTGAGACTGAAGTAGCCCTGGCCCTACATGAATACTCACTATCTTTATCAGGCATGGAGCAGTATTGCTATAGGTGGGTACCAATAGTACATAAGCAGGGGTTTCATTAGCAGCAAGCAGCATTGTATTTTTATACAAATTTGCCTGTTTTTTGAAAAATATTACTGTGGTTCCATGGTAAAATCATAATTTCCAATAATTTTAACTTTTCTCGTTTTAATATGCCTGTTATCAGATCTTTTGAAACCCCTGACTAGAATGCACCACAAGCACCTTAGTCAATTTGACAATATCCAGTGAATTTTACTGTAAACATATATTTATTAAACTGCAAAGTAACCTTTTGTTCTAATAAATTTCATCCATATTTCAGAGCTTTTGCCGATGCCTTAGAAATTATCCCATTCACCCTCTCTGAAAATGCAGGTCTTAATCCTATAGCAACTGTAACTGAACTCAGGAACAGGCATGCTAAGGGGGAAAAATCAGCTGGCATCAATGTTAGAAAGGTAAGAATGTAGACACAGGCTCAAAAAAAGTCTCAACTTGAGAGCAATCATTCCATTATATGTGTCGTACATATATATTGTACGTGTGTCTATTAAAAAATTGATTACATATATATATTTGACATAAAATTAATGTAGTATCATTAGCATTCTTATTAGCTGATGTTATACAGTCCTAGATACTACAGTTGTACTCGATGTTATACAATAAAAATACCACAATTTACTAGATGTTATACAGTCCTAGATACTACAGTTGTTATTGTACTCGATAATGCAGATTCTTTGATGAACACAATACCGCCCCAGTCTGATGTCTATGACTGATTGGAATAACTGAGAATACCTGCTTCCATATAATAATAACTATGAGTTTAATGAATAGAAATAATGAATAAAGTTTGGTAGCTGAAATGCAAGTTCATGTATTTATGTGTTGTGGCATTGTTTTCCAGGGTGCTATTACAAATATCTTGGAAGAGAATGTAGTGCAACCATTGTTAGTGTCCACTAGCGCCATCTCTTTAGCTGCAGAATGTGTACGCAGTATCATGAAAATAGATGATATTGTAAGTATTTTCACTGATATATTTTGATTTACATTATTTTCAAAATACATGCAGTATTGATGCACAAGTTAACATATATCTTAGTTTGAGACAAACTAATAAATATCATACCAATATGAACTACTCGTAGCTGAGCATGACAACTCTGAACTAAAATGAACAATATATGATACCCTGAACTATAAAAGATAACTCTAAATAAGAGGACTCTGCACTTAATATAACTGAACTAAATATGACTATAAATGATAACTGTAAACTAAAATTGATAACTGATAAATATAGATAAGATAACTCTTATCAATGTTTGATAATCATCTACATGTTATGTGATCTCCAGGTGAACTCTGTACGGTGAAGACAGGAGACAACAAGGCAACAATCGTGGACAAGACCAGAATAATCCCCCTATCTCAATTTGTATCTCTGTGATGGAACTTTGGACCAACAAAGTGATAAAAATGGACTTCAAAAGTTCAACTTAGCATATTTCCTTATTGCAAGATACACACTGGATCAGCAGAGTTAGAATAATACAACCTCGACTTGAACAAAGCAAAATTATCAAAATCTGAAAGATTTGAGTGAAAATAACATATTGGTTACGATGATTTATCAGTTGAATGGACAACAGTGGAGATGTCACAAGCATTGTTATTTATTAAGTATTTGAAGGATAATGTTGCAGCAAATGCCAAAGTGAAATAGCTGTTTCATATTATCAAATGAGTGTGTGTCAGGCATACAGGTTTATCATTTGATGCCTGTAATGTGTTAAAAAACCATGCCAATTTTTGAATCCAGATTCCATGCTTCATGATTATGTGAGGTATTTCTTTGAAATTGCTTTAACGGTAATTATCTGAGGATGTATTTTGCTTCATTAATGGTTTATAGGACCTACAATGCAGTATGAATGTTTTCTAAACTTTACAATCATAATATAAATGTTGTGTGAATATGTATATACAGTAAATATAATCTTTTTACGTTTGCACTGAACAAGAATGTAAAAACTATGAATAAAAATTGAAACAAAGATCTGTTTGTCTGTTACTTATATATGTCCTAACAATGATACATGTGGTTGCATCAAAATAAGTTGGTAACATTGACCAACCAATGTATTTATACCATCCAAAATATATCTCAAAAATCCTTTTAGATCATAGGATACAATGGTACAGGGTGTCCCGAAAGTATGGGGGCCCCCCTAGGCAGGCATATTCCAGTGTCCTTGTAGTATGTGTCATATATCATTTTAAAGCTTATCCAAAGTTACATTGATTTGCCAAGTATCATGGTTTAACTCCCAAACTTCCCGCTTTTTTTCCTGGTTATAAGGACCAAGCAGAGTAATTGTAGTTGAAGATAAATATGTAACCATAAAAATATAAACTTGAAATAATAGAATCCCCCCCCCCCCCAGCTGTTGCTTACTATAAAAATACTGCTGGCTGGCTGGTGGAAAGTATTAAAATAGAATATCAGTGAGAAAAATGATGTGATTAAGAGGATCTTTGCTGTTTATGCATCTAATTAACCATTTAATTAATTAGATTTTGTGAAAAACAGTCAAGATCTGAATCTACATGTAGGTGGAGAATGGGTAAATCTATTGTCTAGACCTCCTCCCCCATTGATGATAACATGATTATTTTCATCATTCAGCTAAGTCATATATAGACTACTGTATACTAATCTAATAATTAAATAATTTATTTATAAACATAGAACATTTTCTATAAGTATGATAGGTGACATTTTATATCTTCTTCCTGGGCCTCAGGTTTTCGACGTACAGGTACAGTGCTTAACAATTGGTGGACTGGAGGACACCAACCCAACATTTTATACACTACTATTTCTCTTGGATAAAGGCCATATGCCAAGGGAAAAGTAGCATAAAGCCGCGAACTGTAGTCATCATTCTTCTGGAACTTTGTAGACATAAAAAAGGTTAGATGGGAGTACTTAATCTGTAGTTAGAATATACAATAGATGCGCGTCCGCGTGGTACTTTACATGTATCTGATTTGTCTTGAGTACATGTACTATTGGCAAGCCATACTGAAGTTTCTATCAGCGAACGAGTATCAACTAACTTCCTTTTTAAAAATGGCTTTTCGGAAAGTGCAATATTTCTCCAAAACATTTGCTGCTTGTGAATTAAAGAGGTGTTTATCTCAGGTGAGTTTATGGACAAACGAAAGTTAATGCTATAAAGCAAATGCATGTAAAGTTATTTTAAGAATCATTGAATTGATGGCTACGAAATGCCGTCTTGAATTGGTTAATTTTTTGGAAATAATTTGAGATTGAGAATTCAACAACTTCATCAAGAGTGTATCATTCGTAGTCATATTTAGATTTATTCATTCGGTTTAGTGTCTGTTTGAGTATGTCTCAAACTGGGACAATACGGAGAAAACATTAATAGTGTAATTTGTAGTAAAGCTGTGACCTATAGTAAATTTAAAAGTTTCAGCTACATGTATAGTGTACATCACATGTATGTCAGTTTGAACACATCAGTTTGAATGGTCAATTGTTGTTAGGAAGTGATCAATAAATATATCCAATGGTCAAAGTTTTAGCTTACAATGTTTTATGAATATTTTAGCAAAGTAATTAGACAGAATTTACCTTTGTATTAATTTTTTATATAAATTAAAAATATACATGACTCTGCTAATTTGAGAATTTGCAGGTGCCAAGGTTATCAGTAATAAGTCAGTTACTATAGATCTCTGTGATCATGCATCTTGTACATGTCAGGATATAGTAAACATCAGTTACTAGACTCACATTTGTAAATACATGTAAGTGGACCACCTCTAGAATACATTTCTAAGAGAAACACCGTTCATAGATGCCCAATTAATGTTAAATTGAACTTCACATGTGAAACACCTTCTAAGGGGAATACTATTTAGCAGAACTAAGGTTGTTCCACTTACACAGGTTTTATTGCACTCAATAGATTGCTCATAGGAAAATAATGGATGGAATAATGAATTCGAACATTCCTTTTTATTCTTGGATCCCTGTTTCAGGAAGCAATCAGAAATGGATTTGCTGGTATGGTTGGTCGAACACCTTTAGTACGTCTCAATAAGTTTAGTGCAGAAACTGGATGTGAAATCCTTGCCAAGGCTGAGTTTGCAAATGGTGGTGGCTCTGTGAAAGACAGGGCAGCTTTGTACCTTATTCAACAGGCCCAGAAAGATGGTAAGTATACCCTCTGAACATGTATGGCTTATGTAAATCTGAAATGTAATGTACATGTACAATGTACATGTATATTATCCAATGTGTGTAATTTTGGTCATTATACATTGTGTATATGTATGGTAAAGACATATAAAATCATTTAATATTATGCTTTTCATTGCTTGACTAATATTGTATGTCTTAATCTAAAACTAGATGTTGCCATAACACATCTAGTTATTCAGTTACACTATACTGAACATTTTTTGCCATGAAAAAACATTCAGTGTTGGTAGGTGTTCACTACAGAGAGGGTAATTTATACAGTAGTCAATAGAGTATGTTTGGGGGAAGGGTGTCCACTGGAGACAGGTGTTCACTAAGACAGGTTTTACTATACTTGCAAATGTAATTGTAGGTCAGCTGAAGCCAGGTGGCACTGTAGTAGAAGGAACAGCAGGAAACACAGGGATAGGATTGGCTCATATCTGCCGTGCATTAGGCTACAAATGTGTCATATACATGCCTAACAACCAATCTCAGGTAAATTGTTGATCAGATAAGAAATACATGTACTTAATCTGAAAGGGCTAGTCAGAGTAAAAAATCATATAAACTGTCACGGCTTATTGTCAGAGGAGGCCGCTTCTATTTGACCTCCTTGAATATTTTTTAATGCTCATGCCTGGGTCACAGTTGCTCTGATTCATCAACTGGCGCCCAGCCGATTGAGTATTTTGCCTCTTATTTACCTTGTATTTTGGGGGTTCTACCTTATCTCAATAGAGAATGGGAGAATTAAAGTTTTTTTAATGTTGATTTATCTGTTTAGGAGAAGATTGATTTGCTGAAGGTCCTAGGAGCAGATGTAAGACCAGTGCCACCTTGTCCATTCACAGACCCAAATAACTATAACCACCAAGTAGGTGAAACATCACATCAGTTTTATTTGATTCACACGGAACTCTACACATAATCTAGTTCATCCATCGCTCCATCTTGCTTATCAAATATACCAAATGTTTTAAGCAAATATTTCATTCTATGGAAGGAATATCCCACTCATCTTTATATGAGTTATACAGGGTGTTGAATTTCATCCCTTTTAAACCAGTTGAAGTGAATTTTTTTCAAAAACACTCAGAAACTATTAAATTGTAACAAGGAGTATTTTGAGTAATATCCATCTTCCTTTTTTCTGTCTGATGATTAAATCTCCATACAACTACATGTGTATGTAATGACTCAGATTTAGATATTTCTTCCTTATATTTTGCCTGCAGGCTGCCAGGTTTGCTGCAAGTATAGAGAATGCTGTTTGGACCAATCAGTTTGATAACACTGCTAATAGACTGGCCCATATAGAGATGACAGGACCAGAGATATGGCAAGACACAAGTGCGTACTACTCTTCTCTTAATTTCCCCAACATTCTTCAAATAGGGACTTATAAACATGACATACATTTTTAATTGGTTCAATAGTATTGAGTGAAAAGTGAATGTTGAATGAAATACTAATGTGCTCTTACCCCAATTTATTCCTTATTCACCCTGCAGCTTCTCATGTCAATATGTATGGATGGTACTTGGCTCATCTTGGTGATGATGAATGTTCATGTTATTGAAGGCCATAATATCAGGTTTAACCAATTTTTGCAATTGTAATACATGTACTTAAAATTTCAGGGTATAGTACATATTAGAAAATATTGACATTGTTGCCCTCAAAAGCTATTACTAAATCTTTTAATAAAAGATAAAATAAATAAAGTCTTTCAAAACTAATAAGATCAAGTTTGATGAACAGTTATGTACATGTATTTGTTGATTTTAGATGGTAAAGTTGATGCAGTTACATTTGGCACAGGGACGGGTGGTACCCTTGCAGGTGTTGGCACATACCTAAAGGAGAAAAATAAAAATGTACAAGTCGTTCTTGCTGATCCTGAGGTACAGTTCCACTTCCACTTTCATTTGTTTCTGCTTAAAACATTTAAGATGGACATAATATGACAACTGTTTGTGCTATTACAGGCCTACCTTAAATTCTAATTTTGGAGTCATGTCTCAGCATCAATCAGAAATGTTTTTTGTAAAGTTTGAGAAAAACAATTATTTTATTAGTGGAGAGTTACTTCTAAAAGAGCAGTTAATGTAGTGAAATTTTTTGCAGCTTCACTTTTCTTCCCTTTTAAAGGAACATGTCCTGTCTTAAGGCGGCTCAAGTATTCTTAAATTTTTATTATCTTTATTTCTAGGGAAGTGTTTTATATAATTTCATCAAGAATGGCAAGCTAGAGAGGACAGATGGCTCATCTATAACAGAGGGCATAGGTCAAGGTCGGGTCACCAAGAATCTAGAAGGTGCCCCTATAGATGACGCCCTTGCTATACGAGATACAGATGCAGTAGAAAATGTAAGTTGATCTTCATACAAACATACAATAAAAATATTTCAAACCAATTTTTGTATCAAGTGACTATTTTTTAACATTCTTTAGCAATCCAAAGATTTATCATAGCCTCCCTCTTTAATAGTCCCTGTATCTAAAACACACCATGTCCATTATATAACGCAGTGGAGACGATTGGCTCGATTGCCATATCATATTGCATTTGAACGGCGATACGACAATTGTCTTAGTTTAATTCCAAACGCACATGTCTAGCAACTAAGCGCCATTAAAGTATAAAAATCGTAAGTCAATTTCATTAAGAGTATTTAGGACTTAGGAAGGTCTATTAACACAACTACATGAGTTTGACATCAGATCTCCAAAACACACTACAAAGTGTATAGGCAAATCTCTAAGTATTTTTGAATTTACAGGTTTTTATTTCCTTTAATTCCAATTGCAGACATTCAGGCTACTTTATGAGGAAGGCTTTTTCTGTGGGGCCTCTACTGGACTGAACATTACAGCTGCAGTTCAGACTGCCCGCCTACTTGGCCCCGGTCACACTGTTGTCACATGTATGTGTGATGTTGGACAGCGTTATTATGCAAAACTATTTAGCAAAGACTTTTTAGAATCGAAAGGTATGCTCTATCATTATATTTAGCTATTTCTCTAATTTTCTTTTTTTAAATTCCCCTACAAAGACTTCTCGATGAATAATTTTAGATTAGGCCAGCAAAAAGATATTTGTGTTTCTGGTCAGCTGGTGGATGGCAGAAATTGTAAGGGAATTAAGAAGTTCAAATATGACTTTATATTTGAGTTTTGACCTTCATTGACCTTTTCAGGATAAAAAGCGTCAAAAAGATCTTTTTTCAACTTGCTTCAAATTGACCAATTATTTTTTTCGAAATCATCTACAAGTTATCAGAAGTTCAAATTTGACTTTAGATTTGACCTTCTCAAGGTCAAAAAGGTATTTTTCCAACTTGTTTCAAATTAACCAATTTTTTTTTCAAAATCATCTACAAGTTATCAGGAGTTCAAATCTGACTTTAGATTTTAGCTTCATTGACCTTCTCAAGGTCAAAAAAGGTCAAAAAGGTATTTTTTCAACTTGCTTCAAATTGATCAATTTTTTCAAAATCATCTAGAAGTTCTCAAATCACTTTTTTCAAAATCATCTAGAAGTTCTCAAAAGTTCAAATTTGACTAGATTTGACCTTCAATGATATTCTTATGGTCAAAAATGTATTTTTTTCAACTTGTTTCAAATTAACCAATTTTTTTTTCAAAATCATGTACAAGTTATCAGGAGTTCAAATCTGACTTTAGATTTGAGCTTCATTGATCTTCTCAAGGTCAAAAAAGGTCAAAAAGGTATTTTTTTAACTTGCTTCAAATTGACAATTTTTTTTCAAACTCATCTACAAGTTATCAGAAGAAGTTATCAGAAATCTGACTTTAGATTTGAGATTTGACCTTCTCAAGGTCAAAAAAGGTCTTTTTCAACTTGCGTCAAATTGATCAATTTTTTCAAAATCATCTACAAATTCTCAAATCAATTTTTTCAAAATCATCTAGCAGTTCTCAAATGTTCAAATCTGACTATAGATTTGACCCTCAATGTTATTCTCATGGTCAAAAATGTATTTTTTCAACTTGCTACAAATTGACCATCAAAATCATCTACAGGGTGGTCCAAAAAAAATTGGAACATTTGATAATTGAACTCAAAATCGTTATTTTTTCTCTAAAATGCACCAAAATTTTACTCAGTTTTGTTCAATCACTTATTTATCTGATGTAAAGTTTATAGGTGCAAACAACAAAGTTAATGCATTAAACTAGAGAATGTTTGATATGACCCCCATTCTCCTGAATTACAAGTTGAATCCTGGGACTCAGTTTTGAAAAGAATCATTCACTTTGCTGTTCGTTTGATTTTGTCCAAGCCATCTTGATTAAAAATTCAGCTTGAACAAACTACTTATATGTTTGCCTTGGAAGATCAAATATATGAACATATTCAACATTGTTTTACCCAAATTGATGGGTATCAAGCATATTTTGATGGCTATTGTTGGATATATTACTGATTGAATATTCTCCAGAAAGAGGCCAGGGCAGTCTGTTTTGACTGGTAAATGAACCCCCTCCCCTTTCTTGTTCTAATATGAATAATATTCATTGAATATATCAATATATGTATATCAATATCATAAAGAAGTTTCCCAGAACACAAATGATATATTATGTGTGCTTAGAGGTGGTCGGCTTTTAATAAAGCCTTGTAAATAACTGGTCAGTTTCCCATCTACTGAAAAGTGGAAATAATGATTTTGTCAGTTTAGTAGCTGTATGGGTTATGCAATCACTCACCCTTGACATGTTCTTTCTTTCCTACTCTTAAATAAAAATAATGGTTTTGGGGTATTCTGAAGTTGACAATAACACAATAGTTTTCCAGTAAACCATAGATGTTAACATCTCATGTCAACTAAATATGATTTTATAAAATGTGTATAACAATCAACATGTTCATTAAAGCTTTAAAATAAAAAATACTTGAAAAAGTAGCTGCGAAATTGACAAGTGTATATTTAAGAAAAAGGGGTCATATCAAACATTGACTAGTTTAATGCATTAACTTTGTGGTTTGCACCTATAAACTTTACATCAGAGAGATAAGTGACTGAACTATGCTCAGTGAAATTTTGGTGCATTTTAGATGAAAAATAAAAGTTTTGTGTTCAATTAACAAATGTTCCAATTTTTTTGGACCACCCTGTACAAGTTCTTAGAAGTTCAAATCTGACTTTAGATTTGAGATTCCACCTTCAATGATATTTTCAGGGTCAAAAAAGGTATTTTTCCAACTTGCTTCAAATTGACCATTTTTTCAAAATCATCTTCAATAATATTGTGAGTATCTAGATGGTGACATTTTGTCATGTTAATGCCTAGTTAATATTATAGCAAAAACAGTTTATTCAAATGTAAAATGTTTTGATAGAAACAAAATGAACACGCTTTCATCCCTATCATCAATCCATCCTGTAGCAATTTTACGTTATTTCATATTTTGGAGAAAGGATAATTTTTTTACATATTGTCACATAGGTTTACAATTTGAAAGCCCAGTGACAAGCTTTTTTCTGGGCTTATAACAGTTTGTGCGTTGTAATGTGTGCATTCTAATGTTTATGAATTCTTGTCTATTTCCAGGTCTACTAGAAGCTGTGCCTGAACAATATAGAGCCAATCTACATTAATGCAATATGGAATAATAGATGATAAATATAGAAAGGAATATTAGTATATGTACACTACAGTGTATTAGAACTATATTTAATTAAAGACATCAGTGAACTTTATGAAGTTCTAACATGAAAAAATTATAAAATTATTTATTTTTATACAAAAATTGCACACTGATTTACATGTTCATTGATATCGTTGTATTTGTTGAACTACAACTCAGGACTGGTTGACATATCATCCTTGGAGAAACATTGTTTCTTGTTGCAGGAAGGTTTCCCAATTTTGAAATAAAAAAAATAACTCGATTCTCAGGTCAATGAAAATCACGTGTGTAGCACCATAATTTAGAATAAAAGTATAGTACTATTCCAATTTTATTAAAATGTAATTTTTAAAAATTAACTGGAAATAACCCTAGCTGGCCAACTATTGATACCATGGCAACCAAAAACAAAAGCATTTGTCCTTTCCTTTCAAGGTAGATTTTTAGATATAAAAAATGTGATAACCTTTTTAAGTAAATTACAATAAAAGTTCAATAAGATATCTATCACTGAACATATTTATGTTTATCTTTATGTAGGTCTGAGTCGTGAAAGATTCATCATAAAGCCCGTGGATCCATGTAAAACGTTATGATTGGCTTTCTTTTGAAACCTCATGAAATCATTAAATTAATGGGTATGTTTTATATGAATATGAAATGACAACGGATTTTGATTGTAAGTTTTAATCCTGTAACCCTGGGAATTTGTGCTGAGTAATAAATGTTTAAGTTTTTTTCACGATTAATCAAGTTACTTTCATAAAATAAAGTCATACTGAAAAGTAATTAATTGGCATTTTATATCTCAGATTTACAACATGAACCCACTTGTTATATCACTTGTGAGTTTACATACTAAAAGATATTTTTAAGAACACTCAAAGTGATTCAGAGGATACAATGGATACTTGTACCTACACAAAAGAGAAACCATGCATTAATATTCCAAATAACTAAACGGCACTAACCATGCCATTTGTGGACGAATATCAACATTTTATGGTTATTGTGATATGTTTTTCTGATCATTGACGTTATCGGTATTTTATAGTATGATAATCCCATGATGCATGATATTGACAGTTAGTTGATTAGGTGATATATTTGACATTTTATACCATTGATATCTGCGCTATTATTAAGCAGTAGAAAACAATTTTGAGGTCATTATAAGAGTCAGAAGTCATGTATAGTCCAATACATACCTCACATTCAATTGTTCCCGTAACTGACATGCCATTTTTCATATTAGAATCATATGGTAAAATCTTGATGACATTTAAAATGTGTAATAAGGTAGGTCAGTGTGGATGAATACCACAGGTAACAAGAGTTGAAGAAGCTAATTGACTTATGAACCATTTATTGATTGATTGACGTATGTTTTGTTTCATATTTATAGCATTTTAATCATTTTATTTTGTGCTCATTTAAGTCTGCCATGCGTTTCGCAAGATTGGTTGTATTCTTTAGTGTTGTGGTGATATTAAGTTATATATACATGTATATAACTCTACACAAAAACGTCCCCCATGAAACTTCCAGATTCACCAAAGACGAGGAAACTTTTGGTAAACTTAATGGAGATGAAATTCAAGAACTTTACACAAAAGATTATTCAATATCAGAAATTGAGACACGAGTGCAGAGAGAAAGAGAAGAGATCGAACAGCTATTTGGTTTAGCGAGACGCAGGTTGTCTGATGTCATACTTGCCGGGATATTTAAATCAGGGACAGGGACAATGAGCATATGGCTTTCAAGTCATCCACAAATTGTTCAAGTTAAACACATAGTAGGCTACTATGAAACGCGCTATAACTATGCAGATCACTTGGCCAGCATACCCGATATTCCAAATGACAAAATAATGTATGAGCGATGCACAGAATGTTTCACGAGTCCGAATGCAGTGGAGAGGGTTTTGGCTGCATACCCACAGAGGAACGTGAAATTTTTGATCATGATTCGTGATCCAATAGTGCGACTTATATCTGAGTATATACAGAGAATTGTCCAGAAGGATGAAGATAAAACTTTTGAGGAGGAAATATTCACTTCTAATGGTGAAGTGCATGCAGACATATCACACAAATATGTTCATAGAAGTATTTATGTAATACATCTCGCAAAATGGCTGATGTTATTTCCACGGAGAAACATACATTTAGTTGATGCAGAAAGTTTCACTCAAACACCTTGGATAGAACTCGAAAAAATTGAACGATTTCTTCAAATTGATCACTTCTTCTCGGAGGATCGATTCCCTCCTAACCCTGACAAGCCTAATTTCCGTTGTTTTATCGACAACTTTGAATCAGAGGCGCATTGTATGGGTTATCAAAAGGGTAGATCCCATCCAAACATTACTGAAGAATCAATACAGAAACTGAGGAAATATTTCAAACCCTATAATGAACAATTTTTTACTCTTGCTGGTCAGAGATTTTCGTGGAGTGTTAACTACGATTGATACAGATCTCACCAGATATGTTCCACAGGGTGGGGATGACTAATTTTGGTAAATTGCTTCAATTTATTTGAAATTATAAATGTTGTAAAAAGCCAAAATGTGGTAAGGGAATATAACACACGATATTTCCGAGTTTAGGACGTCTGCGCCGTTTTCAATAACGGTATTGTTGGATTAAAATTAAGTGTCTAAGAAAGTTCCTACAGAAGCATATTTGATTTAGCCATTGCATGGAGTGGTTTTATTTTGTCTGAAATGACATGAATGAAGCGTATTTGTTGAAAATTTGTGTGAATTTCTTGATATTACTAGGTAAAACACGTAAAATGTCAAAAATTACAAAAGTTAGACGTTATGTACCACCCATTAAACAAATGAAGCAATGGAAATATCCGTCCGATAATATTAGAGTTGAATAACTTTGAATTGCTATATCTGTGTCATATCTAGTTCTGGACTAATGTGAGAAAGATTATTAAAAATGATACAATTACCATTGAATTTTGCAAATTACCAACCGAATAGTGTCTGCCAAATAAAGCAGGAGTCTATTTTTCGAAAATTGGTACTAATTAGATACTAATAAGATACTAATTAGTTTTAGTAATTTTACAAATATGAGTTTCAAGAAGGTACTAAAAAGTTAAGAAACCGAATATTGCATTTTCGAAAGTTTTAATAACTTTATAGCAAGTTGACGGTAAAGTAAGTTTACGCGTTGATAATGTATTTTTTATCGGATCAAAATAATTTTTGTATAGTCGTGAACTAACGTTATATATCATTACTAAAAAAACGAAAGTAAAGTCAAGGCAGACTTACACTCACTATTGCAAGACCTCCGCATAAAGTAACGATAAAATCTCACATGGCGTCATTATTTAGTAACTGCGAAAAAAGTTATTAATTTCGCAGTTACTAAATTTCGAAAAATGCAAGTTTAAAGTAAATTTTACAAACAGCAATGGACTTCGCAACTTTTCGAACTTCCGAGAAATAAACTCCAGTACACAAAACGATATGAGAGTCCAAATACTACATGAAGCCTACTACAGTAACAGTGTGTGTGTATACTTTAGTTTATTTATTCACAATCGCTCATTACATTTTTACAAACAAATATCAAAACAAAACTGACATTAACATTACGAATAGACACGATAATTCCGTAGTTTGTGTGTTCAACATGGTTATCCCGGGACGTTTATACATTCCATGATCATATAATTAATTTTATGTATATAGTCACAATGACATTAACAACAACTTTGATCGGCGTATCTCCGATCATTGGCTGCTCAACAGCCAGCGCACAGAACCAACAATCATCATTTATTTAACTAATGGGACTCATTCATTGTGTATTCCACATTTGTACCAATTTCCTCATTGACAGTTGGGAGACACTTTGGATGGCATTTAGTTAATTTTGATCTCAGCCATTCGTGATTGAACAGTTCTTGTATGGTCGGTCGCCTATGGAAGTCATACGTCAAAGCGTAGCGGATCAGATCTTTGCACGTCTGAGATACCCTTTGAAGTTTTGGCCAATAAAGGTCCATTGCCCTTTGTTCACTCAAGATAAATTTGTTGCCTTTACTTTCGTCAAACGGCATTTTTCCAGTGACTAGAATGTATAGAATAACACCAATCGCCCACACATCTGCCTTGAAAGGTTCGTACGGTTGGCCAATCAAAATTTCAGGAGCTGCATATGATTTCGACCCACAGTATGTTTTACTGAGTTCTTTCATGGTCAGCTCCTTTACAAATCCAAAATCACATATTTTGATGTTACGAACTTCATCAAGTAGAAGATTTTCCAGTTTCAGATCTCTGTGAGCAACATTCTTCTCATGAAGATACCTTACTGCATCAATGATTTGGCCTGTCCATTTTTGAGCCATAGTTTCATTGAGTGCACCAGCTGTTTGGACATACCTGAGTACGTCTCCTCCATCTGCATATTCATGTACCATATAAATACGTTGTTCATCCTCAAAACATTCAATTAGTTTAACAATGTGCGCATGGTCCAACTCTGGCCATAACTTCAATTCCCTTGGCATGAATCGCTGTTGGTAATCTTGTGGTGCTTTTCGCCTGTCAATGATCTTAACCGCTATTGTTGAATGCTCTCCATGCTTTCCGGGGTTTAAGTTAAGGGCTTTCTTTACCTTAGAATATGTCCCAGATCCTATACTTTCGCGGACCAAATATCCTTTTTTAGCAAGCTCAGCTCTGTATGTAGGTCGGTAGGAAAGTGTTGCCGGCATTCCAGTTTTCTGCTTTGAAAAAATTGGTTCCATCTGTTGTTGCATGATTTTTATTTCGGTTTCAGGAGTGCGTGGTTCAGTATCAACTAGAAGTCCCTTTTGGTCGGTCCTTCTTCGCTTTTTATTTGGCTCATTCATCTGTTTTGCCGTATTTTGCCCGTTTTTTCATATGAAACAATATATTTTTATTGTTCATCCAAAATGTTTATTGGTAGCTAAGAGTTATTGCGCACGTGACTTATCTATTGTTTCACACGGGTGCACCCAGTGACCCCAAGTGTGACGTTTTTGGCACAAATCCAATGCTTTCCAGGAATTGCAAATGACGTAATGCACAACTTTTTACTTATTTCCATGACAATGAGGGAAATGGATTCTCTCAGAAAAATCTTGTCTAACTTCGGAGAATTATAAACTATGAAATACTACAAAGTAAAAGTGGTATTTTAGCACCCCCTGTATGTAGGGAGTTTTGTGAAGTTGAATCATGTCAACAGGAGCGGAGAGACCTTTGCCTGATGATGAAGAAATGCGAAGGAGGGGATATCAACTCGGCCCCACCATAGGCGAAGGTTCTTACGCAAAAGTTAAATGTGGCACCAGTGAAAAACTTGGGGGATGTAAAGTTGCGATCAAGATAATCAACAGAAAGCGTGCGCCTAAGGATTTTCAAATAAAGTTTCTTCCGAGAGAACTTGAAGTCTTGAGACGTGTCAATCATGATCATATTGTACGACTCTACGAAATCATGCAGTTCAGTAATAAAGTAAGATAAAATTTGTTTTGCATCTTCTGGATGTTTTGAGAATTTATTTGATAATATGTGAATTGAATGGGGATAGTGTTGTAATTATAGTATTTTTTCACGCACGGTAGATTTATTTCATACTTCAAAACAGATAAAATTATTCTGAAACCTACTTTGCAGGTCTACATGATAATGGAGATGGCCGGACATGGTGATTTGTTAGAATATATCAAATTAAGGGGAGCAATACCTGAGGAAAAATCTGCACTTATGTTTTATCAACTTGTCAGTGCCGTAGAGTACCTCCATAGTATTAACATCATGCATAGGTATGTGAGTATCTCTCAGTTGAACAATCAAATTGACTGTAAATTATATATATTGCATTGTATTTTGTTTACCATCAATGAAGGTGAGCAATACCTCTTGGTTATATCCCAGTCTTTTGTACGAGTTATGGACGTCTCAAACACCCTGAAGTACTTTACCCAAACAAACAAATTAAGTCTTGCTTGAACCGGGGACCGAATCCGGGAAACTACATTTAGTAAATATTAGGATCACTGTCGTTGTATTCACGCTGATAGCGAAGTCGTAATTGAAACAGTCTAAGATGGCGGTATAGCGCTTTTCATTATCGATTTCAACATTTTGATTTAACGATATTTGATGGATTTATATATTCCATGAATGTCTAAAGCTTTATTTTCATTTGGAATAAAAAGTGCTTTTCTTTGCAGGGATCTGAAATGTGAAAACATTCTATTGGACGCACATAATTACGTTAAGATATCCGACTTCGGGTTTGCACGGTTCATGCAGAAGGGGGAGTTGAGTAGGACGTACTGTGGTAGTGCAGCATACGCAGCACCTGAGATCCTCCAAGGCACCCCTTACCAAGGTCCTCCTTATGATGTTTGGAGCATAGGTGTCATACTTTATATAATGGTAATAAATTGGATGGGCAATACAATGTACTGTACTACTGTAAAGCCTGTGTATATTGAACATTTCAATGTTGGTGGGTGTTCGCTACAGTTGGGAATAGTTTAATCATTTAGTAGGTTGATTTTACAACTAATGTTACAGTATGACGGGAGTAAACATGAAATTACACATTTTTTAGCTCAACGTTTCAATAACCTATAAAAAATAATATACATTTACTCTTTACTATTGAATTTGTTACACAAGAATACAAGAGCCTTAAACAACGTTATACCAACGAAACCTCTACATTGCCCTCTTCAATATTTATCTCCTCTTCATTATTCATATCCTTTTCATTAACTTTCTCCTTTTTATTACGTAACTCAAACATTCCCAGTTCGTTCATCTCAGTAAGGTGCGATTTATATACATTTACAGTTGATTTGTATGCCTTTACAATGGACATTTTATGTGTTTCCATTTTTCAAAATGATGAAATCTGAAATTTTTTTCAAGGTGTGTGGAAGTATGCCATATGATGACTCTAACATTAAAAAGATGATCAAAGACCAAACTGAGCGCAAAGTTGGATTCTCTAGATCAAAGAAGATTAGCCAGGATTGTAAAGATCTTATACATCAAATGCTGGAGTGTGACGTTGTCAAGAGGATTACAATACCAGAAATGGCACGGTGCAGGTGGGCAGCCCCATTCATTAGAAAATACCAAGAAGAGAAGTTAAGAAAAAAATCAGAGCAAGACAAATTAAGGCAGCAGCAAGAGCATTAATTGAAGTTGGACATTTTGACTATTCATAAATCACATGATGTAATGATGGGAAAGATTGATATATCAAACATGAAAGTTTTCTATTTTTTAATAAACCTCTTATTTATTTATATCATTTTTACATTTTACTTTATGTGAATGGGGTTGAGCATACTGAACGGAATCTATCATCAAATGTAATCAAACAGGTACAAGAAATATTTCTACTTTGAAAGAAAAGAAAATAATACTGAGAGCAAGAGTTTCAGTTTCCAATAATTATGTCAAAATTCAGGAGTAACCCAATTTTACATAATCATGTCCAATTTTTCTTTTACCTTGAAATATTTTTTTCCCCCTTCTTATTTTGTAGACAAAATATATTATAACCATGTCTTCACCTAATAAGTTTACATTAAAATGATATTCATACCCAAGAAATCATTTAGAAAAATACATGGAAACTAAAAGCTCTAACCTATCAGATAATTCAATGAGTTTGATCAGCCTGCAAGAATTGAGGATCTCTAAAGTTCTTAAAAGTTCACCCTCCATAACTTATATAAATGTTGATTTTGACAGTTCAAAGTAACATTTTGATATCATGAATAGTACTAGGAAGATATTGTGTGCAAAGAAACTGTAATTCATATACGGTATCCATACTATTAAAATTGCTTACATAATCTTTTAGTATTACAAATTATCCATCTGTTTTGCATTGTTATATCAAGCCATTGTGACACTTTCTTCATTTAATTTGAGAATTGCATAGTCTGATTTAGTTATGTGCATGTAGGAAAACAATATGGTATATCCAAGGTCCATAGGTGTGACATTCTATTAACGCACCCTGTGTATGACATAATGTCAATATGTGTTGGACGGTGGTGTCAGGAGGTATTTACTGGAAGATAGCACGCATGTCCAACATGGCTTGGTTCAAAGCATCTCCAAACTCCCTTGCACTAAGACCTGACTGTTTCCAACATGTCACATTAAAATTCACTGAAAATAAATGAAAATAAATACTATGTACATATTATAATAAATTAAAAGTGTAAGATAAAAAGCTAAAACTGATAACATGTAAACCAATATTAAGCAAACAAGTCTTAAATAAAATTCTAAAAAGTGGAAATACAAATCAAAGTAAAAATAGTTAACAAAAAATCTGAAGGTGAATAATTGACAATGCATATGATATACAGACACATAAATGCTGGAGGAAAGGTTCTTACATCTCAAATCGTCCAAAACAACATATGCAATGCCATAGCCATCCTCTGCAGTTGGGCCGAAGCCACCATTGAGTGAATTGTGATCAAGTGGTAAATTATACTTCACAATATCTGTAGGTGTCTGCGATGTTGATAGTTTGTACTTAAACTGCCATGCCTGGTGAAATATAAAAGACATTCATAAGAAGTCAAAATCGAGTCAATCAACACTTATTAAAAAAGTTCTTATTGAAATACAAGTTAAGTCAACACTATTAACTGCATAGAAATTAGAAGTGCAAAACGTCCGACATTTTATTCTTCTTTGATAGATTTTAATTGTACAGCCCATGGTTTTCAGATTGAACTCAAAGGCTTAAACATTAGTACAATGTCATGGTTTCCTTTTATCTTTGCTGTTAGTAGAGTCGTGCTACTGTATGACATTTATCTATATCTACCCTTCCTAATTGTAATTAGCACAACAGAAATCTTTCAACTATTTACCTTATCTTGGTAAAGTTTTGGTTTCTCCATGCCAAGTTCCATGGATGCCATCAGCATGCCCAGTAGGTGGCGATCACAACCATACCCTCCAGTGCATTCAAGACGATACTTATTTTGATACAGGATAGACTTGCGCAATAAACTAACACGTTCCTCTTTCGAGATGTTTGGATTATCCATGCTTTCTACCCACTTGCGAGATGTTTCAGAATGTGGTCTCACTGTTTCTGTTCTTCCCAAGCCAAACAGTCTAAAATATCAGTATCAATTACAAAAGCATTCAAAATAGAATGCATTTGGTCTTACAGATCTCAATTTTTTTTCTTTTTGAAGATGTCTTGCTTCAAGTCTGTTCTCCCCACATTTTTTTCAGTCAAAGTTGAATGGACAGCAGAATGGACCAATTGTCATGTTATTCTTTCAATATAGAGAGTAATAATCAGCTGGCCTAGATCAAAATGCGTCAGTGTAAACTGCAACCAGACTCCTATTATTGCTATAATTAATTAGCTGGATAAAAAAATTGTAACCAAAAAGAGCCAGAGTTACTCAGAGCCTGGTTTCAGATCAAAACTGATTGAAACATAATCATATATACTAAGCTCATGCCCACCTAATACAAGGTGTGGTAGTGTGCCTATGGTTTGGCACTTTTATCACACCCATCATGTTTATGTAAATACACACCTAGTGGATGCAGACTCATATGTGAGAACAACCTCCTTGTGTAAACGCCAGTATGCCAGTTGTATAATCATCTGGAAGTAGCCATCAGGGCTCAGTCTCACTGACTTAGGAAAACCCTTCCCATAACTTGGACTGAAGATGTAAGTGTCTATCATTTCTTTCTGAAATAAAAAGAAAAATATAAATATTTAGATGGCAGTCAAAATAAAAGAAAATGTAAATTTTTGATGTCACAAAATGAAATTTATTACATTTAGATTGACCTGTAGAGCTCCCTCTCCTCTATCAAATATGTAATTAAACTTTTATTGATTTTTCAAAAAGATACGATCTATGTCAAAGAGACATTTCATGTATTTAAAATGTTTTTTTAAGTTTACCATTTGCATAAGTTTTTCTTGAGCCACATTGATGTCCTCTTTGAATCCATCCAGTTTCCATAATAACCTGATCAGAAACAGAAAAGAGAAAATAAAATGAGTTGGTTTAATTCTGGATAGGACTGATTTGTAGTGGATACCTCAGAATACATGTATATACCATTTCATGACTTTAAGCCATCTATTCAGTATGATATTTTGTAGATTTTTGACCAAAGACATTATGTCCTGTAACCTAAGACATCGTTATCCTAGTCAACATATAATTTTCCCCTTCAGCCGAACATGGTAGCATATACTGGAAAACTACATCAGGTGAGCCACAGCTTGACCAATCTTTGTTAAAGGTTATAGACTTTAAAATTACATAGGTTTTACGTGAATTTAAATAAGTTTATTAAACATGAATTTCCATTGGATTTCTTCACTATAAAGCAGGTGTTATAAAACATCTCTTCTCAACAGAATGAATTTGGTGTTAAAATGACAATTTATTGTTCCACTTACCTTTTTGGTGCCTCTAAAGTTCTAGCTGGAGTAGCTGAAGTGATAATATGCCCTGCCTTGGTGTACTTCTCTCTGCTAAGGTAGTACTCTGTCAGCTGGGCCAGATGCTGTCAATACATATAATATAAATAGAAATTATCCTATATGAGGTTTACAGTATGCCAACGTTACAAAAAAAGAACCAATATGGGAACAGGGATTATGACGTAGCAGGCAGATATACTATATCTGGCCGCTCGGAGCGGGACGTAAAGCTATATCTGCCCGCTGGTGAAAATATAAGTTTTTACAAACTGGCTTTATGTACCTGTAACACGTCCAAGTATGGGATAAATATACATTTTGTACAGTAAAACCTGTATAGCCTAACACACCTCTCTAATCTGAACAACTCTCTATGAACTCACTTTTTTTCGGTCTCATTTTTAATCTGCCATAGGCTTCCATGTTAAAAAACCTCAAGAAGTAAACATCTGTCAATCAGAACACTTTTGAGCAGTACCATTGGTGTTCAGATAAGATAGAATTTATGGTAGTAACGATCTATCTGGAGTATATGAGGTATAACATAGGCCAAACGGGTTTGTGTAAAAAACCAGGTGACCATGTAACTGGGTGGCCGAGTGGCCGAGTGACCGGGTACCTACACTCCTACCAGGGTTACCAACTTACAGGTTCAAGTTTCAAGATGCACATTTTTCCCTAATATAGTAGTCAATTGATCTGTCGAGCACTAGACATACTGTAGCCTCCCTAATGTAGACTACTATTCGATATTTAAACTTTTTCATTTTTACCAAGATTGTAAGATATTTGTAAGATATAGAGCACTTTTAAAATAATCTACTACTTTATCAATATCGGAAAAAACTAAATTGTTACCTGGTTACTCAAGATATCCACTGAATTAACATGAACACGTAACAAACTGAACTCGCAAGTCCTAAGTAGTTTACATTTTACACAGTTTAAGTACTGTACATATACAACAACATAAGTTGCTTGACTTATTGTCTGAGTGATTGACAGGATATCAATGATTGTTTTCTATGATGGCGATTTCTACTAGAAGATTTGTTTCATATATATTATGGACACGTAAATTGAAACGTTATTTGCCGTTTTAAACTGTCAATTAACATGCGATGTACAATACAACGTTAGTTGCTTGATTTATTGCCATCAAGTGATTAACAGAATATCAATGTTTGTTTGTTTTGGCGGTTGGTTAATTAGAAGATTAGTTGGTTGCTTGGTTGGTTGTTTGCTTGATTGGTTTTATGACTGGTGGTACATTGAGTTAGAGGTCAGTTGGGCATTTTGAGGGATAAAAATGATAAAACCAGAACAACGGCAACGCCAAAGCGTAGCGAATCCCATCAAACAGAAATGGCTGGCATTTTTACAAACGAATAGCAAATATCATAAAACAACACACCAGAAAGGCCACCATTTTCAAAATGGTTGCTCACTAGCCAAGTTGTCATCAGAAGAAATAATATGCTTTTAAGTAGCCACCTCTAAAATTTTTGAAAATCATACACGTACTTGTAAAATAACACACATAAAAATGGTGGCCATTTTTCGAAATGGCCGACTACTCCCCAAAGTTTAATTAGACAATGTGCCATGCTTAAAGCATTCACATATCAAATATGAACAAAATCGCTCCACTACTTTTCGAGTTATAGTAAAATACGTTAAAATGGCGGCCATTTTTCAAAATGGCCACCTTCTACCAAAAGTGTCATTAGAAATAGACAGTGTGACATGCTTATTGTATTCACATACCAAATATGAACAAAATCGCTCTACTACTTTTTGAGTTATAGTAAAATACGTTAGAATGGCGGCCATTTTTCAAATTTTTTTTCAAAATGGCCGCCTTCTACTAAAAGTGTCATAGGACAGTGTGCCATGCTTAACGTATTAACATACCAAATATGAACAAAATCGCTCCACTACTTTTCGAGTTATAGCAAAATACGTTAAAATGTCGGCCATTTTTCAAAAAATTTTTCAAAATGGCCGCCTTCTACCAAAAGTGTCATAGGACAGTGTGCCATGCTTATAGTATTCACATACCAAATATGAACAAAATCGCTCCACTACTTTTCGAGTTATAGTAAAAATCGTAAAATGACGAGTAAAGGCCGCCATTTTTCAAGATGGCTGCCATGTGCTTCTTTAATATCTACATTTGTAGCATTATTAATGTCCTTTATAATTTTTTTAAATTTAAAACATATTGCTATTACAGTTTTACATATTGCACCTAAATTACTTTAAAATCGGCACTAAAATGGCCGCCATTTTGAAATGAGCGGCCATTTTGAAAATCGGCTTTCGAGCAGAACTTCTACCCCCATAGGGTATATGTGTACAAAATATGAACAAAATCGGGCCAACGGTATTTGAGTTATTGCCCGGACGGACGGACGGACAGACGGACGGACGGACGGACGGACGTACGGACGTACGTACGGACGGACGGACGGACGGAGGCGTTCCCTATATCCCTCCGAACTTCGTTCGATGGGATAATCAAATTCATAACCCTGGTAGGAATGTTAGGTACCCGGTCACCCGGTTACCTGGTTACCCGGCTACCCAGTTACCAGGTCACCCGGATTTTAACACAAACCCTAGGCAAAACATATGAGCTCCAGGTCAAGTAATACGAAAAAAAAGAAATTTGTTACTTGTACTTGAAGGGCAAAGTCAAAACATTGATATTTTATTTATTGTGAAACTCAACTCTTCATTAAAACCCCCAAAAATGACATATTGATACTTGATCTGAGCCTAAAAACTTATATTTTAAATATATGAAGCTTACCGTAGCATCAGCTGCAGCATGTTCAACATTAATCCCAGCCTTGCCATCTTTGTGGACCACCAGAGACAGTGCCTTGTCAAACCATCTGAAAAAGAAGCACAAACATATGTCAAGAGTGACAGGTATGTCAATTTCTTAGCTTGCTGTATTTACATATTGAACATTCTGTAATATACTCATATAATTATAGGTTACCGTCGTCTTATTTGCAAAATCTAGTAAGCAAGTTTCAAATTAAAATGTTGAAATTCTAAAATTTGAAAACCGTAGCAAAGTATTGGACATATATTTAGGGGACTTTGGATTCCTCTAATTATATCCAGGAAAGGGACTGTTAGGCAGTTCTGGGGATGCTGGGGATTGGCTACCTGATAAGTGTTTGCATTCTTAAATGTTAATTTTCTGTCTGTGTGTTTTACCTTTGACATTACATGTTTATTTTTATTTCTTACCTTGTTTTGCCATCTCCTGTAAAAATCACCTTTGCTTGTTGACTGATGTCCTAAAAGTTACATTTATATATGAAGTCATCAATTACATTTCTGTTTTGAAAGAAAGATAAGAATGACCGAGAAAAGGAGAAAATAATTTATTACACAAGGCCCAACTTTAACTGAGACTGGTCAATTTCAAGTAAAATAGGGAGCATCATGTGAGTTTGATTCCAATGGAAAATGGTAAAATAGCCTCTCATTCAATATCACTTTCTCTGGAAACAGTATGATCTTTTGATTATTTCAATTTATATAGTGTCTTTTGGGCATATTGAGTGAATATCTCAAAGTAGGTGCGATTTTGATAAAATGGATTTTCACCAAGACACAGAATGCCCTTTATATTTTTATTGTAAATGGAGACATTGATATGTTCCCCACATCTTGCAATTTGCTATTAATATATACAAATACACGTAGTTCATTGTTCAACAAATATGTAAAATATCTACACAGTGTACTCACCCCTGCATCTTCATTGTCGAAAGAGAGGATTATCACAGCACTTTCAATAGTCTCCAATGTAGCCTTGTTAGTCTCATCCTGCAGAAGTTTCTCTCTTTGCTGAAACAGTGAAGTGGGTATGAAAGCACACGTACCAAAGGGGGAAGGCCAAAGATAGTTACAAAACATAGCAAGAAAACAAAATATCTAATTGGACAATCAGTCATATAAAGAAAACAAACCCCAATACCTCAAAAGCTAATCTAACACACATGTTTAACGACCCTTCTACTACCATTAAGGAAAAATTCTATGAAATGACTAAATAAACATTAAAATGCATAATATTAGAATAAAATCCTAGAAAATTGTTCTCCATTACAAAAAACTCTACTTTCTCTGTACACAATTTTTAAATTAAGATGACACAATTTGGTCTAGCCTAGATTTATTCAGAATGCAGTCAGAAAATAACTACATTTTTATATAGGCCTACTCCAAGCTTATATTCAAATTCCTGAGAAGGAGCTACATTAAGAGGGTAATGTTACTAGATAAATTGAAGTCAGGGTAGTCTTACCTTTGCCCATACATCCCTCTCCTGTGAGGTGAGAGCTGCCACAGCTTCAGTCTGGTCCTCAGGTGGGGCTATAGATGGAAACAAGAACGAACAATAAGACACAAATATATTGGGAAAGGGATGGATGAGACTTGATGCAAAATGACAACCAATGTAATAATAATGATGCAATTACTAAAGTTATAATAACTGGGTGCTGCAAACAGTTGAAAATTTGAGAATCACATGCCAACCTATTAAAAATCTGAACACTGCTGAATTGATGACAAGTTGAGATACTATATTAGGTAAAATCAGGATGTTGCAACATTCACTGTAAAATACAAAACGCTGAATTAGTGAATTTTTTCACTTTCCTCTCACCTGTCTTGTCAGTCTGTATGATCTCAAGTTGATTGTAAAGCTCTTCCACAGACAGTAGTCTCTCCTCCCCTGCTTTCATGTCATAGGCATATGATTCCACACGATAAAAACTGCCATTCCTGTGATAGAAAATATCAGAGTAAATACTTGTAGTCTTCCATGCATAACAAACACATCTAATTTCTACCAAAAACACTCCAGATGAACTCTACAGAAAGTGAAACACTCAGAAGCCATACTGTACCTTACATAATTGTAAAAGTTCTATTTAAATTTTCAACAAAATATTTTCTTTTGTTGATAAATATTTGTGTTGTATCTCAAATGTAGATTACTGTATAAAGAAGTAATTCATGAAAATATTTTTTTTTAAATTTTTATGTCTATAAATGTTATTTCTGCAAACCTGATCACAACAAAGTGCTTTGATTGGCTGTTGGTAGTCTGCATATAATCAACTGGAGAACTTGGAATCCTAGCTGTGCCAAACAATGTGCTGGAATTATAATGAACTTTTCGGAATACGCTCTACATGATTGTTCTATGAAAATCCCTAAATATTTGAATCATGAGTAGATTACTTCTAAGCACAAAACAATGATTGCCTTCAGGGCAAATCTCTATACATCTTTGAATTGCATCAAGAAATAATTTGAATAAAAAAGTAATTACTTGAGTCCATCCATACACATGGGTACCATTTTCTGTATCTTCATCACTGGTGTGACACCCTTGCAATTATTCTCATAGAACCTAAAACAAAGTGGCTGCATTACAACATGGAGTTATTTCATGACTGAGATACAATGTGGTTTTGGCTAAGTTACAAAAGTGAAGTTTGAAAATGGTCACAATTTGATAACTAGTATACCATGCTGAATATTCATTATTTGATGGAAATTCTAAAGTAGTATCAATTTTACAATGGAAGTATTTTCCAGGTTCAAATCTGTTTCTTAATATCGATTGTCTCATTACAAAGACCTTGTCCTTATCATATATTGTTACGGCCCTTTCTACACATTAATTCCTTATGAAACAAGTTTGACATGGGAGTGACAGGTGATTTTGTCATGCATATGACCCTGACATCATTTTGGAATGGCACTTTTGCAAACTTTTGTTGGTGACAATATCAAAAATACAGTTCAATTTCATTGTACATTTCTGTATTTTTGAAGTTACCTTTGCAATGGACAATAAATGGAAAAACAATAACTATGTGACAAATTGCAGTGGCAACTCTGAGTAAACTAAGATACACACTTGAGTGAGTAGTAAAGTATGTTAGCTGCTCTGGCAAGTTGGTTGGTGGTCACCTCAGGCAAGACATTGTGCATCATATAGAAGTTGGAGTTGACTGAAACAGAAACCTCAAAACTTGAACTTTTATGTCTTCCTTTATCTATGGGAATAATTCCTTAGAGAATGAGTCCCATGCTAATTCTGGTATTTTTACCTAATTTCTATGCCCTTGACCTTAGTTTGATTGTTGCCTTAGTGCTTTACTTGCAGTAGATTATTACATTCTATACTCTTTCATTTTAAAATAATATAAATATGTTTATCCCTATTTGATATAATTTTAAGTATCCACAGCGTACCAGCAAACTTTAAGTTTCACTTATAATTATTTATTTTTAAAAAATGACCCAATGACAAAGTTGTTTTAAAAATAACTAGGTACTATATAAATATGTTATCAAATGAATATTCAGTGAGACAATATTTCATTGTTTCAAACCATAAAGTTTTTGTTCTTTCATTTTTCAAATGGCACATTCTCATTGCTCATTTCTCATCAACACTTCTGGAAAGGTATGTAGTGGGCTTGGGGGCCTACAAGAGCTTGTAGCTAGGCTATCAATCTCCTAAAACCCATATTCATTCTGAAGTAACCATTCTTCATAAATTAGACAATGGTCTGAGACTATAGATATTCTAAACTTACTAGGGAGTTGATATCTTCCGGACATATAAGCAGCCGTCATCCACCAGTCAGACAGCCAGTTGCGAGTCTTCTTATATCTACAAGCAAGTCATAGTCATAAATAAAGATAATATCAACCCAGTTCATCAGTTTATACTAGTATATGGTTTATAGGGTCTATTATTTTACATTCTCTCATTTGCCATTTGCGCTCTCTCATTTATAAAAGAAAATGCAAATACATAGAAAATATATAAAAGGTGCATGCACCTCTCATAATTTGTTGATACAGTGTATCCTTACTGACTAAGCAATTCTATAAGCTTGAGGAATTCATTTAATTTAGGTCAGATTTGTAGTGCAAGCTTTTATGTCTGTATATAAGCGCATTATAAAGAACACTAGGATTCTAGATTTGTCAGATTTGTCAAGTGATAAAAACACAAAGTTTTAATCATTTACTGAAGAGATTTTGTCTTGAATAATTGGAAACACAAAACAACCCATACCTGTCCTCAATATACTTCTGCAGAACCTGACCATCTTTCTGTTGGAACTCAAGGATTACTTTCTTAGAATAATCAAAGTCTTGAGCATCCAGTAGAGGTTTGATAGACTCCATGTACCTATAAGTTCACATTAGATATACACATGTAGTTGATATTTAATATTCATCTTATGATTCAAATGACTTGTAAAGTTTTTTTCCTCAAATATTGTCTTCTTAACCTCAATGGATTCTGATAAGGTTTTTCACTTGCATTCATAATTATGGTGATCGAGAAATAGGCCTATACGAAACCTAAAAGGTAAGTTCATTTAACAAACTGCAAATCACTCACACTTGAAATCATATAAAAATAATGGGGATCTTTTCTCAAATATATGGTAAAATACAGTGTATAAACCAATTTTATACCCATTTTAAATTATAATTTGCATACATTAGTACAAATATGTAATCTTTACAAGTTTGCTCTACTATGGTAATACTTAAATACAATTTCAAAATGTCCTCATTAAATTATCTCAATGATAGAAGTTAATAGGTAAAGGGTAATCACAACTGGAGATATCTTACATGCACTTTGGACTTCATAATTCATGAAATAGGATTGCCTGACTTCTAAGCCTTGACATTCACAACTCATTAAAGTTCAACAATTTTAATATTTTGTCTCTAAAATACATCTGACCTGAATAACTATTTGTCGCTGAGTTTCTGGAAACCTGACTGAAATTAATTATGGAAAAATAAAATATTTACATATATGCTAAACAGAGTGTGCATATCTTATTATTCATGACCAATATGTTTCATATTTTGTAAGGAGAACCTTTGGATAGACATCGATTTATTATTTTGAGATGATTTTGTCATATAAGGATATCAAGATCTTTGATATCTACATGAAGTAATTTTAACTAAATCAATATTTACATTATTTTGTATTTGTTGGAAAGTGCTTTTAATTTTCTTTTTAGCAATATGGTTAATTACTAAGATATTCCATTAATAGATAATATGCTTAACAAATTAAATTACAGTAAAACATGTACATCTGAACACCTCTGTAATCCATACACCTATAGTGTGAACACTTTTTTGGTTCAAATTTGTTATCTTCCATTGACTCACAAGTTTCAAAAACCTTATTTGAATTGAACACCTGCTGATCTCAACACTTTTGGCTGATCCAACTGCCATTTGGATGATGTTTCACTGTATTATTTATTCCAGTCTAATGTGAAGCTAAGAAATGGGGAGTGCAAGAAATTTCCAATAGGTATTGGTATTATAGGTATAGTCTATGACTGTCATAATTCAAGTCAGAAACTCATGAATTTGAAAATGGCATTAAAGCAATAAAAATAAGCAAATACAAACCTTCGCAATGTCTCCTCTAGACTGGGTACTGGTAGCTTGGGTAACATATCCTGGTACATGAAAGTGGTCTCATTTTTCATTCGACACAGCTTCATCAGGAGAGCCCAGGCCTAAAACAATGTACATTAACTACAATTTATCTTTCCATTACTTTTTTTTCTGCAATTGATGCCACATGGATATCTTGTCTCAAATCCCAAAACAGAAATACAGCTATTAATAGCTGTAAAGTTACCTTTGTCTTCAAACTTTTCTGATTGGTCAACCATCCTTGATACGTTAACAATCGTTTCAGCAGCTGGCGACGTACTAGCGGTAGCATAGAGGTCGCTCCATATCCCAGTCCTAAGCCGACAAGTCCAGCAAGAACAAATCCAGGAAATGCTGAGATACCAATCAACCTTTCACTCAACCTTGGTAGTGGTAGTATACAAAAGATGGCACCACATGCCAGTCCGACTACCAGACGCTCGTCTAGTTTTTGACCCATGAGCTTAAAATGCAAACTGAAAAATAGCAATATAAGAATAAATAACAATATATGAAATCTTTATAACTCCGATACTCTGATACTTTACTTAAAAGTAAGTTGACTTGTAACTATGTTGAGCTCGACGCATTCATTCATTCAAGATCGATAAGCAAACTTCTTAAGAAATATCTATTTATTTGTTGAAAATTCTAGACATTGTTGTTACCTATACACTTAGTTGTTTGCACAATTTCAAGAAAATCTTTGTAATACTTTTGGATCTATAACATTAACTCATTGCTGACCAACCCTGAGATATCTCGTCGATGACATCATAATCATATCTGACCAACCCGAGATATTTCGGGGTGCTGTACAATAATTGTCACACAATTTGTACCAATAATCTTTCGAAATATTGTAGAGGTCACATGGGGAATACTGTTGGGTGCAATTGAAATATATTGTCATTGCTGTTCACAATGGTATTAAACATAGCAAAGAGGGTGTGGATACAGTCCATAAAAATAGCTTTGGCCAGCAATGAGTTAAAAGAGATATCTCAACAATAGAAGTGGCAGCCATTGTGACATGCTTAGTTGAAACTTGTAAACATTATTGTTAACTAAGAAAATAAGATAATTGTACCATTTCAAGTAAATGGATTGAATTATTTTTAATTTATGACCAAGGCAGTCATAAGATAAGTATTTTTGACAGTGCAAAGCACAGATATTCAAGGACATTGTTTTATAAAGCTATGAATTACCCTTTTCAAAGAGCTAAATGACATATACACTCTTTAAATTCACTGACACAAGACAACATCCTGTTAATATGTTAATTAGATAACCAGATTATCTCCTGATGAGTGATCAACAATCATTTCAAATTTCATAACTTCCAGAAAGACATTTGAGACTATTAAAACCACTGGCGGATCTGGGGGGGGGGGGCTGGGGGCTCGGGCCCACCCCCCTTGGGTGGGACAAGAAAAAAAAATTGGGCCAAAAAAGGTCTCAAGGCCCCAAAAAGTGGGCCTTTTTTACCATTACTGGGCCTTGTAAGGCCTTATTTTTTAATTTCAGGTCAAACTTTGGGCCCACTTTTGGGTTTGAGGGGCCCAAATTTTTTTTCTCTGACCTCCAATTTGCCCTGATAAACTAACCAGCATTAAAAATGTAAAATTGTATGTAATAGTAAGAGTAGTGTGGCCAGCCAATATGACTCCAGAGTAACTGATTATAAGTGCCTGTCGACTTTGGTCATTAATAAGTACATACATAGATAATAAACTCATTTCAAATAATGATAATAGACCTGGATTCACACTGACTGACTGGCACTGACTAATGACGTTAGTTATGGCCCCAAACAATGCAAATAATCAAACATTTATGTCTCTTTTAAACAAAAGGTTCTATATCTTCTGCAAAGGATTGTCTGATTTGTTTATTTGTTCAGAAAGGACAGTATATTTACATTAAATAAACAGTGACTTTAAATAAGATATGAAAAGAACAAATATCAAGTTACAACAATATCACAAAGTAACTAAAAATAAATTGATGATAATTCATTGTATTAGAGAGATCAAAACCAAAGAATCCTTTATGATAATTCATTGTATTAGAGAGTTCAAAACTAAAGAATCCTTTATGATAATTCATTGTATTAGAGAGTTCAAAACTAAAGAATCCTTTATGATAATTCATTGTATTAGAGAGTTCAAAACTAAAGAATCCTTTATGATAATTCATTGTATTAGAGAGATCAAAACTAAAGAATCCTTTATGATAATTCATTGTATTAGAGAGTTCAAAACTGATGATAATTATTATTAGAGAGTCCAAAACTAAATTGATGATAATTTTAGACTAATGTGTCATGTTTTGATACAATTGTCAATAAAAGAAATATATAATTCATTGTATTGGAGAGTCCACAACTAAAGACAACTTTTCAATTTTTTTTTACGTTTTAGCGAATGTAAACAAAGGAGGTTACTTCACTTCGGCTTTTCAACTCTTCTATCCAAATGTTTACAATTGTTTTCTTTATACAAAGTAAAATCAATTCAAGATTGGTTGTTGTTGTATTGGTGCCAGACTAGCTGTGAAACGATTATCTCCATTTTCGTAGGTCACTAAGATTATGACAGAATTAAGATCTGTTGATAACTTATGAAAAACAACTTGATCTTTTAAGCTCGCCCCATGACATAGCACAATGGATATCTTGTTGTTTATTTTCATCCTTTTCATATGTCAATTTAATCACTTGTCACTCATAGCTGTCACTTCTGTGTCATTCTTTTTCTATTTGCTATCATCACGCAAAAACTATTGAGAATTCTTGTTTTCGAAACTGGTAGTTCTACTATGCGTAATAAAGAACAACGTTCGTTTTTTAAAGAGAATTTGTTCAAATGAAACACCATATCCAATACAAGTTGGTGACATGTCAACCTAACCCAGTAAAACTCTACCACAGTAATACCTATACTGCATATTTAATTATTGACATATTTGTATTCCATAATATAATATAATATAATATAATATAATACAAATGTCACATCTAACAGGGTGAGCCAAAAACGGTAAACCATACAAATCTTAATAACTCAGTCATCTGCCATATTTGGCACAATTGAACCTTCTTCAATGTTCTTTCATTCTAACAAGTTTCATTGGTCTATTCCAAGTGGGTAAGATTTTATGATCATTTCCAAAACATTATTGTTTTGTTGAAACTTAATAAAATGAAGGACCGTTGAACAAAAAACCCATACTGGATGACTGAGTTATTAAAATTTTTTGGCTCAGTATCGGTATCAGTATCCATAGTATGAGTTCAAAGTCAAGTTTAAAAATATAACAAATGTTTTAATCCCACATTTGTTACCATGAGTACAGATCAGTATCAAGTCAATTCTGAGTTCTTACTTCTTGAGATATTGTATAAAATTTGTAAAATTTGGTGTAAAGAAACATGAAACAGCCCTATCAAAAGCTACAACCTTCTCCCTGCCTGGAAATCTAAGAACAGTCCAAAATATGATAAATGTTTAAATTAATGTTTTATAGTTCATTGTACATTCATTCCATATATAAATATTAATAGTGTACTTACTTAAAACAGATATTAAGAATAATCACATATACTGTAGTCAATACATTGTACAACATACCACTTCACAGACAGATATTAATAAGTATACAGATATCTAGACATAAAAGTAATTGAATATGAAATTCACTTACAATAAGAAAAAAATGATAGAATGCATTGAAAAATGAACCCTTGATATGAAACAGAAATCTCAAGCATTAGGGGATAATAATGTAAAACAAATGAACTTACCTCCAACTGCTGTCTAATAGCAAGCTGCTATATCCAGTGAGTGCTGAACTATGCCCAGGTTTAAGATATCAAGATTCTATTTATTGGTAGGTTATTGTACTATGAACTTCAAATAAGATATTTTTTTAAGTTTGTTGGAAATATTTAATCAAGAGTGTATTCAGTTTAAAACTCCTCAAACAAAGTCCAATTCAGAATATTAGGAGTTCATTGACTATGCAATTATAAGGTAAACTAAAACTCCTATTAATTACTTAGTATAAATAAATTGTAAAGTAGTCCGGTATCAAGTCCCTAATCTGCCCCTTCCCGTCTAATTTCTTTACCTAAGTAGATACATGTTTGATAGGGGAATGTAAGGAATTGATGCCAGACTTACAAAACAAATCATTAATATATAATAGCTCATTATGTTCAATTAAGGCATTCATTTTTGTTCTTGTATGATATTAACTTGAAAGTTACTGAAGAAGTCTATAGACATAATTTGAAACCTTACTATTAATAGAACTAAATCATGCAATGTTGAAGTAATGCTATTTGAGATACCTGCGATCTGTAACCATCTGATCCAGCAATATGCAATATGAGCGTGTCTAACTTTAAATAAGTCTGAGAATCAAGACCTTACACAAATACATGTTTAACCCCCTTATACAAATATAACTCTGTAAATATTCGTTGGGTTCTAAGATGAATCATTTTCTATCAGTACAATGTTTTTATGGTAAATCAATCATCAGCATCTTAGTTCATAAAATACAAACAATATGGGTTTAAAGTAATTTATTAGACATGTATATTTCTAAAAATAACTTGTTGAGTGCTATGAGTATAAACATAGTATAATAAAATGCAATCTTTAAAAATTACATCTACTTCATTTATTTACAAATATTATGCAATTAAATAATAGGTTTTATTAAAATGGTAAAAATAATGTATACCGTATATGTAATAGCATGATTAGAGGGGTATTTTACAGCATTTGTATCTGACTAACAGTGGCATAGGAGACCCCAGATGAAGTAAATGCAGATAAGCAAAAGGCCAAGCAAATCAGGGTTTGTTTCCTTGAATCTATTTATAATACAATCCTATTTAAATATTCGAAATCAGCTGTGCTGGGCAAATAAAAATATGACAGTGTCCTCAGATTATGTTACTTTTAACTGACCCAGCACCAACAAACAAAAATTGTTATCAATTTCCAACAATGCATATTTCTCTGTGTAATTGCCTCCTATACACACCACTGTTTTTAAGGCACCTCATGATAAACATAAATTGAGAACATTTTATATATTCTAACAAAATTTCATATCAAATCAATGTCTAATAAAAAGCTTACATCAGTCGCAAAACATTCTTCATTTTCAATATAAAATAAAGTTGATAATATATCATCTAACATGTTATAAACCTTATATGTAAACAGTCATGGAATATATTTAGCGATTATGTCCCTATCATTGAGTATATGCCTGAGGTCTGACATCAGCTTGCGACAACATTTCATAAAGATAATATGTAGAAATGCGTGAAAACATATCACAATTTTACACGATTCCAGTCGAAATCACTTTGTTTACATGTTATGACGTCATAAAGTTGTCATGGTAAAAAAGTTTGGTGGCTATACAGGAATATATAGCCGACCTTCAGCTCCATTTACTTCCATACAAATGCTTCGCTAGGTATTTACATATACGAGGGTTGTCCCAGAAGTAATGCACTATATGCTCTAACTTTCTTTAATATTCTTCAATTCAGCTGAAATTTTGTGTATATTAAAATTGAAGTTTTATCTATAATATACTGAAGTTTCAGTATCCAACATTAATATTAAGTCTCAATATGGTTGCTATAACAACATGGGGGTAGGGGTGGGCGGGGCAGGTAGCAATTTTTCTAATTATGAAAAGATCTAAAGTGTTATTTTATTAATATTTCTTTCCTTAAAATGGTCAAAATGTTTGGGAAATTGTTAAAATTCAGCATGATGTTAACCAAGTACAAATAATGACATTTAGCACTGTGATGTCATAATACCACATTTCAATAGACACGAATTCAAATACAGTCACAGGCAAAAAATTGCAAAAACGGCTGCAATTCTCACCTGATAACAGAAGGCCTTGCGTTTGGTGGCCTAATTTCATACTTCACTTGGACTCACAGCCACGCAAAACAATGCTACCATGAAGAAAGTATGTAAGGGGTATATACCAGATAGAACTACAATTATGGGGTGGCAGAAGAGATTTAAAAGAGACGATTTGACCCTGGATGACAACTCCAAACATAAGAGACAAAAACTCCACAAGTCAAAGTTGAAGAAATTGCCGAGAGTGTTTGACCTGACAGGCATCAAAAGTACATATCATGCAAAGGGCAATATTTTGAGAAAATGTGAAATGGGACACTGCAATATACATTCATTAAATCTAGGATGTGCTCATAGTAATTTAGTATCTTAAAATGTATTTTTGAGCATACTTCTTATAGCTACACCAAATGACATTTGTTGATTAATTATTTCATATTTTCAATTTTTATTCCTTTTGACATGACTGTATAACCTGCCCCGCCCTACCCAAACACACCAACCTGATTTTATTATAACATCAATATAGTTTTATCAGTCAACATGATTTGTTTTAGAATAATCAAAATGTCTCTAAGGAACATTTACTGAAAATTTCATGGAAAAATATCAATTATTGATAAAGTTAGAGCATATAGTGCATTATTTCTGGGACAACCCTCGTATATATATATTATTTGGACGGATCTGCTGTGCATACTCACATACTGTAATCTATATATAACATGTAATCCTGCAACAATATAAAAATGTGAAATATCATATCTAACAAATAACAAAAAATATTAATCAAGATTACCTTCAACTTAACATCTCTCATACACACAAAACTGGCTGATTCTAGCGTATATTATTATCTATTTATTGACTAAATGCTACATCATAACATCTACCAAAAGAAATTGTATTAGAACACTGGTATGGTCATCAGCTGGCCTAGCAATTCTATTGATCTCAATCTCAAGCTATATCAAAAGTTTGAGGCTAGTGTAAACTAATTATTTGGTTCTGATTCTTCTTCTAGTTTTCATAGTAAATCAGTATCAGTATTTATCATCATGTACCATGGCAATCTTTATCTTTTGTAAGAAGATGTGAAGAGTATCAGGATGGCCATGGTAGAATCAAAATCAAAATGTTTTAATTAATCTTTCTGCAATTTGATAACTTTGGAAATAAAACAAAATATTTTTATTCACTACAAATCCAGTTGTGGCATTATTTTTAGAACAAAAGTCAAATGTAACCTTCACACAAGAATGTAAGAGGGTACACAAGCAGATATCAGAATCAGACAAGGCATTAACATGACAAAATGTCACCACCTAAAACAATTTGGTCAATTTAAAGCAAGTTGGAAAATACCTTTTGACCTTAAGAAGGTTTTTGAAGATTTGAGCTTCTGGGATCTTGTAGATGATTTTGAAAAAAGAAATTGTTCAATCTGAATCAAGTTGAAAAAATACCTCTTTGACTTTTTTTGACATTGAGAAGGTCATTGAAGGTCAAATGTCAGATGTAAAGTCAGATTTGAACTTCTGAGAACATGTAGATGATTTTGAAAAAAAAATTAAGTAAATTTGAAGCAAGTTGAAAAAAGACCTTTTTGGCCTTGAAAAGGTCATTGAAGGTCAAATCTAAAGTCAGATTTGAACTTCTGAGAACTTGTAAAGTCAAATTTGAACTTCTGAAAAGATGTAGATGATTTTGAAAAAAAAATTTGGTCAATTTGAAGCACGTTGAAAACAGACCTTTTTGACCTTTTTTGACCTTGAGAAGGTCACTAAAGGTCAAATGTCAAATCTAAAGTCAGATTTGAATTTCTGAGAACATGTAGATGATTTTGAAAAAAAATTAGTCAATTTGAAGCAAGTTGAAAAAAGACCTTTTTGACCTTTTTTGACCTTGAGAAGGTCATTGAAGGTCAAATGTCAAATCTAAAGTCATATTTGAATTTCTGAGAACATGTAGATGATTTTGAAAAAAAAATTTAGTCAATTTGAAGCAAGTTGAAAAAAGACCTTTTTGACCTTTTTTGACTTTGAGAAGGTCATTGAAGGTCAAATGTCAAATCTTAAGTCAAATCTAAAGTCAGATTTGAATTTCTGAGAACACGTAGATGATTTAGAAATTTCTTTTTAGTCAATTTGAAGCAAGTTGAAAACAGACCTTTTTGACCTTTTTTGACCTTGAGAAGGTCATCGAAGGTCAAATCTTAAGTCAAATCTTAAGTCAGATTTGAATTTCTGAGAACACGTAGATGATTTTGAAAAAAAAATTTAGTCAATTTGAAGCAAGTTGAAAACAGACCTTTTTGACCTTTTTTGACCTTGAGAAGGTCATTGAAGGTCAAATGTCAAATCTAAAGTCAGATTTGAAGGTCAAATGTCAAATCTAAAGTCAGATTTGAATTTCTGAGAACATGTAGATGATTTTGAAAAAAAATTTAGTCAATGTGAAGCAAGTTGAAAAAAGACCTTTTTGACCTTGAGAAGGTCATTGAAGGTCAAATGTCAAATCTAAAGTCAGATTTGAACTTCTGAGAACAAGTAGATGATTTAGAAAAAAATTGAAGTCAGTCTAAACAGTATTTGTTAAGTTATAGGAAGTTGTAAGAAATTGTTACAGACGCCGGACGCCAACCTCCAACCGCCGGACGCCAACCTCCAACCGCCTTCGCAAAAAAACGGAGACCATAACAATATGTCACCACTTTTGGTGGTGACATAATAATTAACTAACCCTAGCCTATTTTTCTGAATTACTGATATTAGCTATTCTGATGTATACAACAGAGCTTTTGACTGACTGTTGCCCTTTTGTTACCAATACTACAGTGCATTATAGGTAATGATGAGGTGGACAACGGTGGACAAGATGATCTTATTTTGGAAAATTCCAGATGTACACTGGGATTACTATCAATATAATTTGCTTACATGCTTTCACAACCACCTGTCTTCTCATCATATTATCTTCCATGACTATCTTTTATTTCTGTTTTTAAATCTTCGATGTAATTCTCTGTGTTATCTCACTGGATAGCTATATTGATCTTGTCTAAGAAAAACAATACATTGGTGAAATTTTGACAAAAATAGAACCACTTTAAGATATACTTTTGTATTTTGAGGGGCTCAGTTGTGACTTTTATTTACAAAACTCAGCATTGACACTGTTTAGATTAAAGACTAATGTCAGAACTTATCTCAACACTGTTGATGTCATGACTAAGCTCAAAACTGCTAAGTTCATGACTAAACCCAACACTGTATATGACATGACTGAACTCAAAACTATTAATGTCATGACTGATCTCAACACTGTTAATGTCATGACTGAACTCAACACTGTTAATGTCATGACTGAACTCAACACTGCTTATGTCATGATTGCTGCAAAAACTAATTTTTCAGTTAAAATCAACAATTTTAGAGAAGGTGAAAATATGACTGCCACCCAAAATAACACAATTTAATCAGTGCAATCTTTAAAATAAATATATAGGCTTTCTGTTTAATTTGAACACTACATACACTTTTATAGGCATGTGGTCATACTTTATGTACAGTGGATTTTAACTCAACTAGTATTTTATCTTAGTTGGCTTTGTTAATCTAGAATTTCTAACTTATCTACACTTGCACTTTGGCACCATTCTAGAGCTAATACTGTATAAATATGAGCTACATTATTCACATACATTTATTAATATACAGTTAATATAAATTTCTTTAATTTAGAGCCTGTTTTTGGCGATGGCTAATTCTGTGCAGTATTTATCGATCTTTAGTTTACCATGTTATCCTATGATATTACAATCAGCGAAATTAAATAGCCACAAACCACAAATGTTTTGATAAAATGATAAAATCGCCAAATCAAGTAGTGCCAAATTGAAATACTGTATTAATATAATGTACAGAGAACTACAAAAATATGAATTCTGAATACATGCTTGTAGAATTACAATAAAATATAGGACTAGGATAAATATGCGTAATGTAAAAATAAGATACAATTTCATTTTAATTTATCTCATTAACATGTAGAAAATGTTTGTGTTCATTCATAACTTCATTTCAAAATTGCTTTGCTGTGTCTCGAGTCTTAATTTACCCTACCGAGGACAAAACTAAATTCCCCTTGGTTGACTCTAAATTTACCCTTGGTCTAAAGTGATCTTGGTCAACTCTAAATTCACACATTGGGGTTAACATTAAATACATCATTGGAGAGCAAACATTCTGAACATAAGATAACTTATCAACTTTCTCTTTGGTTTGTGAATGAAGAAACTCATTCACAATTTGTGACAATTCATTTTATAGAAAAATAATAGGCTTCAGATATTCCTGACCTTAAAGATTTAACATCAAGGTTAAACATTATTATGCAATATTTGAGTACAATTCATCACCATAATCTCATTTATTTAGTATAATGTCTTCAAAGTAGTTCATGGAAAACTGCTACAATCTCATGGGAATAAACAGGAAAGTCTGTGTTGCTTTATTTTGTTTGTGACGTTTCAGTATGTTTGAGGATAGATGTGAGACCAGTTCCAACACTTTTACGCTTCTTCTGAAAATGAGAACAAAGGTTTATAATGTAATTATCAAATATTAAGAGCTGCAATTATAAGATTGAATTATGAAATGTGCATAGTTCACGAATCTCATCCTCCGATCACAGGGCTTCAAAATCCAGAATATCTTCTTTCTTTTTACCCCCTGCTTTAACCAAGTTGGACGCGCCCGATTAAACTGAATCACGTGATCTAATTATGTGCCGACGACATATACATGATTGCTGTCGCAGTGTTGCGACAGCCAATCAAATTGCGAGTTCTTAATCGGGAAAATGCTAACTGCTTATAGCAGGGGGAAGAAGGAGGTACGGATTCTGGACACCTGCTTAGGAGGATGACGAATCTTGGGAGCTTACTTTCCCAAATATGAAAATACCATTCTTGAATGCACCCAGGTTAAACAGGTAATTGAGCTTTTAACTGCAAATTAAATGGTTCTTCAGCAGGTTAGAATATATGCTGAGACTCTATATTACTACATATAGTTTATTTTTTATCAAATCTTAAATAGAATATAAAATGTTTACATTATGTTACTAGTGAGCAACAACAATTGGCGATCTGAACATACAGGGTGATCCAGAAGTAATGTCAAAGGTGTTGGCATTTCAAAACTACTACTTATCATCTTGAAACTTGGTACAGATGTTCCCCAAATATTATTCAGTTAATGTCTCAAAAATAAAGCTTCTACTATTTGATTGGTTCACATCAGGTTACCATAGTTACCATAGAATCTACCAATCACATAGTAGAATCTTTATATTTAAGGTATATACTCAATAATGTTTGGGAAATAAATGTACCAAGTTTCACAAAGATTGGTCTTGTAGTATTGATATGGCAACATCTTTGACGTTATTTCTGGATCACCCTGTAAGTTGAATGTGTATTTTTAAGCTTAAGTTAGAGGTATTTTATGCTACACTTTTTATGTACAACACTAATAGTACAGGAAAGAGACCAGAAAAAAGCATTTTTGGTAACTACAAAGATATCAAATTAAAGATATCCAAACCTTCAAGGTAACAGATTGTACATTGTACAAAACAGGGTATCTTGTAATTTGGTTGACCCCTCTAAGAATTACATTGCCAATAGAGGAGCTTAAAAATCTCGCCAATTCACGTTTTTTCATGAAATTTAAAGAGATTTGCACATTTAACCTCTAACAACTAATTTTTCTTTCTTTTTAATAGCATATTTGAATTCAGTGAAAAGTTTTCCACAATAATAACTTTATTGATAACCAAAATTTCATGATTAATCACAATAGGTACATTGACAGGGTCATCCCACAGTATGTCATTTGAATTTCAGACAGATTCAACCAAAACTTTTCATAAATCATTAAATTAAATGACTATTGCAAGTTTATAACATGGGAGGCTATGGCAGTCTGGCCCAAGCAAATGAAGGACAAGGGTGACATCTATTATGTCAACTTTATTCAGCTATTTAGAAACTATACTATTGATTCTGTGACACCCTATATCTAGAATTTCAGAATAGTTCAATAAGGTAAGCTAAATTAATCCATCACCCTGTACTCTAAAGGAACTAAATATCTAATCAAAATAATCAATGTTCCTTACCTTTTCTGTTTGTTTAGATGGTTTTGCAGGCTGTGAATTATTAACAGAAGAAACATTAATGACCGTGTTGGCAAGATCTCTCATTTTCTGTGAGTTAGCAAACAAACCAAATATCAAAGAAATACACATCAATACCAGTAAGGTAGGGCAGGGTGATGTGTGTGCATGCATAAAGCATTTTCAGAATTTTTTGAGGAAGGCAAATTTGTAAGTAACAAATGTACAAGGATTAGATTAAAAGTAAGGTGAAAAATGAGGACATTAGTTATGCAAGTACAAAATTACACAAAATATAAATTCATCAGCAAAATCATTCAAAGCATAATGATGAGATGTGATGATGTGCAATACAAATGCACCAAATAATAAATGCACCAAGGTTACCACAGACAGCATTTAGCATTGAGAGTAGAATCCGCAAGAAATTCCATGTCATCAGAGTATACCATAGGGAAAGCAATAAAAAAAGAAAGATATATAAAGTTGAGAATATGTAGAAGTTTGTCAGTCTCCTTTATGTCCAAGGATATATCAGGCTAATTGTATAGCTTTATATAAAGAACAGGAAAAAGATATAAGGCATAAATATGCAAAATGTCACTACCTGCTATTTGATACAGACACCAACAACCGATTTCAAAGTTAATATATGACATACAATATATTTTATCATTACCCATCAATATTAAAGATATAATCATAATTATTTCATATTTGTGTACCATATTTGGTACTTATACTTATCAAAAATCATCAAAAGAACTCATATCAAATTGAATGTTAAAAACCATAGGGTACTGACCTTGCGCCCTCCATAGAGAAATGAGTTGTCTTCTTCACCAGAGACTGGGAAACCCAGGGCTGGAGTCTTAGGCTTTGAAATCGAGTCAACCTAAACATGGAAACATAATACATTATCTCATGATTTTAGTGGTGTAGATCAAATATCACCCATGTAAATAAATCTGACAAACACTGACCAAAATATCATATTTAGACCTAGGCAGTCTGTAGTGGAGTATATTTGCATTTCAGTTATATGATCCAGACTGCTATGGTGATTTTCACTCACTGATATGATTTATTGTACAAACATTTTGAAAAGCTTTTATCTTAGTGATCTCCTACAGTGTTGTATGTGTTAAATCCTTATTTCACACGCTTTGGCTAGAATATATAATAACAACAAGTAATCCATGTGATGCAAACATGTTTTCAACAGGATGTCATCTATTTTTTGAATTTGCCATAGGGTGCAGTCTCTGCAGCATCTGTTGGAGACAATAAATGTATCACTTACAGTGTATATGGGTAAGGCACCAAATACAGCTCCTTCCTTCATGCTCCCATTCTTATTGAACTCCAAATGGTCATTATAAGCTCTAGGTTTTATCAGAGCCTCAAAGAACTTTGCATCATTGGGCTCACGAGGGGACTCCTTTGAGGCAAAATGGGCAGATCTTCTAAGTGGCTTCCAGCGATGACTGTCAAATATGAGTGGGTATTCATACTTGACATTCTTTATGGCGATTTTCTGAGGGTCAGTTTTAGTCTTTACGGGAGCTACTGGCGCCTGGAAGCATGATATATTGTTAAAATATGGTCTTGGAGCTATAAAGTGTTTCATTGTCAATCAGGATCAAAAGTAAAGGTAATTGTCATAAATTATAAGTACGTATAACTTGAAAATGTCTTCTGATTCATTTTCAAACAGCAGTTTCAGTAAGAATCCTAGCAATGATTGACCTCATGATTTATGAAAACAACGATTAAGCTTTTAATCAATATAATCATATCATCAATTACATAATTTAGTAATCATATATTTCCTAGCATCCTACCTCATTGATATCATATGGTAAAATAGGTGGTCCAGCACTTTCCTCATCATGTGGGAAATGAAATGGCCGATGTTGTCCAAAGAATCCCACAAAGCGCCCTCTATTTCCCCACCAGACTCTAAAATAAGAAAAGACATTCATAAGGTTTCAGACCAACACTAAGAACATGATGGTTGGTCATTTAAGATTCACTAAGCTAAAATGTAAGACTTTTACCCCTTTCCCCAAATTTACAAATTTTGTTTGTGGGTGCCAATTGATAGATTGAACCATTTCCCATATTTGAGATAAAATATCTAGTATACCTGACAGAGCCATCTGTTGAAGAGGAAACAATTGAGCCAGTCGAGTCAACATAAGTCAGAGCTGATATCTTAGATAGATGGCCCCGCCAACATATCGTCTGCTTAATTAGTTCCTCATCTTCAGTATAGGGGGCCTCAAGGAATTTCCCAACATCCCACATTGTGATGTAACCCTCTGAAAACATAAACAAAAGTTTATTTAAGATGTATACTTCTGTTAATGGTGCTAAATGACATGCATGTAAAACTATAACAGGACATACCAATTTTTCAAATTTCAGATACTGACCTTTATCCTATGCCCAGTAGAGTTTTAGGGAGACAAGTGAGTAAGAATTCTGTATCCTGATTTTGAGGTTTCCATATCCAGAACTTTCATATCTCCCACCATATCTCCTGATCCCAGGCATACCATCCCACTTTCAGTAATTTTTTAATTTTTACACTTTTGTATTTCAAAAAGTTATCATAAACTATTACATTTTTTGCCCTCTTATTCGATTCTTTGCCATTTCTTCAATAAAGTGCTAAATTATAAAGTTTTGTATGTTATTATTATTTCAGTATTCATTGTGTGAATATCTTACGAACAACATTTTCTTGTCATAAATCATAGGTTAACTTACTGCTGTCTCCTGTGATGAGGGTATTACAGTCTCTGTCATGACATAATGATGTCACAGCAGCTCCTTGACGTGGTGTCACAGCTGACACCTCATGTAGCAGTGCACCCTGTAAAATCAAAGAATAAAGAAGATCTGATCAATTCCAAAACACTACAGATGATAGATATAAACAGGATTTCATTCTGTGTTTTCATATTATATTGATATCATAAAAAAACAGCCATACCAGCAATCAGAGAGCATCAGTGCCATGCTTATATGCCACATGTACCTGTACTTTCAAGAAAACATATTTATTATCCAAATATTCATCCAAATATTATTTGTTATAACTTCAGAGACAAATGCTTATAATTGGCTGAGTGACTTCAAAGATCAACCAATTATGTAAAGACTGTGAAAGTCATTTTTTCAACAGGAAATAACAACCAAATTAATACCATACCTCTAGATCCCAGAAACGAATGACAGAGTCTTGGTGGCAAGAGATCAGTACAGGATCAAACTGCTGTACAATAACAAACTGATCTGGGTCAATGTCATCAAGATTAACCTCCTCATCACCAGCCGTGGACTTAGCTTCATCCTCACCTGTAGCATCATCAGTCTTCTCAACAACAGTATCTTTGGTGTCACCTGTGTATGTAATACGGTTCAAGTACTCAATGATTTGTATACAGGATTATAAGTATCTTATTCTCTTGTTAAGTTTTTCTAATTGTAAAAATTTTGTGTTGTTTAAAAATTGTGAATTTTTTTTTTTCTCTTTAAAGTCGCATCCTTTTCTAAGTCAGTTTATTTTCAAACTGTAGATGGGGCCTTTAAGCTTTTACCTTGAGCCTCCTTAGTGTGTGTTGCATGTTGTTGTTCCTTAGTACTACTGTCCAGACCTTCAATCTTAGCAGTCAGTTCATCAAGGAAGTTCTCAGCAGTCTGGAGAAAATAGTATGTCATTGTCATAGCATGTAACTTAGTTCAGTCATCAAATAATTCAATATACTTTTTGAAGGTATAATATAAAATCACAATGAGTAACAGTAATCCTAAGGTGGTAGATATGAAGATATAGCTTGTGTTTACTTACTGTATTACTATAATGAAACACCACTGTAAATAACATAGTATAATTATATATGACTATAAATATGTAGTATTCTCATATTCAGATGAGACATTAAAATCCACTGAGTTATTACCTTCCCTCGTAGTCCATCCATATTGAGACCATTCACTGAATGAGTTCGTGATTGGTTCTGTGAGGTCGCTTGCGATGTGGCCTGTGACATCAGTTTACTTTGTAAAGTCTCTATCAGAGTCTCTGCATCGAGATCTTCTTCCTTAATATTTCGCCCCTTTGTTAGCTTCCTAAAGTAAAAATAGAAATGAGGGTTGCTTGTGTTACTTTGGGGAAATATATTGAATTGAACAGAAAAATATGGAATTGACAATTTTCTTTTTTTATTTCACAAATCATTGGCTTATTTATTCATCACTACAATTTGACCATGGAAACATTGACTAACAATCTAGGGAATCAAGTGAAAATCCTTTAAAATGCATCATCAGGAGGCATCTAAGATTATAAGCATTTTGCTACCTGAATGCTTTGTTTGAGTTCAAAATTCACAATTACTTTTGAGCCACTTCAATAATTGCTATTGTTGACTGTTTGTAAGGGGTTGTCTTAATACTACCAGTTATCCATCTTGTTAACTGCAAAATCATCCATCCATTTTCAAAGTGACATTACTATGTGTAATAAATATTTATTTCAAAATGTATAAGACAATGCCCATTGAATGCCTACTATTCTTGTATCAAGCCCTTTGTGTTTGTGTCCCTCCACTGACTCTTCCACATATAACCTTAAAAAGAAGTGGAGTAAATGGGGAGGGGGAGACAGAGACCGGGTGCAAAACTAAATGCTTACTTGATGAAGTCTGGGTCAATCCTGCGTGTTTGATGTACTACCACCTGTAGATGGTTCACCCTGCGTTCATGACCACTCTTGCTGCGTGTATTTGAATGTGACTCGGCACTTCCAGGTGCTGCTTCTGGTAGTGGGATCCTGAAACAGTTCAGGGTTGGAATATCATCCAATAGTTTTTTACATGGTATTTATTTGACCAGGGAATTAAATAATAAGTACATGAAAATAATAAGACAAGTAACATGACTGAATTTTGTAGATGGTTGTTTGTTACTATCACAAGAAATATCATTTTGAAGTATCAAACTTTTTTCTATCCAAAATGAATAATTTTATTTTCAATTACTATTAGGATAAGATTTGCAATGGGAAATGTCATACAGGATTAAATTCTAGATGCTTACATTTGGAGGATACCACATTAAAATACTTCCAATTGGAGGATACCACATTAAAATACTTCCAATTGGAGGATATCACATTAAAATACTTCCAATTGGAGGATACCACATTAAAATACTTACACTTTCTCTACAATTGACTTGTTGATATCCCAGAAGATGATGTTGCCATTTGTGCAGCCTGTGATTAACTTATTGGAAGGATCATATGATGTACAGCTGGAAATCTCATGTGTCTTCAGGATACACTCCTACAAATATATACCTAGCTGTACAAACATCTCCAAAGTTTAACATCAATTTTGGTCACCACTATAAGAAATTCATTAATACTGTGGGCAACAAGCTGGTGACATTATATGATATGATGTACTGGAGTACATGCTGAAGTATATGCATGTGAATCCCAAACCTGTATATTTCAACTCCTCCCGATGAGAACAATGCACAATTAAGTTCAAATAAAGTTCAAAGATAAAAAATAATGTAAGCTAAATTACCTTTTTGTACATGTTTGTGACTTGTGCATTACCTCCTCCAATGTCTGGAAGAGGAGGTTTCCCCTTGGAGAAAGTGTAATCTGAAGTCATCTCCACAGGAGCTGGGGTACTTGGGGCTGTCCAGTTTAGAACATCTGTGAAGTCCCTCAGTACTTGTAAGTCATTGTTCTCATTAGAGTCCTGTAAAAGTTAACATCTATTGAAATACAGATTGTTCAATATGGGTGAAGAAATGAGAAATGTTCTCTTATTATACATTAGTTACAAAGATTCAAGATCAAATTCTGTCAATGCAAATAGTAAACTGAACAATTTCGAACTCAGTTAGTTATGAGGCAAAATGTCACAACCTGCCATTTGTTACAAAAGCTGACTTAGTTACTCTAATTACTCTCAGTTGATAGCGCATTTGTCTGCTTATTAAAGGATTTTGGATTCAAACCCCCCTTGGGTAGACCAACTTTTTCACATTTGTCAATCTTACATGACTTATTTCCATGTTCGAAATTACAAAACATTCAACAAAAATCACATAATCTAAAATAATTATGAGGTATATCTTACTAGTAATAGCTTCAGCTTATTGCCCCATCCACTAAGTAAGATACATCGCTGGTCTTCCACATCACAGAAATGAAGAGAATTGATGGCTACATCCTCTTCTATTCCCTTGTACTCCTTGTGTTTTATGACCTGCCCTGATCCAGTATCCCAAACCTTCACTGAGCCTACAAACAATGTATTCATATTCTACATCTTTGTCTTTAATTTGCCTTTGTTTTAAATCAGTGAGAATTCTACTTAGAAAAAAGTGAATTTTTCAAATATTTCATATTTGATATACAGGGTGTCTCAAAAAATGTACCCAAAAGTATATCAAGAGCACAGATAAACCAATCAATATTTTCAGACATTTTTTGCATGGTCATGTAGCCAAGTTTTCTCCCCAATACACCATTTTTATTTCAGTCTTGTCTTTTTGATGCTTTAACCCTTTACCGTTTACACCACATAATCGATGTGACCTCATATTTCGATGACAGCCTGTATCCTTACTGCTACATTGTTCATCAGATTTGATAATAATTCCGGTGGAATGTTTTGGATTTCGCTTTAAATGTTGTCCTTAAGTTGTTCTAAGTCAGTTTGCTTGGAATGAGCATTAAACACTCCTTCAAATAGCCACAGAGAAAGATGTTTGAGGATGACGATGGCAGAACAAACACAGATAATCAGGTCAATTATCGGCAAATGATTCAGGAGTTACCTTCCAGAGTTAGGCAGGCTAGCCTGGAGACCAAATGATATCCAAATGAAAACACAGTGGTCTCAAATTGATACACACAACAAAAGATACACTAGAATCCCAACCAATGCAGTTTCTTGAACCTCTGACCTGTATGTATAAGGGGGCTATAAGACATTGTGAGGGCCTCCCTATTCACCATATTCGACAGCCCATACATTTTTCTCTGAGGCTATTTGAAGGACCATTTTTATGCTAAACCCAAGCTAAGAGACCTAGAACAACTTACGACCAGCATCCGAACAGAAATCAAAACATTCCACCAGAAATATCAAATGTGATTAACAATGTAGTAGTAAGGATGCAGACTGTCATCGAAATATGAGGTTATATTGAATATGTGGTGTAAAAGGTAACGGGTTAAAGTATCAAAAAGGCAAAACTGAATTAAAAACTGTGTATAGGGGAAAAAACTTTCATCTTTTATCTACAAGACCATGCAAAAAATGTCTGAAAATATTGATTGGTTTGTCTATGGTGTTGATATACTTTTGGGTACATTTTTTTGAGACACCCTATATATGGCATATCTACACTTTTGTGATTTTAGATTTAACATTTCAATTGTTTATGGATCTTATGAACTAAATTCTACTTACCATCAATTGCCCCAGTAGCTAGCCTATAACCTGCTTTATTGAGTACAATAGCTGTCAGCTCTACCCCTGGACCATGTGGCTCAGTGTTCTGATACAACAGCCTTCCTCCCTCATACTCCCAGACCTTCAGTTCTGATTCACTGCAGACTGTTATTAGATTCTGCAGGACCAGGTTCAGACAGGCCTAGAATATACATAAAGATTATAACAAACATTTAACAATCAAGGGATTTTACTTGTTAATACTCCAATGTCAATGTTCCATTGGTTAAACAAAGTTGACAGACCTGAGATTACACTACAACAAGCTACATTCCTTATAACAAGTAGCATATTCTCTGTAATTACTAATTAGCACTCAGGGATAATGGCTGCCAATCCTCCTTGGTATAAGTACTCTATTACCGCCCACTAGATTCATCAGAATTTCGATCTTTTTTTTCTCATATATTCACTATTACTTGGTCATTTCTCAATATTTCTTGAACTTTGTGAAGCGGGGTGGGTGCTTATCAGAGCTTGGGCGCTAATTACAGAAAATATGGAACATTACAGGGGTTTTTGTGAAAAAAAGACCTGAAAAAGTTACTTAGCGAGTCTTCAAAATTAAGATTTATGACATGCTGTAAAATGTGAAAATGCATAATCTCTACCAAAAATGTGAAGGGCAGTGAAGACTTCTAGAATTGATTTTAACTTGTCTTGTATTCACTCAGGTTTACAATCTGATTAAGATAGTTTTAACTGTACATACCAAGACTACAGGTCTGTCATGAGTGTGTGGCACTTGCATAGTGTCCTGTACTGACCTAGTTAGAGGCCATGCATCAAGCACACTAGAGCCTAAAAAACATATAACATATTGTTAGTGCCTCAGTTCTTATTTGTTCAAGAGTGGTCATATCAATGGTGGTTAAGTGGTCAACAACCTCAATATCCAAGATTGATGATATTTCGGTGGAAGAGTAAGGATAACAAGGAGTAAGAAAAAATGTTTTAACTGTGGGTTAGTCAAAATATATAATAATTATGCAATAATTGGATTTATGAAATTATAAACAGTTTGTTGAGGGGAGTAATACATATGTAAGTATAGAAAAAATAAAGTAAGAATGATCCATCCCCTGGCATATATAGATGTCAAGGTCACAAGGTAACTGGGACTTCATTATTCCACTGAACTTCAAAGAAGTATGACAACTGAAAACAACCCACAACCCACCCTTGAACCAAGAAATTTAGGGTATAGTAGATAAACAATTGAACATATTAAGGTAAGCCAAACAATAAAATATCTTTAGGACGTATGTCCCACCTCAATTTGATAAGAATCAAATCCCCATCCTCATTAAGCAATAGCTTCCTCCAAATAAGTAGTTAACTTACCAGTGAGAAGTCTGTCATGTTTGTTGTCAAAGAACATTGAGTAAATTCTCTTTTCGCCAGGTCTATCTTCATTATCAGTGAACACCTATAAAGAAAAATAGAATAACTTTTTTGAAGAAAAGTAAACGGCTTGCATCAAGCACTTGTCACATTCAGAAACACTTTTCCTCTACAATGTGAATACTTGATGCAAGATCAAAACATTTAAGTTAAACACAAGGTAAGACTAATATAAGAGATGCAACACATGCAAGAGGCATAAACAATTTATTAATTAAATGAACTCACACCAAAATTAGATAATTATTAAATCAAAGCAAGAAGATGACGAGAGCAGTAACCTACCTGAAGACAGGTAAGTGTGTGTATGTCCCACACTCTGAACACCCTTGCTGTTGAGAGACTAATTATATGTTGGTCTTTCTCATTGATCCCTATATCTATTATTGTAAACAGGTGACCAACCAGCTTTCCTGAAACAGAAATATTACTTTGAACAAAGCTTGTAAACTTAAATTCATGCGCTTTTCCAATGATGCATACCAAGTGTACCTAAAATAATAATTAGTTTTTGTATCAAATACAAAAAAGTGGCTTAGCCACTAACTCTGCCATGAATACTAAATCAACGATTAATATCAAAGCTTAAGTATCTAAGTGTATTTTTATTATTAATTTACAGGTCATCTAATCATATTTAATATAATGTATTTTTGGATTGGACTTTGAGGTTGTGTTCTGTGTTACAAACTTCATACTGTATTACATACCTGTTGGTCTGGAGAAGATATGAGGATGCCAGACACGAATGACTTTATCTACACCACCCGTGGCAATAACATTGGCCCTTACACTGTAGTCAAATGCATTCACTCCCTTAGAGACACCAACCCCTCGCACTTCACTGGAAAATAAAATTCATGAGTAACAACAATGTTAGCAACAGATTTTTATTTTGAAAAAGAAAGTACAATGTCTTTGCTTCAAAGTATCTAGCTTACATCAAGTGCCTGTGTGGGGAGGGAAGAATAATAATACTGATGCAAAACATGAATCCCTAAAGTTATTTGCTACATAACAATAATAAATGCATTCATATACATGTGGGGTAGGAACATCTAATTACAAAATTTTACCCAAAAATATCAATAAAGTCAAACAATTTATTTCTCAACTTCAACATACCCTGTATCTTTGATTCTTGGCACCTCTTCAAGCACAAATGAGATTTTCTCGCCTGGTGAGCATGATGCAAAACATCTCAACTCTGGGAAATACTTGATCTTTAAGACCCAATCATCGTGAATCTTCCTCCGTATAACAGGACTGAAAAAACAAAAGCATTTATAAATCCCTATTGGCTTAAGTCAGATTAACCTCCAACTATAGCAGAGAGTGGACAAAGTTTCACATGTAAGCAGATCAGTCATTTAATAAAATTGAACATTCTTAAGAAGAAATAGAATCAGATTAAAACATTCGGGTTTCATTTTCCTTTTTTCACATAAACATCAGTAATTTAATGCATTATCACAGTCTGAAACAGGAAAACCTGGATACATATATAATAGAAAATCAAATGGATATCCTTCATTGTGTCAGCACTCAGGAGCAGGTATATCGGAGTATTAGCATTTAGTTCCTACAATTGTTTGCTGAACTCTTAACTTACTATGTCATTTTAGTTGGATCCACATTAATATTTTGTGAAGTCTTTCGTTCGCCTCTGGAGTTCTTCATTGTAAGATCCTTAGCAGCAACAGTGAGGTAATTGATATAACCCTGGTCATCCCCAAACAGTATGGTGTCTTCATGTGCATTCGTTGAATCTGGAATCCACGTCATACACTGTGGAGAGTGTTCGAATGGTTTGATAGAAAATAGTGTCTGGAAATAAGAGAATATGACATTTGGTATATTTTCATTTGATAGATATCATTTTTCAATTGTGTTTGAAGTAAAAACATAAATGATTGGCTTAAAGCTAGAATCAGAGATACAGAGGCTGACAAGATTGCAAACAACATTTACGATTTCCAACCAATGTAATATCTGGTTAAGTTTCATAAAATTTCAAAATATTCTGATTTCTTTGATGCACAGAACTCAAGAACAAAAGAATGAAAGAAAGAACACAAACCTGATTTTTCCCTTTAGCCCTATTATCCCATATACAAATGCTTCTCTCTGTAGAGGCAGCCACACGACGTATGCCTGGTAGGTAGTCACAACCTGTCACCCACGATGTCTCCTGCAAAGTAACAAAAATTAACATTGAGACATTGTAAATCAAGGCGGTGGTAGCAACAGAAAATAAAATTCACCATTTTACAATCCACAGCTTCCTTTTTTGAGCTAGAATCCCCCTGGAGATTTCATGAGGTCATTTCATCTCAAGGAATAATCTTGTCATTTTGACTAACAGATTTGGCAAAACAAATATTGGTCCTTTAATCTTGTTTTCACATCATCAATCATTTAGGCTTACTTTCCCAGGGAAACACTTTCCATAGAACCACTAAATGTAATATGAGTAGAGAGTTTCAAGCAAAATCCAAAAAGGTAAAGTTAAGTAGACCACCGTTTTAATTGAAACATTTTTGAAACTCTATACCAATACATTCAATGTAAAACAAACAATTTTAGTAGAACACCTGAAGTGTAGTCTATTCTGAACACTTTTAAAAATTCCTAGTACTCATTAATCATTATTCATTAAAGGCAATGTTATATGAACCTCTATGAGTAAGACATTTCCCATTGGGAATACTATTTTAAAGTACCATGTCACTCAAACATGTTTTCCTCTACTCACATTAAGTTCAGAACATGTCTGCAGTCGCAGTTTACTGTTCCATATTGATATGGCACCTTTCTGAGATACTGTCAAATAGCCATCAAGAGAAGGGACGTGTCTTATACTCTGGACAATATCACGTCTCTTACGATCTCCAGCTGCCTCGCCAATTCTAATACGCCTTGATACCATAAATATACTGATATCTTCACTAATATTTGTCTCCGTTTCATCCGTTTCTCCTTGGAAATAGCCAAACAACTGAAAATAATATGTACATGATGTATTTATAACTTTCATTGATATATAAGGGTTATATTATGGCTTTGAATGTCTCCAAGTTTCAATTGTCAACCGATTAAAACTATTTTTATAATCCTATTGATACAACATGATGTATCAAATGCAAACAATACGAATATGATTTTTATTTTTATTTCAGTTTGTGTACTGTTTATTTTGGCCATTCTTGAATGCCCATGATAAACCCAACTTAAATGATAGTTTTGGTCAGTTAATTTTGAATACAATTATATTCTGTAGTGAACAATTAACTATTTGAGACACTTTTTGTAGCTTCACGATTATTCACACTACACTAGTTTTACTGTTATCTGATCTTTGCTTCTACTTACTTCACTCCAATCTACTTTTGCATCAGGATTGGTGGAGATCTTTCTATAAATTGACTTAAGATCAGCATTCTTGATTTCTGGCCCGAATAATGCTTTGATAGAATCACAGAACTGATCATACCGCAGATTCTCTGAAAATAAAAGTCTAATATGAAACAATTGTTAATTCCATGAGTGGAAATATGCATGTAATTTACTTATCCCAATGATATGGAGGCTGAACATCTTTGTATTGTGATCAACCTATATAGTTATTGTCACCCAATCATTCCATACTAACATAGAGTTTATTAGTACCCCATTGTATCAACTGCATTCCAGCATTTGCTTCATTCACGTGTGCCAATCATTTTTGTGTGATTTGTCATGTAGTATATTTTTCGGGTTGTACCTTAGGATTTATTGTTTAAGTGATCAGTCAGTGACATGACTGTTTCGGACAATCTGTACATGATGGTCACAATGACTTGGTTGTTTTGGGGGATTAAATGATACATCATTGCATATAAAGTAAAATCATAAATGTTTGTGAGTACTTTGAATTTAAAAAATAAGCAATCAAATGACCAAATTGAAACAATTTATGTAAAAATAGAAACATTTATATTCATCCTAACTTTTGTATATTTTAGTTTGTTTTGTAGTTTAGCCATCATATATATCTGCATCCTCTTATATTTTGATACTTCTCTGCCATGTTATTTTCGGAAAAATTTGATTATATTATGACTGCTTCTGTATAGGTACTGCATTTTAGAGTTTACAACTATTGAGCGTTGGAGTTGTATTTTCTCTGTTATATTCATACAGAAAGGTATTACAGAAAGGGTGGTCCTCTATTGAGCCTTCCTCTCGATATAGAGCTGTTCACAGATCAGATCTTTTGTAAAATTCTGACGATTGTGATTTTTCTTTTAAAAAACCTGCAACGTGATTATTCTGCGGAAGTGATGGCCTATTCTCGATAACTAATATGATAAGTAATTTAGGCATAATCAATGGAGACTGCTATAACAATGTTCAACTGAGATGATGGCCCGGTGATGACAGTTAAGCAGTCATGACATAGACATGGGTAGATTACACCTCAGTTTTGGGGGATTAAATGATACATCATTGCATATAAAGTAAAATCATAAATGTTTGTGAGTACTTTGAATTTAAAAAATAAGCAATCAAATGACCAAATTGAAACAATTTATGTTAAAATAGAAACATTTATATTCATCCTAACTTTTGTATATTTTAGTTTGTTGTGTAGTTTAGCCATCATATATATCTGCATCCTCTTATATTTTGATACTTTTCTGCCATGTTATTTTCGGAAAAATTTGATTATATTATGACTGCTTCTGTATAGGTACTGCATTTTAGAGTTTACAACTATTGAGCGTTGGAGTTGTATTTTCTCTGTTATATTTATACAGAAAGTTATAACAGAAAGGGTGGTCCTATATTGAGCCTTCCTCTCAATATAGAGCTGTCAACAGATCAGATCTTTTGTAAAATTCTAACGATTGTGATTTTTCTATTAAAAAACCTGCAACGTGATTATTCTGCGGAAGTGATGGCCTATTCTCGATAACTAATATGATAAGTAATTTAGGCATAATCAATGGAGACTGCGATAACAATGTTCAACGGAGATGATGGCCCGGTGATGACAGTTAAGCAGTCATGACATAGACATGGGTAGATTACACCTCAGTGGCGGATGCAGCAATTACCAAAGGAAAGATGGGCCATGGGAGTAACAATACAGAAAGTACTTGGGCAAAATAAATTTAAAGGCAGTTGTCTACCCCTAAGACTTACCAGAGAGTAATAATCTTACCTGTGATGAGTTGCCTCCTTTCCTCGGGGGTTGCTTCGACATCTTGCAAGGTAAGCTCCTTTATTAGCTCTTCAAACTCGGTGAGTTTTTGTTGAAAGGTTCCATGTGTATAGGGCCTTTGAAGGGCTACCCTTTCGCCCACAGCAGATAGCATATTAACGATTAATCCATTGTAAGTTTTACTATTTCAAGTTCAAAATTTTGTAATTTTTAAAACCGGAAGTAATTTGGTCTAATTGACGCATGCGCAGTGAAATCCAATAAAAGTTCAATCAAGATCTTTACCTCAGTTGAACACGAACAGCAGATGAATGAACCTTTCAATGTGTGTTTGACGGCATCATGGCAACTATGTTATAGAAGCGGGCTATTCAAATTAGACGAACACGGCTGATTAGTAAACATAAACAAAGGTGCAACCAGATAACGAAACAAGAAATTGAACATGTAACACGCCCACTTTTGTGAGTATGGATGCAGCTCTTGTATGGATGAATGGTCAAGATTTACCTATTTCAAAGGCTGGAGTGATCTCATGATATCTCTATATGTATGCGGTCCATAGTGTTCAGCTCCCATCTCTATTATGGGTCACAAATAAGTTTGAGTTGTGCAGTCCGGGGTTATCCCATCCCAGGACTATAGTTCTGGCACGGGATAAGTCCGGGGCATATAAGTCCATTGTGTTCAGCTGCTAAAGGTGACTTAATATGTATTTGAGATCAGTTGTGTTGAACTCTTATTGGTCGCTTTATCGTATGTGTGTCACATACGATATGAGGTTCATTGTGTTCGAGCTCCTTTTGGTCACTCTATGTGTGCATGGGGCACTGTCAGCATATAGTTATGATTTGGGGCAAGCCCAACAAGAAGAAGGTTGGGCTTGCCCCAAATCATAATTGCATTCTGACTGTGGCATAAGGTCCATTGTGTTCAGCAGCTATCAGTCACTCTTTGTTTGTATGAGGTCCATTGTGTCCAGCTCCAATTGGACAGATTGACAGAAAGGTAGAGGAGTGATTTCTTCGTTATCTTAACATAATCTATAATTGTGGGATTACTTAAAGTGTGCGCCTGACCCGGCTACGTATAGCACAGAGTTTATACTGGCGGATTAGACTAGTTCATTTTTTATATGTGTGTGAAAGCTTTCTCTTATTTGCGTTTTTTCGTTTAGTACGGTTTTGTTATAATTGCCGAGGTCATATAACCGGGATAAAACAATGATTATCGTTGACTGCCCACACACAAAACATACGTTGAGTGAACAGTGTTATTACAAACAACAGGCTTTAGAATACAAAGCGTAGTGTGATAATAAGCTGCACACTACCACTGCTGCATGTACACATTACTAATTTAATAGGGCTCCCAAAGAGTGGATAGGGAGGTTGTGTTTGTCACTTTTAAATTTTACATTTCAAAATTGTCATTTTACTGTACATGTCATAATTTGTTGGTTTCATTCGTTTAGCCAATCAAAACATTGTAAAACAATAAATTGTCTGTTACGTACAATCAATTTTGTTCAGTTTTGATTAGTTGTCAGAATAAAGTTACGTTCATCTGAATCCATGTATGAAAACAAAAATCCTATTTTCACTTCAAAATACTTCAGTGAGATGAAGGCTCGGAATTGTCACATGCAATAACTTATTGTCGTATTCGTTATTTTATCTTCTCGATAGTAGCATTTAGTCGCACATTTGATGCCAGGTCACCTTGTCGCGTACCTCTTGGGGAACCCCACATTTATGTGTGTACTCATGGAAGTAAATTCCCCGGTGTAGCCGAGAGCCACAAACTTTTCAACAGGTTCGAAATGACCAATTTCTCTCATATATACTCTAAATATTTTATTATTTAGCACCTACAAAGTATTGCTAATAACCATATGTAATTTCAATAAGGAAACTTATCTGGCTACATATAAATTCAATATCAACACTAGCTGTTCTCTCAACACGTCCTGGCTTACCTTGTGGTGACAAACCCTGGGTTTTCGCTATTTATAGTTTATCAACACCTGGACGCATGCGCATTTTATACTTTATCGGGCACTTTAAGTCTCAGACAGTACACATAAAGAAGTCCTTGAGCTTATAGTTGAAAGTTTTCTGAAAATTTTCCAGGAGTATTTGTGATGATCATGTCAGATTGAGGGGATTAAGGACCTATACACTTATTTATGATTAAAAAAAGTTTTATTAAAGATTAATATGGGGATACAATAGAACATTTATAATATACAGATTAGATAAGAGGATTATCAAAAAGTATGCTTTACTGACATGCTTAGGGAGTTAAAGTGTCAAAATATATATTTAGGTTTGGATATTTAATCAAGACTTACATATATTTTATTATCTGCAAAGAAACCACCTAGATAAACATTATTTCAGCTGATATTCCTCTTGAAACATGGTGGATCTTTAAAATATAAAAGTGGATTTCCTCTTTTCGAAGCTTTGAATTGAATTTACACTTCGTAATGCTGAACTTGATAGTTTATCCATACATTTTAAGAAAATAGGAATATCAAAGAAGAATGCCAAATGTTTCCTTGATAGCTCAGAAAAAGTTAAAAGTTTCCTATTTCCTAAAATAGCATATAAATAATGAGGACATTGAAAATTGAACAACCTCGTGTGAAGTTGGTTGGTGAGAGGTACTAACTATCTACAGTATATCCATGAAGTATCAGAATTTTGAGGAATTAAAAATTGATTTATCCTAGAAAATCTCCACTCATGATAAACCATGACATCTCATTTGTTCTCAGCCCTGAGATGTTTCATGGTGAAACAGAAAGATGCTATGATAAGAATGGAGGAAATCTCTGAAAACCACCGATTTCTGAAGCTGAATAGAGTAACATACTAGTATGAAGAAGCCAATGAAAATCACCGGGACTCACACACGTAGCTTTTCGTTTAGTAGGTATTGGCTAAAGCGATATAATGTTTAGCGCTTCATTAGTTCCTGCTGGAAAATCAAATTTGGTGAGTCTTATATTTGTTAGATTTTTTGAACTCCCCATTTTCATTGATATAAGTCCATGGATTAGTCTTAGTGTCTTGAGCACATTGTGAGGAATTTCCACTTTAACCGCTACAATGTACTATACATGAGGAAATGGAATGGGAAAATGGAATGGCTTGCTTTATTGACTTCCTTTTCCTTCTAGAAGTTCTAGACGAATTCCTGTGACCACTTCTTTCTTATCCATAGTTCCCTAGGGGCGAGGTAGCTCCGTCTACAAGTCTATACGCTCATGAATAACATGGATAAATTGACTAAAGTGCTCACTATCACCATTTCATGACCATGGTGATTTGAAACTTCATACTTTCCAATAAGGTCAAGATACACAGAGACCCTATCTGTTGCAAGACTAACGCCTGGCGTAACCGTCACCATGTTATTCGGTGTTTTTTAAGTAGCGCAAGGATCCTGCCATGACCGTGGTAATGTTATCGTGAAAGCCTGGTATAACCGCGACAATGCTGTATTATATTAAAATGCCTGCCATGACCGTGGTAGTGTAATCGTGTAAGCCTGGCGCGACCGCAACCTTTATATGACATTAATGACCTTCATGTTTCGCCCATTGCTGATGGTATTTTTTATGGATAAATCTTATTAATTGATCATTATAGAAAGTATATGCTTTCGAATCGAAGCTCCTTGTTCGCAAATTATTTATGAGTAAAAATTAGGTTTTCATTGTGAAATTAATACACATTTTTAGTAGTCTTTATTTACATATTTAAGGTAGTTAAACACGAAGAAAAATTGTCATTACAGTGTTCTCATGCTACTTTAAATACAACCACGGTCATGAGAGGCCTTGGAACTATTGTCACGGTCATACGAGGCTTTAACATTACCACGGTCATGACAGTCCTTGCAATATAATATAGCATTGTCACGGTTATGACAGGCCTTGCAAGCATTGTAACGGTCATATTAGGCTTTAACATTACCACGGTCATGACAGGGATTGACAGGCCTTATAAGCATTGTCACGGTCATATTAGGCTTTAACATTACCACGGTCATGACAGGCCTTGCAACCATTGTCACGGTCATACGGGGCTTTAACATTATCACGGTTATGGGCAGCTTGGGTCAACATTCATAAAGACAGAGACATATAATGTCTCTGGTAAAATATACAAATATACGAATATTTAAAAGTGGATAGTAAACAAATCGCTTAACAAACAACAATAAAAAATTCTTAAATTAAACGTAAAGGCTACGGCTGCACCAGGCTTCCACGATAACACTCATGGTCATGACAGGCCTTGCAATATAATACAGCGTCGTCACGGTTATACCAGGCTTACAAAATAACACTGCCACGGTCATGGCAGGATCCTTGCGCTACTTAAAAAACACCGAATAACATGGTGACGGTTACACCAGGCGTTAGTCTTGCAATAGATAGCATGTGGATACACATCCCTCATCCACTATGTATAGCCTAAATTCTCTTCTTTTTAACATGGGAACTCCTCACTTCAGCAAATCCAGGTGTCATTTATTCATGGTGAGTACTGTAAGCCATAATATATTATGACCAGAGATCGTAGCCAGAAATTCTTCAAAGATGGATCAAATTTTGCCCTACAAGGATTCTTCAGCCAGTGAAATAATCTTCCTGAATAAGTAGTTTCTCCTAGACCACTGATATTGGGGAGAATAATGCCCTATTAGTTGGAGAACTTCCTACTATCCGTGGTCGAGACCCTAAATGACTTTGACTTCAAGGCAAAGATTGGGATGGGATCAGTTCACACTCACAAGGTTTTATTACTTTGATAGGCAGCCGGGTGACTGGGTACCCTACCTTCCTACCAGGGTTAGGAATTTGATTTTATGCCTCAAAACGCCCAACTGACATCCCAATCAACGTACCATTGACACAACCAGTCAAGCAAACAACCAAACAAGCAGCAAAATTTATTTACCAATAAATCAACCGGCAAAACGACAAACAAAATTAATATAATTTCAATCAGTGAGGCAATAAATCAAGCAACTAACGTTGTATTGTCCATCATACACTACATGTAATTAACAGATAAAAACGGCAAATAACGTTTCAATTTACACATACGTAAATCTTCCAGATTTGTTTAATATCTAGTAGAAATTGCCATAATAGAAAACAATCATTGATATCCTGTCAATCAATCAGACAATAAATCAAGCAACTAATGTCATCGTACGTGTAAACTGTGTAAATAACTACCTACTGTAGTACTTCCGAAATTCAGTCTCTTACAGGTTCTTGGTAAAATGATAACGTAAAAATATTGAAGGGTAGTCTACAAATGTGCAAGTTTGAAAGTTGGTAACCCTGCAAGGAACGTTAAGTACCTGGTTATCCGGCTACCCGGTCACCCGGTTTATTACACAAACTCTTTAATTTAATTTGCAAATGAAAAGGAGGAATGATATAAGGGAAAATATGACAAAAGAATAAAGAGTATTAAGAATATGAAATATTACAAGGATAATTACTAATAGACAAACACTTTTTGTTCATTTTCCAAAGTGTAACATTTAATATACAAATCATAATACCATAGACGGTCATGCTTGGCAAGACATTACCAGCATCTCTTACTTTAGCCATGGTTGGCAATCATATTTTTGTCATCTGATGACCTGATTATGATAGCATGGTATGTCATGGTTGATTTGTTCTCATAGTATTTCATTGTTAAAGACTGTCAAATGCTATGTTTTTATGTCATTTCATTGTCAAAATAATGGCTATAATTTCCCACGGTATCTTATAGCATGATGGACGGTGTAATACACTGTGTTATACTATTTTCAAAATTGACCATGAAATACCATGGTATGACCGTGTTATTTCATTGTGAAATTCATGACTCATTTATTGTTTCTGAGCAGTGATGGCTGAAAACGAATCTATTAACCACTGAAAGACTCCATTTGTCATACCATATTTCTCATTGCAGAAGGAATGAATCCATAAATGAGCTAGTCACAAATTGGTCAAAATTGATAGTAATTCATTTGCTGGTCATGATTGATCATTTATGTCATAGTCTCACTTTTCTTGTCTGAGCATTCTATGACAAATGGCTTGACCAATTGATTAGTCTTCAACATTCTTCACCAAGTTTTATTGCATTTGATGTTTTTTTTCATGAAATACTGCAGAACAAATGTATTTTTAGATACAAAATTGCATCTAAATAACTACGTATGATTTACCCATGGTCAAATCTTGTTCATGATCATAGAATTTGAGAAGATATCCCATCAAGTGCAAATAGTTAGTATTAGTATCATGGTCAAAGATCCCCACCAATATAGCAATAACACACCGGAATAGCCTGACAACGGTAAAGTCAGATACCACTGTCACAAATGGCGGACATAACCGTCACTTCAATTAGATTATCATGAACTGTATGTTTAATAGAGCACCTAGACGGTTATGTCCGCCATTTTTGACAACAGTATCTGACTTTACCGTTGTCAGGCTATTCCGGTGTGAATAATATCATGGTAGAATCTTGATCATGGTTTAATCACATTTGATGCTATTTGACCATGCATGAAATACTATGAACAGCATTTTTTTTACTTTGAAAACTGCATGCTAAAAAGTTGAATTGATTATGAAAATTAGATCTTGATGAACAATGGTATTTCATTGCATTTCATGTTCATAAAACATGATTGACGATGGTCCATTTAAACGGAGTAGCCTCTTTAACCCCCTCCCACAACTTAGAGTCATTCTTTAGAAATATCCATTGGTTGTGCATGCTTCATAGTCTATCATGTAGACCGCTGTGTTTTTATCATGTATGTATGTTAGCCATTGCCTCTTTAGCCTTTTAAAGGTAAACATAGATTTTTATGCCATCTACAAACTTAATATGTCGTACCAAACACGTCACCTTTTATGTTCGTTTGGATAAGCTCTTTGTAAACAATATAGGGCACGAAATAAAAAGGTTTTCTTTTTCAGCAGTAAAGGATGCCTACTTCAAAATGACATTAAAACTCTACTATTACAACTACGACAAGTATACAACTACAACAAGTATAAAGATCAATCTACTAAACCAGAACTTCTCCATAGTACATGTAAATGGATTGTGCATGATTAAAAAAATAAAAAGCATGGTGGAATGCAGCTTGGGATAAATATGTCTCTGAACTTAGATTGTTAATAGGGGTTTATAAATGACAGGATTACTGCATGTTTTTCAACATGGCCCCCATGAGCATGATTCACTGGATTCTCCTGCTTGTAGTACAGAGTGCAAATAATATAAGGTATGTATCACATAAAAATACATCTATGATGGCGTACGTGAAGTAATACAGGTTGTTGGATTTTCTTCAAATTTGTAAACAGGTTATGGGGTACCAAGTTCCAGAGCTGATTAATTTTTGCATGGTTTATATTCTTGCTGGTCTGATTTGATTTATGACATGTACTTTGCTCAAGTGATCAATATCTATCACTTAATGGCTAAATACCAGTGTGATGTAGTATGTGCATATATTTCCAGGGGTCAGTTTCCTGCCAACTACACAGATCAGTACTCATGTCCCCAAATGTACAATAGCCTCTCGGGCACTCTGAGGCACCCCAACTTCCCATACAACTACAAGACACCTGTCCAGTGTTCAATGAGCATCTACCTGAATAATGATGGTCCATCACCAAAGTATCAGGTACATGTAATCATGATTTTAATGTACCTTTAAACTATCATTTTGTTGTCAGATTGGTAGATGGCAACTTTGCAATGCAAGTATCATAAAAATGCTCTTGGATTACCTTACAAGAACACTTTTTGAAAGAGCATTTTTGTTTTTTAATTTTCGTAATAACATATTAATAAATAAAATTGCCAGGCAGGTCTTAGGCTCCTGGGGAATTATTGACTATCCTGTCAGATTCTGTTGGCCATCTCAAACTTTTCAACAAATATTTTAGATCTCCATACAGTCCATTCATTATGAAACGCCTCTTACTGTTGAACATATAATAACTTTACATTTTAATCTAGGTTGTCCATCTTACTGCTAGGATGTTTGAAACATCTGGGGACAGTGTTTTTGCACACGATTGGCTAGAAGTGAGTTATGGTCTAGGATCATTCCAGTTTCGTGGTGATGGGACAAAAGCAACTGATGGAAGTGTGAAAGAGAATACAAAAGCAATGAGAGTTGGGGAGACATATACATGTTGTAAGTATCTTAATATCCGACACATACTGTAGCACATCAGCCAAGGTTTTGTTTCTGTTTATTTACATATGCCTTGTGAGTTAAGTGTGGACTGTCCATCCTTGAGGATTGCAGCTTTAAGGTGGTAATATTTTATATTCCACATTTGTTGCCTTCATACTTTGTACTTTTTTGTCACCCAGTATACCATATTGCCTTTTAATTTGCCAGTCTTCATATACCATTTTATCTCCATCTGTTTCATACTATGTTGTCCTTCATTTCCTCTCAGATTCAAACGTCTCCTAAACACACACCTATTCTCAACAACAGCTCAGTGTCTGTATTTCTGCCTATTATTTTCCAGATGCTGGACAAAGTAACTATTTCCATCTTGAGTTCCATTCTGGCAATGGCTTTACCAATATTGGAGGTTTTATTATTGACTATGAGGTTGAAACTGTCAGTGCAGGTGAGGGCCATCAAACTGAAAATGAGTAAAGAAGTAAAAAATTAAAATAATCCAAAATACTTGTTATTTAAATACAGTGAAACCTGTAAAGTAGAACACCTCTAGAAGTGGAACACCTCTGTAAGTGGAACAGTTTTCAGAGTTCCAAGAGCAACTATGAACCTCTATAATGGAACATCTCCCAAGTGGAACACTTTTTAAAGGAACCAGAGGTGTTCCACTTAGTCAGGTTTCACTGTATGTCATTAATATTTCTCCACCAAGCTATAATTCTGTCACGATGAGGGTAATGACTTCACCAAATATATTATGATTATGTACCAAAAAAACTTTCGACTATCCTTGTTTCTTTCAGATTATTACAAGTGCCCTAAACAGTTCACTGCACCTCTTGGCTATATACAAAGCTTTGAGTACCCCAACAACTATCTTACCAACATGAAGTGTGAGTACACCATACAGCTATGGGACAGTCCCAATGACAATCGTCTTAAGCGTGTCACCCTCAAGGCAGAGTACTTCAGTACTGGCAATAGTGGCGAAGTTGAGAACTCTGACTGGCTGCTTATTGAAGGGACGCAGTACTATGGATACGATGAGAGGAATGAACATGCGATGACAATCAATCAGACGCTTACTTTCTGTGAGTATCCATTTTTGTTTTTGGCTAAAGGTGAGCTGATGAAATCACTCACTCATTCATCTTTCGTCTGTCAGTCAATAATACAGGGTGGTAAAAAAAAATGGAAACCCTTACACTATTTTCCTCATATATTTGTCATTTTAAGACATAACTCCCTGATATTTTGCACATTTGTACATCATTCAATGTCCTACCAGCCTACTTTATATCATGACCATCAGATTGATAGTCACAATGTTACAGCACTTTACAGAACATGCCCTAGTGGCTACTATTGCGCTGTCGGGCCACCTACACTGGCCGTCCAAAATGTCCCTACCTGTAGGGATATGGCAAGGAAAAAATGTATGAGAATGACCTCAGGACAATCACAAACCTCAAAAGTGAGACCATCCGTATCATTCAGGCCATACCTGCTGAGGAGTGCATTCGGCCCATTGACAACTGTGCAGGTTTGCCTACAGCACGATGATGGCCAAACTTGAAGCATGTTATTCAAAGTGCTGTAAAATTGTGACCATCAGTCTGATGGTCATAAAATTTGGTAGGGTGGTAGGAAATTGATGTACAAATGTGTGAAATATCAGGGAGTAATTCCTTAAAATGACAAAGATATTAGGAAAATGCAGGGTTTCCATTTTTTTGACCACCCTGTATTTGGATAAATGATAACTGGCTACATTGATCTACTTTTGCAATTTGACCTACTTTGTCAGCTTGACCTATTTTTAAAAATGAGTATAGGGAATCATCAAGTGACCCCCAAATAGTGCCATTTTGTAGTATGAGCCACAATAAATTGGTGAAATACTTGTCATTGTGGGCTTCATTATTATTGATCAGAGTTCAGCATTTTAAATTTTGTGTCTAATCAGTTCTGCAACAATGTGACAAGTCAGATCAATATTATTAGATACATGTAATATAGCAATAACTGATTAGAAGTATTAGTAACTAAAACTTCTGTAAGCCTGAGATGACATTTACTTTGAAATATTACATGTGCAATTTATACAATATATCAACTTCATCGTGCTCATTTAATCAACTCAACACAACTAAGCTTATTTTTATTGTCATGATACAACATTACACTCCAGATATAGAAGCAACGTATTTCTTTACACAATCAACTAATTCAAATCAACATAATAAACAACACAACTCCACATTTAGCTAGCTTTATAACCCCATGACACACTCGATAAAGTAGCATGTTGCTAAAAAATTAAAAATTATTAAAATCAGCATTTCTATTTCTCAACACAATGTCCCAGCATTTGAAAACACTAATTATTCAACTCATCTACAGCCTTAAACTCTTTTCACCAAGATCAAGGATGATTACTGTTGAATATGAATGAAAATAAGTGCATGTTCACTACATTCTTCTACTTTTGAAGAGCCTTCAAAACTATGTCACTGTGTTTTTAAGTTTTATTTACATTCTTTTGACAACAGAGTTTAATATGTAAACACACCTTCTTGGGATGGTGATAAAGTATTTTTTATTTGCTCAGGATTTATGCTACAGACACTCATTAGATAAAAATGTTATATCGCTGATAACTGTGCTTGATATTATTTTACAGCATAAAAGGTTTATAATCAATTTTAGATGGGTGTCATATGATTTTTTGATGAAAGATAACCTGTGAATGATGTAAATAGTTTGCAAGTCTGCTGTTATAAAGTCTTAAAAAAGTGTAATTATGAATTTCTAAACATCCGACCCATATTTGTAAAATCCTCCATTACTGTTGTATAGTAACTGTAGTACTATATTTACGAATTATATTCAGTGAGCCCAGATGAATCATTCATTATAGCATGGGCTTTCAACCCACGGTGATGACGCTATGGTCCATATCATTTTGTAAAAGATAACTAGTAACACATAAAGATCAATGTTACTAAAGATGCTAAATTAACTTATATAAACTGTCAACTTAAATTTCTAGTGTTCTCACGGCAAATGTGAATCTTATCTCAATATTTTCCATTCTTGTTTTCTTTGGTTATGTCAAAGAATGACCGTAATCATACTCTTCAAACATCTTGAAGAACAAATCACCTGCTTTTATGACATTATCAAAGTTTGGAGAATATGGCTTGAAATGATAAAGTTGGAGCAGAAAACATTGATAGAACACATGATAAAGAATGTGGAAACAGTATTACACAAGTTATATTCATTCATGATTAACACATATTGCACATTTTGACTCCAATAGGGTTTGCTAAGTATTACAAGATGGAATTAGGGAAGGGAAAATGTATTGAGAGTAGCTTTAGTTATTTGAAGGCTTGATATCCTATAGGTAGGATGGTTCAGGCATCTACTTATGGACTGCTACAAGAATAATGCATTACTGAAAAGGAAGACTATATGTTAAAGACTAAATACTGCATATTTAGATTAAATATAAATTAGTTATAACATAACCTGATTAACAGCTGAAAGAACAAAGATTGATGGAACCATTTCAGTCTATCAAGGCATTCACAAAATCAATTCAATTTAATGACGTCATATGTGTTACGCGGTAAACACGATACAAATATATGTCATATTCCGCAACGAATATAGCATATTCACTTGCGGTGTATGCCAGATTCACCTGCGGTATATGCCATACACAGTAACCAATGAGAATGTGATACGGAAGTACGCAATTGTCAATTACATCGATTCAACAAACGTGCTAAAGTCTATAAATTATTATTGAGATTACTGAATCAACATCTTAGTGCATTGAATATATCAACTAATACAATTGAATAACACACACCATACTGACACGTAGCAGATAACTTATTTGATTTTGCTTTGTGTATGTGTTTCACGCAAAAACACACTTCAAGGGAAACATTATGACACATAAATAAACGGACCTACATTCGTGAAGCTTATAATTGACTTTTATAACCAAATCAATTCGAGGCTTTCTGTATTGTGTTTTCATCTGTGGTATATGGCATATTCCGCAGTTGAATATGGCATATTCCACAGGATAGTATGACATATTCCGCAGTGAGTATCTGATATTCACTGAAATCAATGTATCGCATATTCACTGCGGAATATGCCATACTCACCTGCGGAATATGCCATACACCGCAGGTGAGTATGGCATATTCACCCGTATCACAAATACCACACAACCATGAATATATGCCATATTCCGCGTAACAATATGGACCATGGTTCAAATTTTTAAGTCAACGTATCTCAGGAAGTATATTGTTTATGGTCCTGAAATTTCATATGAGCTTGTAAGAAGGGTAATACTATATGTGTATGAAATTTCACATAAAAATAATAAAATCTCTTCTTTTGAGAAGCTTTCGTGCAAGACTTTTTGAACGACCCTTGTATATTATATTAATATAAGTACAACAGTATAGTTATTCAGCTGGTATGTCAAATTGTAATAAAAAGTAAATCTAAAATATGTCCTATTACAGATAAAATGGCTGAGTATTTTGTGTTAGAATGGGTGACAGGATCCTCAAATGCAAGATCTGGATTCTCAATCCATTATACTGTATCAGATGTAGAGACTGAGCCAGGCCCAGGGGGTAAGTCAAGACTGATATTTTCTAACGATTGAGCGTAGCGAATAAGTTTGAAAATTATTTAATACAGGTACTTCACACTGTTTTGATATCAGATTTGGAGAAGGTGTTCTATAGTTTGTTACGGGGGTGTATATTTGAGTATGTTCTGTTCTATTTAAGTGACGATAAACGGTGGTATTGATTGAATGAGTTGTGAGTGATATATGTTTAGGAAATAGGTTTGAAATTAACAAATCATTCGGCTTTGTGACGCTAACACGGCAGCATTTGCTAAATTTACCAAACAACTTTAAGGTTAACTGTTTTAAAATATTTTGTCAAATGTATTTTTACTTTGATATTAATGTTATAAAGTTAGCTAGAAATAGTTTTTGTTTTAAGTAAATTGTGTGTTTCGAATTCTTAAATCCTACAAACGCCAATTTCATCTTAGGTGTAGGTGGACCTCCTTGTATATAATAATAAAAAAAAAAAATATATACAAGGTACCTTTGGCACTTTGCAAAAGGGGTCGCCGCGAGGTTGGCATTGAAGAATTCAATTATTAGCCTACAGGGCATATGTACTAAGAAATTGTATATAGAATATGTAAATAAGGTTTACGAAACCACATGAATATAAAATGTAAATTTAACTGCAAGAATTCTTTACTGAGATAAAAAGCTGGATAAAAAAGCTTTGCCTCCGAGGCATATGGAACAAGTTTAATGTTTGGGCAAGGAGTGACCATACATTAATTTATTTATAATTTAGACGAGATCGTCTCTGAGACGTCTGTGGAACTATAAAAGATTATTATTTATACATTATAAGATTTGAGATATTTGCCTCCGATGCTAAATAATGAAATCATTTTGAAATTTGTCCATAGAATTAAGTCTTCCGAGTCGGAATAATAATATGAAGAGCCCATGAATCAATATTGGACTATTATGATGTTTTGATAGTTTTGAGCCTGTAGATAAGGAATATTTGGTATTATAAGTTAACCTCTGGAGAGTATGTACTTTAGAAGTTAATAGAATATTAATGATATATGGCTTTATATGCCAGGATTATAATCAGATAATTGGACTATTATTGAATTTTGCCTCCGGGGCATATGTAGATAAGGATGGTTTCATATTAAAAGTTTACCTCTGAGGAATAATCTACTTTAGAAGTTGAAAATATAATATTAACAAAATGGTTTTATATGCCAGGATTATGATCAGATCAATTGAACTATCATTGAAGTTTGCCTACCGGGGCATCTATACATAAGTAATATTTAATATTAAAAGTTTACCTCCGAGGGATGTGTACTTTAGAAGTTGATAATATAATATTAACAAAATGTGGATTCATATGCCAGGATTAAGATCAGATCATTTGACTATTATTGAATAAGGATTGTTTTATATTAAAAGTTTACCTCTGAGGAATAATCCACTTAAGGAGTTGGAAAATATAATATAGTACTATATTAATAATATGGCTTTATATGCCAGGATTAAGATCAAATCATTGGACTATCATAGAATTTTGCCTCCGGGTCATCTGTACATAAGGATTGTTTTATATTAAACGTTTACCTCTGAGGAATAATCCACTTTAGAAGTTGGAAAATATAATATTAATAACATGGCTTTAAATGCCAGGATTAAGATCAGATGATTGGACTATTATTGAATTTTGCCTCAGAGGCATTTGCACAATATTTAACATAAAAAGTAAACCTCTGAGGGATTTAGAAGTTGATAATAGAATATTGATGATATATGGGTTTGTATGCCAGGATTATGATCCGATCATAAGTCCGCGACACCTCCGAGGTGCTGCCCAAAGGGTCGTTGTGTATGTGGAGTTTGTATGTACGATATTATTATACGCCAATAAATAGCGACATAGCGGCACATAAGAGCCAATGCAAATTTATATGGTGGTTGTGTTCTTTTAAGATTTAAGTACGGAGGACCAGTTTTAAATTTATTTTATCAGTGGAGGTGTATGTGTGTAATATGGTATATTTTTATGTGTTTTCAGGTATAGAGTATAGTAGATTATTCTTCCCAGTGGCCTTATACTAACGCTTGTGGTGGTGGTTTGCTTTACAGAATATAGCAACAATACCTTGAGATACACGACAAATTGCACGATTCATAGCATGTGATCAGTGTTGCTTGTAGATGTAGATTTGTAACATTAACTGATTTGCCTAGCGTAACAATCAAAGTGTGTATTCACAAGTGAACACAAGACCCGAATGAGTATTGGCAATTTATAGAAAGATATCGTCACGATTTATAGCATGTGATCAGTGTGCTCGTAGATGTAGTTTTGTAACATTAACTGATTCACGGGTTGTATCCAAAGCCCCGTTATAATTGAGAGATCGCGAGCAAGTTCCCGCTGAAATCACGAGCAAAGTCCTTTTTATTTAATTCATCTGGAAATATGGACCAAAAAGGTAAGAATACGCATTACTGTTCTTTGATACTTTAGGTATACTTTCAGAACAGGTATATCTTCACAAACAATGACATGAACGATATCTATTTTTACTGGCATGGAAGAAATGGGCGTCAATATGCACGTTTGCATAATTTACTGTTAACATATTACTTTTATGGTTAAAATAGAGACAAGAACTACGATATACATACCTCATTATGAATATTGGACCAACATTGTATGTATTGATAAGTTTGTTTTCAAAAACATCCACTGTGGGGGGTGAAATACATCATTGAAGGTGTGCCAGTGGCCCCGCTGAAATTATGAGGAAGCCCCGCTGAAAACATGAGGAGGTCCCGCTGAAAACAGGAGCAGATATCACGAGTACCCGCTTCGATCACGAGGAAAGCTCATTACTATTACATAAAATATTGAGGTTCTTCAAATAAACGTGCACGAAAGACCAAGTTAAGTACTTCTAATAATTACTGTATATATACTGTTTCATTCTAGGGCCAGGTTTCTAATGTTTCCATTCCAACTTCAAGCCACCAGAGATTTCGTCAAACATTTTATAGAGTTGCATCCATATCAAAATGTATAGGAGAAAGGTGGATATCATTTCAAGAATGAACTTAATTGAAGCCTGAGGTTCAGGGTAATGAGTCTTGTATTAAACAAAGACACCCCAAGTTGCAAGAAGATGAAATTTAGAGAGAAAGGAGAACCACAAAGTCTCCATGATAATTCAGGTTCTACTTTTATAATTTAACAATAACATTTAACAATAACATTCAAGTTTTTGTTTTTAAATATTTATTAAAATAATGATGATTTGTATTCCATACCTGATAATTTTCAGGGACATATCAACCGGGAATATATTCCATATCCGGGCAAATATTTTTCGTATGTCCCGCTCAAACGAGGATCCGGGACATATAAATCGTATGTCCTGCATAAGCCATTTTCCTGGACATATTGTTACGCGATAAACACGATTCAAATATATGTCATATTCCACAATGAATATGGCATATTCACTTGTGGAGTATGATAGATTCACCTGCGGTATATGGCATACTCACCCGCGGTGTAAGGCATATTCTGCAAGTGAGTATGACATATTCTGCGAGCATGGGGTATTTACTGAAATCAATGTATCACATATTCAATACGGAATATGCCATACTCACCTGCGGAATACGCCATATACCACAGCTGAATATGGCATATACACCCGTATCACAAATACCACGCAACCATGAATATGTGCCATATTCCGCGTAACACATACGATGTTACGCGGAGTATGGCATACATTTATGGTTGCGTGGTATTTGTGATACGGGTATACAGTATATGCCATACTCACCTGCAGTTTATGGCATATTCTGCAGGTGAGTATGCGATATTCCGCCGTGAATATGCGATACATTGATTTCAGTGAATACCTGATAGTCACCTGCAGAATATGTCATACTCACTTGCCGAATATGTCATATACCGCAGGTGAAAATGACACAATGATTACCCGTTTGTTCAATCAATGCAATTGACAATTGCGTACTTCTGTATCGTGTTCTCATTGCTTAGTGGGTATGCAATATACTGCAGCTGAATCTGTCATACACCGCAAGTGAATATGCCATATTTATTGCAGAATATGACACATATTTGCATCATGTTTTCCGCGTAACACGAGCGTTTAACATAACCTACGATTAATTGTTAATGATGAAATTATTTGATTATTATTATTTCGGACTCATAATCGGATTCTACTCCTTTGTTACTTACATCTAGCAGTTGATCCATAAATTGCCTTTTCAAATGTGTGCGCCATTGGTGCTGAATCCTCTAAGGTAGTAATATACTGAACTACAGTATAATGTAACTTCAGTGAAATATAAATATATATTGCATACAAAGAAGAACGAGTTATTTGAAACTTGTCAAAAGTCGTGGAATGGATTTAAATCTTCTCTTGGTAAACTCGATGGAGTTAGGTCGAAATACATTAAGTGAAATGGTTTTATTGGAATCATGCTTGTAGCCAGCTTTTGGTAAGGGGGGGGGTTGCTCGAACCGATAATAACAATGACAATGATATATGATATAGATGTGCTCTGTAGAGTATCAATAATTAATATATTTATTACGTTGGCTACAGTCGTGGCAGATTTGCAAAGTCAAATCGGTCTTCACTCCATTTTAGAGAGCCACTTGCTCCTGATTTCAGCGGGACCTCCTCATGTTTTCAGCGGGGCCTCCTCATGTTTTCAGCGGGATCTTTAGTTTATTGCTCATGGTAGAAGCGGGGCCTCAAGGGATATGCTAAAATTGAAATATATAATTTTTTGTGAAACTTTAGGAAGTGAAACTCACAATACCTTCATTTCATATTACTATGACCATTTCAACTGAAGGGCAATGACCTTCTTCAGCTATAAAATATAGAAATATATAGATAAAGATTCAAGATGATACATTCTCTCTCCAATTATCGAATAACAAAACTCAGAACATCAGCTCGTGAGCCTTTTTTGCAGAAGTTGCTTTTTAGTATCAATACCATGTAATAATTGAGTAAAATTAAATGAAAACGCTTTTTATAACATACAATTTAAGTAAACAAAAGATAACCCTTCTTTTCTTTTAATTGCTCGCGATTTCAGCGGGTATTTGCTCGCGACTTCTAAATCATAGCGGGGCTTTAGATACTACCCGTGTGATTTGCCTAGTGTAACAATCAAAGTGTGTACTAACAGTGTCCAGTATTCACAAGTGAACTCAAGACCCGAATGAGTATTGGCAATTTATAGAAAGATATCGTCACGATTTATAGCATGTGATCAGTGTGCTCCTAGATGTAGTTTTGTAACATTAACTGATTTGCCTAGTGTAACAATTAACAGTGTCCAGTATTCACACGTGAACACGAGACCCGCATGAGTATTGGTGATTTATAGAAAGATATTGTTACAGAGTATCCCCATATACATTGACTATTATGGTATACGATTAAATTGATTGGCACTAGTAATTATAGTGCTTCAGTAGCATTCATAGTGTATATTAACAGTGTTCACTATTCATGCGTGAACTGGAGACCAGAATGAGTATCAGTGATTATCGATACAGAGTATTCCCATATACATTGACTATTATGGTGTTATAGCATTATTTGATTGGCACTAGTAGTTATTGGATGTCACAATTTGCCGTGATCATCAATTACAGTATGAACCAGACAGAATATGTACCAGAGCGACCATATAGGAGCCTAAGATACTAGCATACCAGCACAATATCATTATAGAGTGTACTATGATACATTGAGCATTATGATGGCATATGATTCAATGATCGACATATGTGAGTTATTATAGAGTGGTACAATAAACTTTGACCATTTGTACAGAAGGCCAGATTGAGCAGTCAATTAGTTGCTATAGAGTAGGATTGTGCTGAGTTAAGTAGTTGAACAAATCAAAGCCTTCATTGTACCGGAGCGATGATTAGAGTAACTGTTACCAGCAAACATTAGAATATCGCTTATATCATTACAGGGTGTCCCAATATACATTGTCTGATTATTAACATTGAATCAGCAACATTCTGACTGATATATGCACATTTTATGGGTCATTATGTCTTAATAAGATATTATAGCTGGAAACTTAACTCTTAGTAGTATTTATGCATTCATGTGTATTCATAGCATTTTAAGTATGCAACCATTATAGGTTAACTTTAGTTCATGAGTTATTAGAATATAGTTAAGTGTTAGGACTTGCAGAACGAAGAGTTAGTGAGTTAGTTAATTCAGATGGAAACACAGTGTTCCCACATACAGTAGGTAGTATAGGGTATTCGTTGTGAGCGATTAGGATTACTCAGTTGATTTGGTGGTACCACAAGGTTAAGTTAGGATCTCAGATAATTTGGGTAACCAGTGTCACAGACTAGTAAAAGTAGCGAGTAACCATTACTGGTCTTTATTTGGTTTCATTACTAACCGCTTTGAGAGTTTGTGGTATAACCACTTTTATAACATACCTATGATGATGTAGAGTGCAAAGTGTACACAAGACAGCGGGCCAATATAAGTTTTGAAAAGCCCGCGCCCGCTAACTTTCTGATTGGTCAAGGCACTGACGTCATAACCAATCAATCGAGGATAAAACTGCACGAGCAATTTTTCTAAACTAATTTCAATCATTTTCAAACCATTTGTTTGTCAATTCTATCAGAAAACGGTACTCTCTGACCAGTCTACATCATCATAGGTATGTTATAAATCGTTTATGTCACTATCGTGGCAAATATGCCCTCGGTTCTCAGAGATCAATGTCCCTCCCAAGGTCGGGCCATATATCACTGAGACCTCGGGCATATATGCCACGATAGTGACATAACCTCTAAGTATGTAATATAGATGTATATGTTACTTTAACATTGTTTCAAAATATATTTCCATATTAAAACTACCTATATTTGTGAGTAATTACATGTGTCAGATGCAAGTACATGTACAGTAAAACCTCTCTTATTTTAATGTCACTTGAACCAGCTCAAAATGTTCAAATTGGCAGGTGTTCACAGTTACTTCAAACATTCAAGTCTGTGTTAGATGAAAAATTTGACCTGAAAACCCATTCACATCCCAGCAACATTGAGATATATTCAGATTTGAGAGGTGTTCAAATACACAGGTTTTACTGCAGTTTCACCACTTTAAATAGAATTTCTTTCAGTTTTTATATTTGATATCATTGAGCATTTTTCTTCTCTGGTTTACTACATTGATTATGTATGTATCAGTGTTTCATATTAGTATTTATTATATTTTAAAGATGTTTTTTTTATTGAGCTATTCAGCCTTTAAGATTCAGACTTGCCATGTAACTTGCCATGTTTTGGTACAATAATTTTAAAGGTCAAAACGCCATGGTGAAGGCCACACAGAGATATATACATGTAACCTCACCCTGAATGAATGACCAAGGATCAAGGAAATTATCCAAAATGTCTATGATCTATATACATGTCTCTATATGCATTTCTCACTACATCTGTTTTTCTAGGTGTTGACAACCAAGGTAAATTGTTCGCAGTTGGGTTCCTCTATCAGTATGATGGAGTGGAGAGGGCTTACCCCAAGCACCAGCTAGCTATCACCAGCTGGAACGGTGCCAATGTAGAAGTATACTCCAATTGTGAGCGAATTATGAGACAATTCACTATCACCCCTGGTGAAGTCACCCGCATTGAATTTGACCGATGTGTAGAAGCTACCTACGGAGTTCAACTTAATGGAATATCAGTAAAATCTGACATGGAAATCATAGTACAAGGAATAAATGCTAATCTGCAGTCATCAGATGCATTTCTGGGGATTCCCCTTATACCAGGTCCAAATGTCTACATTATACCTACATACTTTACAGCAATTTTCGATTATAACCAGTTAACAGTGGTGGCCTCGGCAGCAACAACTACACAGGTAGTTTACTTTTTAAATAAATAGAACTGTCAAATCAACATTTAATCAATATCTGAGGAAAATATTCAACTCATTCTAAGTTTCTTTGAAAATCGATGAAATGGCAAATAGTTGTACATTTTGTTGCTCGTAATAATATTTTTCATAAGTATATTTTTTAACCCTAAATCAACCCCTCTAAAAGTTTCCTGTAACAGGATGAGAATAAGGGTCGTAGATTAATTCTATCCTTCGCTCATCAATTAGCCCATTGAACAAAGTTTTGGCATTGCTATAATCTAGTCACCCCATTGCTCCATTTGCCTTAACATGGATTTCCCTTGCATAATGTGGTCAGTTATTTCCTAAAAATATTGTACAATGAGATACTATTTTTTGCAGTATGCATTCAACCTTAAAAGATTCCTAATAAGTGGAAATAAAAATGATAAAAATTTGAAATGTATGGCTGTTTTAAAATGTAACTCTAGTAATAACTCTAACTTGTCATGTGATATAATTATTCTTACGCATATGTTATATTTGTCATCCAGGTGACATTTATACCCAGGAGAAAGACTGGCATATACTGGAGGGATGCAAAGATAGTAGATCTTAAATACATGGAGACATTCTCCTATTATCTCTATGGAACTAGAAATGACCAATATGATCTTACAGGAACCATCATATACTCAAACAAGACAATCAGTGTTTTCTCTGGCAACAGGTGTACAAAGGTGGGTGCTTATTTACATTTTGATAGCAGTTAGCATCGGGGTACTCAGCAATACTACATGTATGTCATGTATACTCAGAGGTAGTTGATTCCCTGTCATAACTCTTGACATTTTATATAAACTTGATTTACCATAACAAAATAAAAATGTATTTTAAAGGTTGAACCGACCCCATCATTTAGGAACAACTGTAGTCACACTGCAGAACAAATTCCTCCAGTTAGCACCTGGGGCCGAGAGTTTTATGTTGTACCTGTCATCCCTGTGAGAGACCATATGCTGATACGTATCATAGCTGCACTTCCCAATACAACTGCATCGATTAATGGTGGTGATGAAATACATATTGCTGACACTGGTGAATTTATTGAGAGGAAACTTGATGTTTCTTCAGTGCATCACATTTTGTGTAGTGAACCATGTCTGGTAGTGCACTACAATATTGGGGGAACATATGCTGCTGCGCGTGCCCACGCAGCGCCATATATGACCATGATTCCAAGTGTAGAACAATATACTTCAAATATTCACATTTCTACATTTACACGAATATATAACAAACCTTTTACGGATTACATATCAGTCATAGCCCCCACTGAAAAAATCAGCCAGTTATATATCGATGGTGAAGTGATACCAACGAGCAACTGGACTGTTGTAAATTCCAAAATGGCGACAATTTCCCTGCAAGTCGATCCAGGGGAACATGTTGTGCATCATAATGATCCAACAGTGAAGTTTATGGTGTTTGTGTATGGTAATGCCCAAATAGGAACAGACTCATATGGATACCCTGGTGGAATAGGAACACATACACTTAATGGTTTGTATAATTTATGATCTTGTAGAAATATACAGGGTGTTTCATAATGATTGTCTCGTCCCCTCCACCATCAGTAGATGATATACCCCCAAATATTATAGGAAAGCCTATTGTAGACTTATTGAAATAGCTTCATCTGAACTTGTGTATTTTAAAGGTGTAAGTACATGTACATTTGTACAACCAAAGTTCAATTTATTTCCTCATAACTACTTTTTTACTTAAATATGTACTGGTTATACTTTCACTGTTTCTACTTCATCTGTTAATTCTAATACCTTTTGTATATCTAGAACATTCAGGCGTAGATTTACGTGCTTTGTGAGGAAGTCAATTTTAAACTACACAAAACAATGGATAATGTGATCAATTTAAGTTTCTTGTGTTGGGCCTCATGATTTTCTGATGGTTAAGTCATGATCATTTTAAAAATATAAGCAGTCATCTAATGATTGATTTTCAGATGGTTGCAAGGCAGATAGCTGTGCTGAGACACAAGCTGTGTGTATCCCTGGTGTTAACTCAACATTCCACTGTTTCTGTAAGGAAGGCTGGACAGGATTGAGCTGTCAGAAAGTAGAATCAACCACCCCAGCTCCTACTGACCCTCTAGGTATTATATATTACATCTACACTGGCAGATCCAGAAGCTAACAAAGGGGGCCCACATTTCAAGTTGGGAAAAATAAGCGCGGAAACAATTTTAGGCCTCTAAAACCCAAAAATTGGGCCCAAATGTTCAAAATTTTAAGGCCCATTTTTTGATAATTTGGCCTAAAAAAGGCCAAGTATATAGAGATTATCCTAATTGTTTATAAGGGTTCTAGATATATAGCTAGCTTATAGGCCGTATCACATATATTATATTCATAGGCGTAGCGCCCGGTACCCTGGGTATGCACAGGCGTACCAAATGGTTGCAAATTCAAAATTTTCCTTGGGGATAACCCTCAGACCCCCTAAATGGTCGTTTTTTGCTTCGCTCAACTCTTGTTCCCGTGGTGGCGTACTACTTAGAAATATAGCGCTACTCCCATGATATTGGCCAGGGAAGATTTTCAGATGATATTGTTTCTGATAAGTAATATAGTAATTTTAATTGCAAACTTGTGTAGTATTTTTTGCTATTTTCAATTTTTTATTCAAAATTTCAATTGTCAATACTCCCATGGGAGGCAATAATATACTTCATATTACTGAGTCACAAATAATTACATGTGTGATACTGTTTTGATTTAAATAGTATAAATGCTTTTTATAAAGAAGGGGAGTCATGGGTTATTCTTTCAGTATAATTATTTTTCTGTGTATGTTTTCTTTATCTTAGATGCTTTCAAATGTCCACAACTTCATACAAATGCATCTGGGATAATTTACAACCCTGGTTACCCAAATGGTTGGCCTTATACCTATCAATGCACAATCAAAATTGACTTACATTCAAATGTTTGTGACTTGAACTACAAGCAGATAACACTGTCTGTGGAAAAATTTCAACTTAAAAGGTAAGTTGTATGATTATATTTTTCTTTATTGGAAGGGGTTGGGAGGGTCATTGTGGGTCATTGTAATATTTATTGATGTCATTAACCATACTATGATTAGATGTACTTTCTGGATTTGTTCCAGGACTTGATATTGCTTGTTGGTTATTTTCTGTTTGTATTTCATTAAGTAAAATGATAAGGGGTTATAGTATTCAATATTCTCTTCTCCTGTGCCTCTACCCATTAAAACATATACAGTACATGGGTATTTTAGGTATTCCGGCTCTAGTTTTGTGATGATAGATGATAGAAAGTACTTTGGCAATGGTAGTGATCCAACTGATGTTAATTCTTTACAAGAAGGACAGACATACACATGTGAGTCTATACAGTGAATATATAAATGACATTAAACAGGACATGCATACTCATGCTATCAAGGGGGTATCTGAGTGAGATTAAGGGGGGCAGACACATATGTTATTATATAGACTATGGGTTCAATATTTGTCTGTAGCAGTGTGTCCTTTTGCTACTTTCTTATGAGCCCTATCCATTTATAAAATTCCAGGGGGGTTCACTTAGGTTCACAAATGGCCAAAATCACTTGAAAAGTGCTCAGAATGGTGAAAAACTGCATGATTTTCAAATAATTTTTGGCCGGGGGGGGGGGGGAGTTATTTCCTCGAACCATCGAACCTCCCCCTGGCTATGGGCTTGCTTGCAAAGAAGAAATAAACCCCTTTAGCTATATAATTTGAAAAGTAGCCTAGCTATGTACAGAATCGCAGAGCTTGGATATATGACCAATAATATATTTTAAAACGATGTATTTCATCATAACTGCATTCCTTTTGCTTTCAGATCAGAGTAGGTCGCCATATTTCCACATCTTCTTCAAAGGTTCAAGCAAAACAGAAGACTCCACATATGGATTTGCCTTTCATTACAATATATCAACAATACCTGGGCAAGGTATGTACCATACACTAAGATGAATAAGTAAATGTTATCTCATAGATCGACTTATATTTTTTCTATATTGTGTTTGGGTTAGGTACTTCAAATGGTGTCTTCATAGACATGTAAAGGTTGACCATGTGACCAAAAATATTGAACGTCCATATCCTTAAGTTAGTTTAATGTCTTTTCAGTATGTTATGAAATTCTTGCAAAATCTACAGCTATCTCAGTACTAAATAATTTCATTTATTTGTTTGCATTAAAGTACTATTTATTACATTATATTTATAGATGTGTATCTCCTTCATCACTTAGATAACAGGCATAACATTAAACAGAAAGTCATCATTTGTGCATACAGTAGTTATTTACAATATCTGCACTAATTTTTTAGTGCAATATAATCCTGTTGTGTACTACAATGTATATGCACTAGCTAAACTATTTCATTGCAGATAAACCAGCTATCAATCAAGCAAGGCCTGGCAATAAAGGACAATGTTTTGCTATGACCTTCACCCCTGCATGTGGTACATATCATGATCGTCATATGTCTTACATTATTGTGATGTCACAGAAGCCAACTAATGTTTCTATTTATGTGGCTCTGTCCTCTTATGATGAATTTAGGAAACCAGAAAGCACACGCTTTGTTACACCCACAGATCCATGGCTATATAAAGCAGGTAAAACTCAAAACATTTAAATTTGAGAATTTTTAAATACTGGGTCTAATGATCTAATCAAAAGTTAGCAACTTATGTGCCATCTAAGTTATTGGTTGAACCTATGATGTATTTTGAGATAAAAATCGTGTACAGTAAGACCTGTCCAAGTGGAACACCTTTAGTACCTCTAAAATGTGTTCCACTTGGGAGGTATTCCACTTACAAAAGTTCATTTAACAATGAATAAATAGGTTGTGGGATTTTGAAGTGTTCCATTTATGAGGCATTCCACTAATACAGAGGTGTTCCACTTTACAGGTTTTACTGTATTTTACACTTGTTAGTGAAAACTACATTGCAACTTGGTTCAGAGACACTCAGTCATTCAAATTTTAAATTTCAGTATCAAAATTATAAAAAACAATATTTTCTAGATTTCAGCCTTACAGAGTACACAGAGGGAGGCATCCATATGTTATCAGCTATTGTAAAAGCTGATGAAGATCTTACTGTATATGGTCAAAAAGCCAATGAATACAGGGCAGATGGTTACTTAGCATTACCAGTGGGAGGTGTGGATAGCTATGAGTATATGATAGGTATGTGAATGCAAGTTTTTTATCCATTTATTTATATTTAGCTTATTTAATTAGATTACATTAAATGTACAAACATATTCATAAATATGTGCTGGTTGTTGATGTCCATAAAACTAGTTATTCATCTATTATAATTATTGTCTAATTGCATTTCTTCAAATAATATTAACAAACATACTAACATATATTTACCCTTATAAGGTTCATACACAAACAAAGTGCCCCGTCTTAATAACAGAAAGGCTGCATCTTCTGGGTTTGCTGTGGTTGCAACAGAGGACAACACAGTTCTTAATATCTCCCTCAAAGCAAACCAGGGTTACAACTCTACAATACTCACTGTAATCATAGATAAACTACAGGTATATTGTCAAACATTTGCTTTTTCCAGTGTAATTAATATTTATGTATACAGTGAAACCTGTGTAAGTGGAACACTTTTGGTTCCACAAGAAATGTTCCACTTTGGAGGTGTTTCACATATTCCTCAATAGGTGATTGACCTTTCAAAAATCATCCACTCACAGAGGTGATCCACTTATAGAGGTGTTCCATTTAAGTGGAAGTGGTATAGACTAGGTTTTATGAAATATACAAATAGGTGAAAGAAAATATTTGAGTTCACCTTGAAATGCACTGACCTTCAGCATGACTGAATTGTCCCATACTGATAATGCACGGCTGTTTCATGTTGAGGAACTGGGTGTTGGACATTGCTTCCTAGAACATAGGAACATTTTTGGGATATTGTTTTTTTTTCTTGACTGGTTGTAATTTTCAGTTCTCCATTTCTGAATGTTTTTCTACACTTTGTAGTCATTTTTCCCTTTGGTACTTGTACTTACTTTTCCATACCTGTACACTCTAATCAGCTGTGAATTATATTAAAAATGTTGCTATAAAGGAAAAGTTAAGGACACCATTTTAAAAACAAAAAGCAACATAGAGATTCATTCTAGATTTGAGTTTTCCTCCTATATGTTGCTCTTTTATATTTGATAAATTGTAATTATATTTCAAGGTGTATTGGCATCGTAATACTGTTCATGATGTCACAGGCACAGTAGTTAAATCCAACAAAGCCATTTCCTTATTCAGTGGCCACAGTTGTTGTCCAGGTTTAGCTCTTGAACAGTTACCACCAATGAGCACATGGGGAACAGAATTTGTAGTTCAACCAATTTATAAATCTAAAATGAGATATAACTGGAGAGAACACACAACATTGCGTGTGATTGCAAGTGAAGACAATACATCAGTGGGTGTTAAAAATGATGGATTACAAGCTTATATTAATAAGGGGGAATATTATGAAGTACGGATATCAAACATAACTTATATGTACATTGTGTGCTCTAAACCATGCCTTGTTCTTCAATACTGGCCCACAATGGTGATAATTCCCCCTTTATCTTCTTACATATCAAACACTTATTTCCACAAAGGATTATACTACAAATATAACTATGCCAACCCCAGTACCATAACAACAATGACATCAAACTATTTACATTTTGCTTCACCGACACAGCACAAAGATGGATTTCTAATTGATAATTCACCAATGCCTGCCAATTGGACTAAGATTCTGGGTACAGAATGGTCAGTTGCAGTAGTGCGTGTAATAGAAAATTCTAGCATATATATCAACCACACTGACCCTAGTGTCAGGTACTCTGTGCTTTATTATGGGTTTGGCTCTTACTATCCAGCTGTGGCACTGCCTCTTGGACTCAACTTTGATAAAATACAAGGTATTGTATAACATGTGTTATTCACACTGCCTGTAATACTTTTAGTACATGTACAGTATATACATATGCATTATTTTTTCATTTGATTTTTGTAAATAGTATCATTGCAATTTTTTCCCATTTAATGATTATACATTTCATATTGAATTAAAACACATTAATCTTAATTACCCTATGAACATTTTTTCTCGTATTCACAAGGATTTAACTATAATGTGGTTCATTTCTGTTATATGAAGATTTGAAGTGTTAATGTACATACTAGTAAAGACTGTTGGAATGCATTATTTCAGATGTATGTTTACCAAACCCCTGCCTTAATGATGGCCTTTGCATGAAGAGAGTGAATGGAGGGACAAGTTGCCTGTGTATTAATGGTTACTATGGTGATACTTGTGCACTTTGTTGTGAAAGTACCATTCCACCAACTCCACCTCCAGCTGTGTGTATGTACAATATTTACATTTTTACAATTATTGTGTTTGGCTTGATGTGTTAGAAAAGTGCTTTACTAGGTATATACTTTAAAATATGAGTGGAAATTACTTTAAGTGGAAGCAGTCAGTTAGATTCAGCATTTTCCATATGGGAATACTTTTTAATAATAATAGTTTTTTAAATCGATTAGCAACTTTGGGGTTTACAACATATGAATTGCTAAACAATTTTTTAACATCCAGCATATTCATTTTGTCGTAAAGTCAACACCTTTAACATATTATTGTTAATATTTGCTTTTTACAGATCCAAACCTTTGTCCACAGATGCATACAAGTCAGTCAGGCTACATACAGAGCCCAATGTATCCATTGAATTACCCAAACAAGCAGGACTGTAGGATACAGATTGATATGACCCCATTTTTATCATCTGACTTTCAAGAGATTGTTCTTTATGTGGAAGATTTCCATCTTGAAAAGGTCAATTATGCCAAGCATGCTTTGGATTATCTGACAATAGAGGGTGGTGATCAGTTCACAGGAAGTACTGATCGTGCGATGGTTGTGGGCAAATATTACATATGTAAGTGAAGTTATTTTAGTTTTATATATGCTGATTATGTACAATATAGTTTGTGTCATTGTAGAAATATTTCATTATATTGAGTTGCATACCTGTGATTCTTTGACATGGGAATATCTACTTTGAGAATGTGACACATGGTGTTTTTTAACGGTAAATAGAATGAAATATTTGTTGTTTTTTCACGGTTCCTGACTTACTGATTTGGCCAACATAAGTTAGAATAACAAATGTAGTTTTAAATAAATAGAAGTAGAATTTCATATGATTAAGTAAACTATGAATAAATATATTAAATGACAGTGGATGAAATGCCAGTCAGGTAATACACTATAGATTACACTGGACAAACTTCTAGGTGGGAATATGCTTGATCAATATGTTTTTGATGGTGTTTGACATTTGGCGGTTGATGTTCAGCATTCAGTGGTTAGTGTTCGGCATTTGGCAGTTGGCATCTGTAACAAATGGCAGGTGGTGACATTTTTCATGTGCATGCTATGTTTCTTCATGTGGCTCCTTATTTTCAAGACCCATTGTAAGACATGAGATTCATGATATTGTTAATACTCATTTTAATAGTCAGTTGAGAATCAGACTGAAAAAATCCTTTTCCAGACCGTAACAGTAAGAAGAAGCAGTACTTTAATCTAAACTTTGTGAGCAATGAATACAGGATGGAACGAGGATTCTCTCTGAAATATACCACTAGGGGGATAAACTTCACCTCTGAAATTAGTATGTATTACTCATATTTATGATAAAGTTTAATTAAAGAATCACAACATGCAAATGTCAGGCCCATAGCCAGTTTTTTCTAAGGGGGTTCACTTTTCAAAATATTCCATGGTCTTCACTTTTGACAACTTTGGCCCAAAATTATTTCAGTTAATTGAAAAGTGCTCAAAATGGTCAAACTGCATGATTATGAAAGAATTTATGGCCAAAGAGGGAGGGGGGCGTTTGCTTGAAACCCCCTGGCTATGGGCATGTATGTAAAACAGAAACACACTTTCATATGTGAAAAACTGAAAAGTATAAAAAGCAGTATTTAAGAAAATTTACAGAAGCACAAAAAATCAATTATTCAACAGAATTATAAAACAACTTGCATCAAAGTGAAAATATAGTATTCATATATCCGAAATTGTTCATTGGTTATAGTATTCATGCTTTATCCAACTTGTAAAATATTTTAATTTTTTTATAATATATTTGTAAAATAACCCTATTTCAGCCCATTCACACAGAGGAAGAAAGTTTGCTGTTGCTTTTCCTCGGATGAAACAAGAGCCCACTAAATATGATTTCTATAAAGACAAGAACTATATTATTTTTACATGTGGTAGTTCAACTGACATTCTGATCACCCACCAAGGACAAACAGAGCAAATTGCATGCCCAGGCGTATACAGCAATAATGTATGGAGAACATATCCTAAATCAAGTAGAGCTGATATTGGGGTAGAGAATAAAGGTTATATAATAGAGGCAAGTGAGGAAATCGCAGTGTATGTGTATAGCATTGAAAAGAATGGATATTATTCTTTGGACACTTCTGAAGCATATCTAGCACTACCAATGCATAAACATATGACAGAATTTATTGTTATGTCATACATGTTATCTACACGATTCACATCTTACTCAAGCATTTTAGTAATAGCAAGTGAGGATAGCACAACAGTTACAATAACAAAACGTACTGAGAGGAGGTATAACTTTTTCAAAGAGATAACCATAAAGTTAAACAAAGGAGAAACCTATCAACATTTGGATTCTACTGATGACTTAACTGGTTCTATTGTCAAGTCAAATAAACCAATCTCAGTGGTTAGTGGTTCGACATGCTCGACCATTCCAACCACTAGTTATTATCAAAAGTGTGATTATCTTGTTGAACAAATGCCACCTGTATTTTCATTGGGGAAAGAGTTCATTACACCATCCGTAAACAGACCACTAGCTGATGATGTATATCTAAGAGTTCTTGCATACTATGATGACACTACCATTGAGGTACCTGCATTACAGTTATCACAATCAATGCATTTAATGATGGGAGAGTATTGGGATGTGAAACTCCCAAAGATTGACAAAGACGGTTTTTATGCAAATGAAAATGAATATTACATTAAGTGTTCTTATCCTTGCTTGGTTGCTATATTTACTCCAATATATGGATCTAGCCAGTTTCCATCAATGTTCATCATTCCACCAATGACACAGTTTGTGACAGGGAAAAACTACATTCCAGTGATATCAATGATTTGGAATGAATATGAGAGCAACGTAGACACAGAAACATTTATGCAAGCACCAAGTAAATATGGTACACGGTTATATTTCAACACAGGAGAGCTCAGTGAATCTGACTGGAACAAAATCCCATACAAAGAGACATATTCTGGGATATATAAAAGTTCAACAAGTAAACGTACTCTGGGATTTGAGTTGAGTCATCCATATATAGATGTTGGGTACATGTCATATACTTACAGTTACGATTCCCTTGGCCATTTTGGGTATCCATCAGTCATGGGATTATCAATCACAAATGGTAAGTAATTGATAAGCAATTAATTAACCAATCAAGTCATATGATTAACCAATCAAGTAATTTGATTAACCAAATAAGTCATTTGATTAACCAAATAAGTCATATGATTAACCAATCAAGTCATTTGATTAACCAATCAAGTCATTTGATCAACCAATCAAGTCATTTGACCAACCAATCAAGTCATTTGATTAGCCAATCAAGTCATTGGATTAACCAATCAAGTCATTGGATTAACCAATAAAGTCATTGGATTAACCAATCAAGTCATTGGATTAACCAATAAAGTCATTGGATTAACCAATGAAGTCATTTGATAAAGCAATCAAGTCTGTATCATTTATTTATGTATTATTTCATTTTTATTTTCATTTTTTGGAGACCTATAACATATTTCTAAGATCTTTTAGAAAAAACAGGTGTAAACTTGATTGTATTCTGTAAGATGTCTTAAAAATGGTAATGTAAACTCAACATATTTTTTTCTAAAACATTTTTCACCCATACAAGGTGTGTCCAATTTCAGCCAATAAGAACATGCTATTTCATGTACCAGTAAATGCATTCCGTTATGTAATCAATAACGAACTCAATGTCACAAGTTAAACAGTTGTCATGGTGATACCTGGACTCCTAAGAATGAAATTGATGCTTTGCCAACTTGACCCTTGCAAAAGGTTTCATTGAAAATATGTTCTTTTAATGATTTCATATCTTTTAGATTATTTTTGAGAATATTTGTGTGAAAAGAATTTAAGCCCAATAATCAATGCATTGTGGGTGGAACGACCATTCCTTTCAGGTGTTGTTTCCTAAAATTAACTCTCTATGCTACGCATCTTTGCAAATTTCGGAAAGCTACACCTTCAAGGAATGGTCATTCCACATTGTCCAGTGCTTAAATCCTTAAGTAATTCGACTTAATTTTCCATTTTCATTTACTTCGCATCTTCATGCATGATGGATACATTCAATTATCCATTACCATCAGGGCCAAATGAATTGTGTTCTTTTTGAGCTCACATGGTGGGCTATATCAATCCCTCACTTGTCTGACTGATCAGGATAATTGTAAATCATAAATTTTCATATGCCCTCATGTAAACTAAAGTCAAGGACATGCTACAAATAACATTTGTGTTGTGCGAACAATTTTATTTCAGACATATACCAATGCCCACAAACTATCCAGAACTTAAATCCCTATAACAAGCCCACTGGGTATATAAGGAATCCTGGGTATCCTGAAAGCTATGGTGTTGACTTAGAATGCCCAATGAGCTTTGATTTGTCATCTGGAACCAGAAAACATCCACCTTGGAGTAAGTTTTTATTTAGTGTACATGTAATTTGAATTTCCCACATTCATTTTCTTGATGTATGCAGTCACATTTAATGATATAATAGCTACATAATACATGTAGTTTTAAAAGTATGCTTATGAGGAACAAATGCAAGTCAACTTTATCCAAAACAGAGAACTAAATATTACAACATACAATAGCATGAGTATTTTATGTGTTTCAGCTATAACACGGAAGGACATGGTTTTTCATGTGGAGCTCTTTGATGTCCCAGAGTGTTGTGACTATTTAGAAATAGATGGCGTGAGATATACAAGTGATGGGGAAAATTCATTTGAAGTGGGTGAAACATACACATGTGAGTATATGACCGGATGCTCTTATTAATATGTACAGTGGCTAAGGGGGAAAAATTGGAAAGGTTTATTATCCCAACTAATGAAGTTCAGTAGAGATATATGATAGCGAAGCCCTCCTCCATCCATCTGTCAGTGTGATGTCAACAATGACATCGAAACCAACGAAACCAACGAAAAACTGCTTAATAGGCTTCGAGTTGATTTTGCCCTTAAAGACCATTTCTTTACTCATAATTTTACTGGAATAATTGACAACAAATGCCTCTGTGGCTCTACTGAAGACACAAAGCATTTCATTCTAACCTGCCCTCGCCATACCAGTGAACGTAATAAAATGATGACTGCACTGCGTGAACAAAATTTATTGTTTGATACTCAACTTATTTATAGTGAGACAGAATAGGTCAAATACTTAATTTATGAAAATGAACTCACTATTGATTCTCAGAAAATCCTGATAGATATCAGTGATGCAATTTGTACAGGCCTGTTATAAGTTTCCATCAAATTAATGTTATTCTCATTTGTATCTTGTGACAACCCCCCTCCCCTCCCTCCCAACCTCTCACATTACCAATAAACCATCTATGATTACTGTAATTAATCCTCTATTGTAATTTAAACTACCTAGAATGCCTATGGCGATTGGTAGTAGATATTTTGTGTATTTTTTGATTATGAAATAAATAATATGTTAAAAAAATGTCAACAATGTGAACAATATTTATGCACTCAGGCCACATATAGCATCCCCTAATATATGAGAACCAAGATCAATATTCATATATTCAGTCGGCAGTCATCCCCCTGATCTTTGTATGTATCATAATGTTCCTATTTAATAAGTTAATCTAAATAACGATGCTGATATTGACTTTTTCCAGTTCCTAATTTTGACAAGATAAATGACAAGGTGAAATTTGTGAGTGGACGTAATAGCAGCAATCTTACGAGACAGTTCTCTATTTATTATGAACTGATAGAGCCTGATACAGAATCACCACTTGTCAAGGGTAAGGAGCATAATAATATATAAAAAATTGTTAGAGAGACCTTCCAAGACAAGTAAATACAATAATGTAATTTTAATATGACCCTGTGATGATGAAGGGGTAGTAACCCATCATCATACTTTTTCCATGATGTTTTGACCTCAGCCAAATTTTCCTTACAAACAAGACTAAACATTTGCTTATTTTTTTGTACATCAATTAATTCTTATAAAGGGAAAACTGAATTCATCTGAGGTTAGTGTTCCCCATGTTATTTCCCAATACAGTGTATATCTATTTATATTATTCATGTTATATTTTATGTCCCCTCAAGTTGTTGGTTGTTATTTTTAGGATGTCAAATTGTGTACGCCCCTGTCTACTATTTGATTGTATTCATTATTGGATACATAACAGTATAATATTCTGTAGTAAAATTGTTTGTGCTTCAAGATTACTAATTACTAAAGAATGCATTTACTAATAAAGTGCTGTTTTATATTATATGCATTTTACAGATTTTCATGAATTTTCAGGACATATTGGTAAATATTTCCTTCTGGGGTTCCTCAAACAGCTGGATAGACAACTTTACCTGAACCATTTAGAGATCCACATCCTTACAGCCAAAGCCACAACTATAACAATAAGCTATACGCATCCCAGCAACAGTAGTAATATCACCAATACGTACCACGTTGCTGAAAATGAACAGCTTACTTTGAATTTACCTAAAGAACTGACAATGTTAGGTGGCATCGAGCAGAAGGTCATATCAGTAAAGAGTAGTGAGTTTGTCTCAGTGTTTACAAGTAGTTTTACGCAAGTGTCAACTGATGGCTACCTTGCGCTTCCTGTATCTACTGTAGGTGAACATTATATACTAGCAGCATATGGAACAGGTGGCATATTTGATCCCAGGCAGGATTTAAATGGCAACTCAACATTTGGTATCATTGCGACTGAAGATGGTACTATAGTGGAAATCATTGAGTGCCACAATGGAGTATATCATACAAACTCATACACTGTGAGCATAGACAAGTTTGAAAGCTATTCAGCAATAGCTGACGATGATATTACAGGCACTATTATAAGGTCAAATAAACCTGTGGCAGTGCTATCTGGGAATGACTGTGCAAATGTACCAAACACAAGACGACTTTGTAGTCATTTAGTCGAGATGCTACCTCCCGTGAACTCTTGGGGTGATGACTTTTACGCTATAAGCAGCAAACCAAGGAATGCTGGTGATATTTTGCGAATCATAGCACGTGGCAATACTAAAGTAGAACTGTCCCCTGGTGGACTTAGTAAAGATATTACTCTTGGGGAATACTGGGAGGTTGTATTGGACCATGACGTGTTCTATCATGTCACATGCGCAATGTCATGTTTAGTTATGCAATACTGTCAGTCGCAAACTGCAGATAGCCGTTCCATGGGACCATTTATGACTATTGTCCCAGCCGTCTCACAATACTCCAAAGATTATAGAAGTCCTATTTTGAATAGTTATAATGGTGATCCTTACACAAATTATGCCCATGTATATGTGCAGAAGGAATATACATCTCAATACTTTACTGATGCTTTTAGAACTCCTGAAAAAAGTTGGAGCACTGGGGTGGATTTTGACTATAGTGCAGCAAGAATAGATTTGACAGATGCAATATTGGCTCATGAATTTTATAACCTAAATGGAGTAACTAGGTTTGGTACTGTCCTCTACGGTTCAAGGTCATCTTATGATACGTATGCATTCCCAGCAGGACTGGAACTTGAAGCACCATCTGGAGGTTGCCAGGGTTGGGTATGCCTTAATGATGGTTTATGTGTAATAACAGCAGATGTACCTAAATGCCAGTGTGTTAATGGCTATGAAGGACCATTTTGTGAGACAACAATGACAACCACAACATCTACTACTACAACTACACCTACAACTAGTACTACTACCATGACTACTGTAGCTATGACTACAATACCAAAAACAACAAAAGTTACTGATAAACAAGAACAAACAACAACTGCAATAACAACTAAAATTACAAGATCACCCACAGACAGACCAACAAAAGTCACAATAAGCACAACACCTTTGACAAGTACTAGCATAGATGAGATTGTGTCAGGCCAACAGTCTGGCCCATCAGCTGGCGTTCTTGGTGCATCAATAGGTATCCCGTTACTGCTTATTGCTTTAGCAGTCATTGCCTTTATATTATACAAAAGAGGTGTGTTTAAAAGATCATCATCAAGGCGGAGACAGGAACAGGGATACATCCTGGATGACATTAGTAAATATTAAACAAAAGGTAGATACCATTAAAAAGCCTCAATTGAAATAAAATAGAATGTATCAATATAGTGATCAGAATTGCAACAAAGACTAAAGAATGTAAAATGTTGGAAGTCATCTTTTCCCATCTGTTTCCTATACAATTCTAATTTTTTCCACAAAAAACAGGGTTAAGATATCTAATCAAGTTTGGAAGATTGAAAATTTAAGATGCACAAATGCCCAAGTCCACTTGAATCGAAGGATATGAATGATAACCTTTAAGTCCTGACTTTCATGAGTCTTTGTTGCACAAATCTCATGACATATTGGTATTATCAATTCATATAAATGTGTCAAATAGGATAGTCCTCGTGATCTATCATATTCCCAGAGGCTCAAGTTAACAGGCTTTTAAACAGAAATGTACAAAGCTTAAAGTATTATGAATGTCAACTACCTTGTGACCAAGATCACATTCCTGTATAGCGTATAACAATGATTTGGCTCTGCATAGCAATGTTTAAATATATATTATATTACTAGTTATCTGGTTATACAAATGATATATAAAATGAAGATATTATTTCACATGTATTTTCTCTTGCTCATTAATACCTGAGACCATCATTGTTAGTCTCAGTTAATACACACAATTTCTTGAAGGCAGGATTTTAATAAATATAGAATTTATAAATGAATTTATATTAATTATAGCACTCTTGTGATATCTAGTTTTAATGTCATGTGCCTAGATAGTCTTTTAGGAAAAATAATAGTGTGAATGGATAAACTGACAGAGCAGCAATTGAAATAATGAAATTGTTGAGGATCATCAATTTTTCTGAATCTAAAAGTAACCATTCATCTGTTGGAAAGTATAGAATGCGTTTCATATTAAAAACTGTGTTTTGATTGGCTGGAATGTGATAAATCATGCCTAGCTACTATTATATGTGAAAATATTGTTATTACTTTGATTGTATTTTTTATGTCACCACCACCACAAGTGGTGATATATTGATATAGTCTCCAACTTTTTTTTGTGTGGATGGTTTTCGGTGTCTATAACAAATGGTATCTGTAACAAATTTTGGCGTATTTAACAGGTGGTGACATTTTGCATGTTAATGCGCATTGTCTACACCATATAATGACATTCTGTATTGATTAATCAAAATTATTAGTTCATGTAATTAATTCATGGAGTAACCATAATGAGACTGCTGAGTTTTCTAGATATGTATATATTTTTACTTCCATATATGTATTTATAAATGTTTTATTCTATAAACTCTTTATGTACTTCTGCAGTATAGATTATATGAAATCCAAGTAATTGTTATAATATGTGATTACATGTCTTAAAATGTTGTATTTGTTCGAATAATGACTTCTGATAATAATATCACTGGGGCCAAACATGTGACAGAGATACAAGGTCATCACCATAACAACATATATTATGTTATGTTAGTTTTCTGCTAATCTGTCTTTCAAGTGACACTGACCTTAGGTACAAATTACATGTATAAAGGCAATTTATTAAGAAATGACTTTGTTACAGAGAACACCTTTGATATTTTTCACATGTAATGTGACACTTTTTATGATATTCAGATTACCATGTGTGTACCTCAAGGCTCAATTCTTGATCTGATTATATTTAAATTCATACTCATACCAAACAAATTCTAATTAATGGACCTTAATACTTTTCAACACCAGCCATTGTTCAGAGAAAGTATCATTGTATATTATAGTAGAATTAAATGCAACAACAGTATTATTTTTAAGACAATTTATTATTACAACTACAATAGAAAATAAATTACAAAATTTGATATACATGTAATGCTTTTCCTTGTTCCTTGTTTAATAGTTCAAATAACAAGTTTAGCAAAATCATCAGTACAGTCAATAAGTTGAACAAAAAGTGTAGCTTGACTATAAGCCATCATTTTCCACATTAACATCAATACACCAATATAAGACTTTGTCATACTGTTGTACAGTATATTCTTTATTAAGTTATATGGAATGCTGCTATATAAATATGAGGTGAATACCTGTGCATTTTTCATGAGTGATATTCCATGAAGCCCAAAATATTTAAAGATTCAAGTTAATAACTGAAAATAATATTGTGAACGAAAAAGTCTATATCATGAGGTACCATGATTCAACATCAATATAAAGATGGAGTAGGCAAAAAAGTAAATGTGATAATAATTCAGTATAACAGACTATATCAGACCCGAAATATCAGAGTCATGTATCACATGTTCCAATTGGCACAGGTATTGCATATTTTCCTCAATTACAAATAGATAAATATATTTCAGCTGTATACAATGATTTCAGAATATAAATCAATTTTCAAATGGAAATGCTTCCACAGAATAATATAATATAATATCAAATTGTGTATATTCCGTTGAAATCTTACTATCGTATGTCTCTATTACAATTTCAATACTGTAACTGGGGTTAATTTGCCTGTGTTTTACTTTGGCAAAGATGTTTTACATTAAGATAAATCATGAGAATTTGTTCTTTTCATACCTTGGTCACACATGAGGCTTCGTTGTGTGAAACAATTTAGGAAATATCTACATTGTGAATTGTCAGATAAAAACCAACAAAGTAATATACTCATTGCCTCAAAGGTTGGGAATAGGAATTTCACCAAATCAAATTGCTTCAAACATGTGAAATTAACCTATAGTTACAGTCTGAATCCACCCCATATCACTACCAATCCATTGACAGCATATGCTCAAATAATTAGTTTTAGCATGGGTTAGATCATTTATTTCAATGTACCAGAGACCAGAGTACATTCTAATTTTAAAGCTTATAAACTTGAATAATCAATATTATATATAGTGTATACAGTGGAAAAATATCTGCAAGTGTAAATGTATATAAATATTGAGTTAAATGAAAATGTTTCTCATGATATTCAAATTAACATGTACGTATACCCTGTTTTCATGCTCTTGGAGTCTTGCATCAAGCCCCTCTGCACCCTCCCACCCCTCCTTCATTCTCTAACTTCATTTAGAGAAGTAATTACTAACCTCTGAGATATAGGATATAACTGAGTTATAGAGAGAGGGTTAATGTGATAGCACAAGTGCTTGATGCAGGTGAATGTTAAAAATGAATCTTTGATTTCAAGACACACATAAAAAGAGGCGACTTCATCTACATATTAAGGTATATAAGAAGCATAAATATTATAATAAAAATAGATGTACTTTGCTAAATGCCTGACTATCTGACCAGGGCAGAGTAAAAAATGTACATAAACTGATAGACTGTGCACATTACATAATTAAAGACATACTGTAGATGCACATACATGTGCACATTGTATAAAAACTTAAACCATGGTTGGAGCAATATCAGGTAGCAAGTGATAAATTACATATTCCACACAGGGATGATATTAGGGATGATATTAAAATTAGCGGAATGATATCTTGATGATGAAATCTTTTGAAACTTCGTTTCATTCTTTTTACATTCACTTCATCTATTTAATTACTAATTTCCAAAGCACATTTTTATGTTTTGACAGTCATAATATGAAATACATGTAACCTTAATATTTCCAAATTTATTTTGATTGTTTTCTCATCAAACAGATGGCTTTTGATGTACATATTGCTCTTGACCATGTTATAAGGTCGTTATTCACCTGTCGTGATGATATGGGGAATATCCCTCGGATGATATAGATATTGATATCATCCTTGGGATGTTCTCCATATCAAATCCCTCCTGGTGAATAACTTCTTTATACAATATGTACATAGCTTATGCACATTGTGTAAAGACACAATATGTACACTGTTATGGTCAGTCAGTTAAAAGCTACCAAACACAATATAACATCACAATGTAGAATATTTACATATTTGGATTATTAAATGTTAAAACAATGGATATTTCCAATTGATATTTCTCTCATGATAACCAATATGACCAGAACTGGTATATCTCATACATGTACATTTTTTGCAAAAAATGCATGTGTGTTTCCTATAAAGATGACTTTGTGGTAGATAACATCTAAAAATATTTTTCATGTCTGGGGAGCAAGTTAGACGTATTTGAGCCAGTTCATATATCATATATCTATCCACTCACAGCAATAATATAATTTTTTATGCAATGTCTCGTCAGGAGGAAAAATCTAAAACTATTCGATGCAAGCATAAACTTTGATAAAATAGACAGTGACTGGTAGAGTTGTCACACCGACAATTTCGGGTCGGATCAGAACACTCAGGAATATCGTGAATCATCGTAAAATGCTTTATATTCCCAGCAATAATTTCAAACTTCTCGCTGGCATATTTCTCCTATACATATAAATTACGAACAGAAAATGATTTACAGTTCTCTAACGATTTTTCCTTTATCAAAGTTTAATATGCAGTAATGCAGGCTTAAACAGTCTTATAATGTGCCATGTATTCGCCCTGTCGTTTCAGTCCTAAATTCATTTTTATGCTTTCTTCTGACCTGACCCAACATTACCCGACCCGCAAACTTTTTTGTGGCCCGACCCGACCTGAAGAATATCTGAACCGTGACACCTCTAGTGACTGGACATGACTGTGACAGCAATGATGATAAATAATCTAACTTATTTGAAAATTGCATCACTTTCAGTTCAACATTACAAAGTATGAGATATATCATTTGTGAACTGATTTACTGTTTATCCCTCAGAAAATATATACATCTCCCTATGGTGAGATATAAAACCTATATCCAAAACCTCTCTGTACATAACCCTTTTACATACTATGAGCAAACATTACATTGGCTTCCAGGGTTTCAACTCGATATTATGCAATACATATGGAGTCATGTTGTGATTACAAAATTCAAATTAGCAACAGCCACCATTTTTTCACTACAAAATTTGAATCGCAAGTTTTGGTCTTATTTCCAAACAAAAAATTCAAAACATGACAAGTGTTTATGAATATATGGCTGAGTTAACGACATTGACATTGTTGTCATTGATATCGCTAGAATATCCGTGCATTTCATTTGTGCTTCCTTTGCCATAGAAATCAGCACAAACAAATGAACAAATTACTTTGAGATTAGATTATTGAGTTAGAACCCTGGGATCCAATCCTCTTTGGTTCTCTCTTGTTGCTTTAAGCTATGGCACTGTTCTTTGGTCTTTGGGTTTAAAGGAGAAAATATGAGAGGCCATTACATTGTATCTCAATTTCACAAATGTATTTTAGAGACAAGAAACAAGTTAAACCATGAAGTTAGTAAATCATACTTAACTTAAAGCTGGAAGATTTCTTGTATACATATACATTACGAACAGAAAATGATTCACAGTTCTCTAACAATTTAATGCCAAGTTTCTATCATTTTTCCTTTATCAAAGTTTCAAAATTTCCAAACAAAACATTCAAAACATGACAAGTGTTTATGAATATATAACTGAGTTAAAGGCATTGACATTGTTGTCATTGATATCGCTAGAATATCCGTGCATTTCATTTGTGCTTCCTTTGCCATAGAAATCAGCACAAACAAATGAACAAATTACTTGGAGATAAGATTATTGAGTTAGAACCCTGGGAGCCAACCCTCTTTGGTTCTCTCTTGTTGCTTTAAGCTATGGCACTGTTCTTTGGTCTTTGGGTTTAAAGGAGAAAATATGAGAGGCCATTACATTGTATCTCAATTTCACCAATGTATTTTAGAGACAAGAAACAAGTTAAATCATGAAGTTAGTAAATCAATTATCATTATAGCTGTGAATAATATTCCTCATTCCTTTCATATTATCCCCTTTAATATCAATATCATTAAATGAATATATATTTCATCATACTGCACTGGATAATAAGTACATGGCCACTTGCATGCCTTACAACACTGTTTAACATTTTTCAGTATTACATTTCACATATATAGAGTGAAATACATGAATATATATAATGTAAACCTACAGTATCAAGAGATACATTCTATGCAACTTTGCCATTCATTCTACTAAATGTAGCAGGTTGATTGTCATCAAATTCAATTGAGTCTGTGTACTTTGTGTTCAAAGCATTATCGGATACTGGATTCTCCAATCCATATAAATTTAATTGGGATGGATTTTCTGGTAAATCATAGCTGTTGGATTTCTTATTTCCTTCACCTTTACAGCATTGTAAGGGAGAAGGAATCTGGCCTATATTTCCCATAGGACCAATGATTCGACAAAGGGACTGGAAGAAGAAGGTTGAAAAAAGCCAGCTATATGCCATGACTAACATCAGAAATGTGCTCAAACGTTTATATGGTTGAATATGGGCTGGAATAAGAACAGCCCCAGCTAGAAATGTAGTTAATGCAGCCATGGACACTGCGGGCCCTACATGACTAAATGACTCTGATACTCTCTTTCTTCGTGAAATTTCCTTTGATAACCTATAAGCTACACCATAATGTATTGCAAAATCAATGGATAATCCGACAGCAAGGGATATTGTTACTGACTCTAGAATATTCAATTCCCACCCAAGCAGAACCAGTGTGCCGACAGTGCTAGCTATAGTTAACGTTATAGTCACAATAGCATATAAAGTAATGAAAATATTGAGAGAAGTGAAGAGCATCACAACAAAAGCCAATCCAAGTGATAATCCTATTGAGTAGTATGTACCACTAGATAAAGCCCTTTGGAGGTCGTAGAATTGAAAATCGTATCTTGAACCAAAGAAAAAATTATTCACACCGGAGGGTGCACTTTTCAATCCTTCATTAATGAAGGTTTCTATCTCTTTGTAAATAAAATCCATGTGTTCAAAGGATGCTGAATACTCTTCCCTAGTGGTGAATCTAAGAGTAAATGCCTTTAAATTGGCTTCAGGTGTTCTATCCCATCTCGATCGTCCATTGAATCCTAAAAGCTGACCAAGAGATGTAAGTTCTCGAAAACATTTTCGAAACATGTTTGGTTCCATTGGAAAAGTAGTATTACAGCAAGAGCGTATATTGTGCACATGATCTGTGTGCCTTATTTGAAAGCATCTGCCTTCTATAATATCACGAAACTGTTCAAAACTACACATCAAATTCTCATATGTATCTGATTTAACAAATGATTGATTCCTTAAAGATACACAGAAATCTAGCATCCACAACTGGGCTGCTTTACTGCTCATGTCAAAACTTGAATCAAATTCCAAGTACCCAGTATCATCAGGATCATACCACTTCCCATTATCAACATTTTTGAGACCCCATGCAATCTCTATTGAAATATAATGTGTATCTTCAGCCGCTGTCACATTGAATTTTGTGACCTGATTTTTGATGAAGTTTTCTATGGGGTGTGAAGTTGGAAACATCTGAAAGTTTCTTGAAGATGGCAGTTTCAGCCGTGGATTAACAAATGTCAAATAAGCACCACCTGTCCCTACACCCAGGAATATCAAGATCCAAATGAACCAAAGCTTGTTAATGAGAAATGGCAAAGCTTTATCAAACAATCCGCTGGAAATTTTATTCAAGCAAACACCAACAGTCTCCCAGCAGACACAACCGCAGCAGGTCAGTGTGCTACAACACCTTTTATAGATGATCTCTACAAGGGCTATAACAGCAGGCACAAATGTGATCATCAAAATAAAATTCACCAAAATGGCTGTACCTGAGAAAATTCCAAACAGACGTATAGCAGTGATCCCACTGACTGTGTTAGCAAAGAACGCTGATGCAGTCGTCAAGCTAGTAACGAAGATTGATAATGCAGCATACCTCATTGATAAGTTAATTTTCTTCTCAAGAGTCATTTCTGGATTTCCTCTATCTACCCTGTCCCATGTATCATAGAAAATAAAGACATCATCAGCACCAATGCCTATGAGCAGTAGGAGAGCAAGGATATTCATAAATGGGAAATATTCCAGCCTATATACTACATGGTATAGGAAGTATGCAATGATAAATGAAAATGCAACTGTAAGGATTGACACTATCGTTATGACAACTGACCTCAAATAAACACACATGACGAATAATATTACTGCCATGCCGAATCCGAAAAACATCATATCACTGATTAGATAATATGAAAATAGATCAAAGTAAAATTGCATGCCAAAGTTAATTCCAGTAATTTTGACAACTCCATTTTGAAGATCTTTGCCGGCTAATTCATTCAAATAATACCTTTGCAATACACCAGAACTAGGGTAACTTGTGAATGATAGCAAAGTGTATTTTAAAAATGTATTATTTGGGGATGATGTGCTTAAGAAATCTTTATCTACAAGAAATTGTAGCCCAAGTATAGCGTCTCTGTAATTTAAGCAATCGCTAGGTATCTTCAAACACTCAATGAAATCACCCTCGAGGCATTTATCAATCAATCCATCGTAATATAATCTCACGCAAGTCTCTACTGTAATAAGTTCACGTGACATTTGATCATCTGTGATATTCTTACAAGGAGTCTTTAAAACCACAGACATGTAGCTTGCTATGGAATGCATACGGCAGTCACTTGATACAAAATCATAGTTCTTAGGCAGTACCTTGTCTTCTAAGTCACAGATCCCATGGAGGGCCTTTGCTGAGAACAGGTTCTCACCATTGGTAGTTTCAAACACAAACTGAGGATAATATGGGGCTGAAATTATAAAATAGTAGCATAATAAACAAACATATGGATCTTACAAAAGCCCATTTAAATGACCTTGGTCAATGTGTTTGATTTTTTGCCCTTTAAGGTTCTAAGTAGTCTATTTAATCTTAATTTAAGAGTAACGCCAAGGCTTAGCAAATCCCATCAATTGAGTGTCAGATGATACTGCAAGAAATCATTTCTCAAAATAGCCATCATCGTTGAAATGTGATAAGACATTTAATAATGGTTAAGTGAGACATGTAACTCTCTACAAATGACAATTGTATTTATTGGTGTTTGGAAATACATGTGTGTTTTAGCTGCACATTGTAATAAAGAATGTCTATTGACTTACATAATGGAGATACACAAGGTTGACTCCCATTTGCTGGTAGTAGCGCTCCGCTTTGCCTTTTACGTCTGTCAACCATGAGGTTCCAGTCTGAGGGTAGGACTGCCATACTCTGTCTTTTAACTCTGTCCATCATTGGGCCATACTCCTCAATACCTTTGAAAAGACTTCTTCCTTGGGGCAGTGGTCCACTTTCACGTTTCCGTCGACCAAAGATTGATCCACCATTTGTAGGTTTGGTATCCTAAAAAAATTGAGTTCTAGATTCATTCAATAATCGATTGCAGTGATGTCACAAGATTTTTTTCTCAAGTTTTCAACAGGTGCTCAATACCTATTAAACGTGTTTTGGTAAAATATCTCAGTATTTAACCATTTTGGCATAAAGAACACAGATTTTCAACAGGTTTCAGCAACTGGTTGCCCTAATGCTGGAGTGATCACTGGATGGTGTTATAGAGTGTTATAAGCAAACAAGTCTTTTTACAAAGATTACAAGGATGCATTAAGTTTTGACTTTGACAGTATGTGATTTATTTAGTTCAATCATAGCATAAAATATGTTATTTCATTGTACATGCATTAATTGAACAAACATTTCTGTATTAGGTTATCTTTAAAATCTCCAACCTGTTCTTCCTGTATTGGAGGTGTGAAGGACAAATCAGCACCCCTCAGGTTCTGCAGAGCTAAAGCACTCCCCTTTATTTCTGAACCACGCACTTGAAACCCCTAAAATAATATTACAAACGTCGTACTAAGAGCCCCAAACTGTCCCAAGGCTCTAGAAAGTGTATTCAGATTCAGATATACATTTCATATTGTTAGTACCTCAGTGTAAATACTCGTATCTGATTAGTCAATTAGCGGTCAACATTTTTGCCTGTATCCCACCTGTGCATCATGGGATATCATATTATTGACCGCGTATGTTACTGTACTACACTTGTGAATTGTGGGGAATATGACGTCATAATGTTTACAGAAAAAACATGGTAGACGGACATTTTGTAAACGTTAATGAAAGTGAAATTTTTGACTTTCCTAGACGACAAGTATTGCAAAAATACAGATAGAAACGTAAAATTAACATTAATTTACTAGTGAGTACGCAGTGATGTACCGAAAACAGAGAGATTAGCTACACCACTGTATTCAGATTTTCGTAAAAAATCATTGCTGTCGTAGTTCGGAGAAAAGATTGTGAAATGAAGCCATGATTGATGATTGTCGTCTATATGTGTATTATTAGTTTCTTCTGACTAACAAAACAATTGTAGACCTCTCCATTCGGTCAACCGTCAAAATCATATACCGCGACTGTAAACCTTGAAACTGCTGTTGACCTCGACCTTCGGTCTCTGTCAACAGTAGTTTCTCGGTTTACAGTCTCGGTATACAATTTTGCCGGTTGACCTCTGGAGAGGTCAACAATTGTATACTGTAACAATGTGTGTTATAATTTTCATTATTGTTCATTAAGATGAACAGTCTCCACCAATAACTTGCAGTGGAAATTTCTAGTGCAATTCTAGCATGATTCATGAAACATTTTTATTTAGGATAAATCTTTGTCTGTTGAATTACATGTAGCAGGTAGATAGACCTTAACATGTACGATATACCTTATTTGCAAAAATTTGACTTTATGATTTGATAATGTGGACAAAGTAAAAAATGCATGAATAGTGGTCTCCCTAGTGTATTGTTTTGTTTTATCCCTTTTATCCCAAAAAAATAGGACCCACGGTCCTGTGCTCACACAGTTTGGAACCATCAGAGGAATGTACATCCTGACTTTCAAACAAGAATATTGATTTGGATTTGTAGTCTCGAACTTGGATAGCACAGTTGTGTGACCTAGTTTGATGACCTTTGACCTTGAAAATTTTACTTATTCAGAGCTCAGTAAGGTGTTTTGTGATTAAGCTGACCAAAATTTACATCCAAAAATCAATTTGAAAAATCAACTTTTTTTACCTTTCGAAGGTCACTGAAGGTCAAGTAAAGGTCAAATCCTATGTCAGATTTGAACTCCTGGCAACTTGTAGATGATTTCCCCAAAAATTGGGTCAAATAGAAGCAATTTGAAAAATAACTTATTTTTACTGTTTTTGACGTCAAATATCTCAAAAACTGTAAAAACTTGATGCTATATATTGAGCAATATGTAGGGAATGCTTAAATCTAGTAATGATGTAATTCATTGCAAGAAATGATCAAGTATAAGGCAAACTTTGAGAAACTTGTCAATCACAAAACCTGCCATTGACTTCATACATGAGAAAGTTTCCTGAAAATGACAGAGTCCTACTTTTTGTCAAATTTTATAGAGTAAACACCAAAAACTGTAATTCAAAGAGCTTTGAAATCTTCAGAGGACATAGGTTGCATATACAGCAACTACAACAAGTTATTTGAAAGTCCTACTTCAACAAAGTGTCTAGTATTTACAGAAAATTTGACTTTTTGACGTCAAAATAAGCAATTTCTCAGAAACCGGGCGAACTTGGGAAATGGCGATGATAGGTCAAATAGGCATAATGGATATGCATAAAATGAAAGTGCATGTGACTCAATCTGAATAGCAGTTTTAATTTGTGTGGCCAATGTTGACGGACGGACCAACGGACGGACCAATGGACGGATGGATGCCTGGTCGATCCCATAGGCTCACTGTGTGAGCCATAAATGAGTGACTGAGATAACAAGAATGCAAAGTGGTGAACATTTACTGTAAAAGGACTTATCTCAACATATGTATGCAGATACATGTACATGTTTTGACCACTATTCATGTTTTCATCACCTTTAGACTTACAAAACCTGGTCACTGTACTTTCACATTTGCATCACAAAAATCTATAAATATTATTTTGTTACAGTAGATTTTTGCAATGTTATTATGAAATAAAACACATTATGATACCCTTACACCACAGTTATTACATAAATATTTTTCAGTGATCCCTTACAGTGTTCTTCACCCAGTCACTTTTATATTCCTACCTTTGTTGGGTTTGTGAAGTCTGGGAGAGGATATTGTGTGAACATGATGCCTGCACAGACAGCAGCTATCACAACAATAGCTATGATTATGACCCATGGACATTTTGCAACAAATCTTGAATAACTGCAAGAGGAACAAAGCATTAATATGACAATATCTCACCACCTGCAAATGGTTATGAAAGTGTAACATTTGTTACAGACAATAATGCAGATCACAAAAGATGATATAAAACAATGTTGTGGTCTATCACATTCTAACATATTCAAGTTTTAATCTAATACCTTATTTCATAGATTATTTTTATGTATTTTAATACATGCATTAAAAAGTTATTAGGCTACATGTCTCTGATATTTACCTGCACTTGGATCTACAGCCCATTCTGTTTGTCAATTGATGGAGTCCTTATACAATGTATGGCCCATTCACAAATCCCTTCTACACTTTAATCACTTTCAGCATCATTACTATACTCAGCCATTGTATTTTGTACACTGAGAATGAGTGTCTTCGTTTCTGATGATCAGATGTTTGTCAGTCAAAGATTTGTCATTTGTGAATGCTCTCCCTGTAAAGACATGAGAATGAAATAACATTAATCATAATTATGGTATGAGGGAAAATGTACCATTTCATTTTTTTGTTTCTTGATAAAAGTACTTGCAACAACAACAACAACAACAACAACAACAACAACAACAACAACAACAATTTGCGACACCAAAGCACATGTATCTTACATATTAGTACTCTAGATAACTATGGACCAGTTTGTTTTCGCCATGCAATAGATCTGTTATTCAGGTCACTGAAATCAATTGTTGACTTGATTTCTACAAATATAAGTATTAATTCAATTTTGATGTTTGGGTAATACAAACCAATAGAGTAATTTTGTTTATTTTTGATAGTTTAGCCAATCAAAGTGGCAGCAAAGCAAAGTGAGAGTAAAAATGTTAGAAGCGGCATTCATGAAAATCATCATAATATTCCGTTATTATCTTTTTAATATATTTATATTTGAGATATCCATTCAAACAGAGACATGTAGATTGTGTTTTTACAATGTAAGTATTCAAATCAAGTTTAAGATTTATGATGAGTCTTCAAATTCATTAGACTTGAAGGCCATGGACCACATGAGACACCCAGTACTAGAAAATGCTGCTCTAGCTCTGATATGTTGTAAGCTCAAACATCAGAGTTTTTCTATATTACTCTAAGTATGTATGTTCATATAACCATGGGGTTGAAAGTCCAGATATAACACAGAATAAAAAGGTTATTGGTATGTCCAAGGATCCACAAAGTGATATTCCCAGGGGATACTCATCATTAACAAATACAATATACATGAAAGCACTAAATGAAAATAAATAAATAAACATTGGTGGATCATTGGACTACACCATTCCATTTAGTCCATGTACAGTAGGTACATGTAATTGTCGGGCGAATGACTGCACACACTGAGTGTCCTACAGTTACCTACATGGACAACATTGCCTCCCTGTACTCTACCCTGAATAAAGACTCTAACCTAAAACATTTTCGCACATGCTATCTATTGCAAGACTTACGCCTGCCACAACCGTTGCCATGTAAATCAGTGTTTTTAAATAGCGCAAGGATCCTGCCATGACCGTGGTAGTGTTACCGTGTAAGCCTAGTATGACTGTGACAGGCTGGTATAACTGTGACAATGCTGTATTATATTGCAAGGCCTGTCATGACCCTGGAAGTGTTATCGTGGAAGCCTGGCGCGACCGTATCGTGGTTTATAAGCGAATGTGAATATTAATGTATAGTAGTAATTTTGATTTTGACATGATTAAGGTAGTTAAACACCATGATCATAGTATTAAACTGTTTAATTGTAATGACGATCACTTAAAATTGTTAAGGATATTCCAGGCATTAATGTCATACATATTTACTAGTCATTGCAATACATTATAATGGTCATAGTAGGACTAAGCCTAAATTTCAACATTACCACCCTCATACCTGGCCTTGCAATACTATATGATATTGTCACAGTCATACCAGGCTTTGCGATCCCATAATACATTGTCACGGTCATGCCAGGTTTTGAAATACACATTGTCACAGTCACTTATAACAATCATAAATTTCTACATTACCACTCTCATACCCGAACTTGGAATACTATATCACATTGCCACAGCGGTCATACCAAGCCTTGCAATACTATATTACATTGTCACGGCCATGCCAGGCCTTGCAGTACTATATTGCATTGCCACGGTCATGCCAGGCTTTGCAATAGACATTGTCACGGTTATAGCAGTCCTAATCGTAAATTTCTACATTACCACTCTCATACCTGAACTTGCACTATATAACATTGTCACGGTCATGCCAGGCCTTGCAGTACTATATTACATTGTCACGGTCATGCTTGCAGAACTATATTACATTGTCACGGTCATGGCAGGCATTGCAATATAATACAGCATTGTCGCGGTTATACCAGGCTTTCACGATAACATTACCACGGTCATGGCAGGATCCTTGCGCTACTTAAAAACACTGAATAACATGGTGACGGTTACGCCAGGCGTTAGTCTTGCAACAGATAGGGTCTCCATTTTCGTTCCTTTAAATGCATTTTAAATTAAGAATAAAAGAACACTGTGTATTTTCATATCCATGCAATCAATCAAAACCTCACCTTTTAGACTTGACTACACATGTAGTAGATCATACAAACATAGCTAGGCCTACATGTAATTTCTCTCTCATTAATTACTAGTCTAGTCTATGAGCCCTATGACACCTTTCTGAACACAGCTGGCTCAAAAGACTTCTGTCAGCTCGGAAGCCTAGAGTAAATGAAACCTGTACATTCTTTGAAAAAACTATTGTTATATATGACATACAATAAGAAAAAATCACGATCACTCAGAAATGAGTCAGTTCGTTTGAACAGGCAAAATTTGTTTGAATAAGAAAGGGTCACTGAGGGAGTTTCGTGATTATCACCCACCACAACAAATATTGAAATAAACTACATTTGTCATTCCTATTTTTATTGATATTTCTACACTTTCCCGGTAAATTGAAACGTTTTCCACCAAAATGAATCTTTAGAGGTTTTGATTACATAGATTTTTTTACATGATTGACTCTAAATTGACTAAATTCAAATAATCTTACCTCTACATTTTATTTTAACATTTTTCGAGACCCTATCTGTTGCAAGACTAACGCCTGGCGTAACCGTCACCATGTTATTCAGTGTTTTTTAAGTAGCGCAAGGATCCTGCCATGACCGTGGTAATGTTATCGTGAAAGCCTGGTATAACCGCGACAATGCTGTATTATATTGCAATGCCTGCCATGACCGTGACAATGTTATATAGTTCTGCAAGGCTTGGTATGACCGTAACAATGTAATATAGTACTGCAAGGCCTGGCATGACCGTGACAATGTAATATAGTATTGCAAGTTCAGGTATGAGAGTGGTAATGTAGAAATTTACGATTAGGACTGCTATAACCGTGACAATGTGTATTGCAAAGCCTGGCATGACCATGGCAATGTAATATAGTATTGCAAGGCTTGGTATGACCGCCATGGCAATGTGATATAGTATTCCAAGTTCGGGTATGAGAGTGGTAATGTATAAATTTATTATTGCTATAATTGACCGTGACAATGTGTATTTGAAAACCTGGCATGACCATGACAATGTATTATGGGATCGCAAAGCCTGGTATGACCGTGACAATGTAATATAGTATTGCAAGGCCAGGTATGAGGGTGGTAATGTAGAGATTTAGGCTTAGGTCTACTATGACCGTTATAATGTATCGCAATGACTAGTAAATATGTATGACATTAATGCCAGGAATATCCTTAACAATTTTAAGTGATCCTCATTACAATTAAACAGTTTAATACTATGATCATGGTGTTTAACTACCTTAATCATGTCAAAATCAAAATTACTACTATACATTAATATTCACATTCGCTTATAAACCACAATAAAGGCTACGGTCGCGCCAGGCTTCCACGATAACACTTCCAGGGTCATGACAGGCCTTGCAAGAGAATACAGCATTGTCACGGTTATACCAGCCTGTCACGGTTATACCAGGCTTACACGATAACACTACCACGGTCATGGCAGGATCCTTGCGCTACTTAAAAAACACTGATTAACATGGTGACGGTTGTGGCAGGCGTAAGTCTTGCAATAGATAGCATGTGCATTTTTCCTTTCTTCAAACAGTTTCGTTCAGTGCAATCTACAGTTTACTCTAAACGAAACAAAAGTATTACATTTTGATAGTTCCCGGGAATCAGTAATGATGGCATTATTTTTCATTTTCAGAAATTATTGGCTTCAGCAGCTCAGCTGAGACAATTGCTCATTTGGAAGTTCTAAAACTGATCAAGGCTGAGAAGATTACTACATTAGTCTAGTAATTTGGAATACTGTAGATACACTCAAATATTGGCTGCCATTGAATTTGGTGGATTCAGGACTGACGTTTAATTTTAGTCTTGTTTATGTTAGGCAGGTATTTACTAAGATATTTTCTATGTTCTATTTCAGAATAATGTAGAATTGATGACATGTTGACAGGAAAAGGGGCCCCAGAAGTTTAATTTCTGAAGTGCATTGGACATTTCCAAACTGAAATGTGACGGATTTTTAATTTGGTGGATTTTCTGAATCCGCCAATCTGTCAAATTAAAAGGTGAGCCAAATTAAAGCAGATATGAAATGGTATTTTTAACCTGAAGGAATCAGTATAATTTTTTGATAAATGTATTTGGACATGTTTTCTCATCAGTAGTAACAATCGTTCCCCCCCCCCCATAACCATTGTACATATGACCATGATGATAGCGAAAGAAAAAAGCCTTAAAATGCTTTTTATTTGAAGCTTCTAGCTCAATTTTGAAGGAAGTTACATACAATTTTGTGAATTCAAAACAGTTTTCTAATGATCTAATTATGTTATATATTCGGGGTACCCGGTTTTTTCGACCAAGTTTGAACCCAGCATGGAGGATTTACTACCTGGTGCCCGGTTTTTTCTACAAACCCCATGCTCCACACTCCACAGAGAACTATTTACATATGATTTGAATCGTTTATAGTATTTTTTAAAAAATAACTTAAAGAGATTTTTAAGACAATTTATATTAACTTTCATGTTGGTGGTACAATGAAGGGGAGTCATTAAGTGAAATCTGCACTTCTAGTACATTATTGTGTGAACAATACAAGGAATAACACTGGATTTTGTTTATTCTTTATAAGTTTATTCTGAAGTAACATATAGGCCTACTTCAATAATTTATTCATGAATCAATATATATTATATTTATATATATGCATACATGTATACAATACAGTACTTCTACAAAATGTTCTAAAAATAATCACAAATAAATGATAAAACTAGTATAGTTTGTGAATGCTTTTTGACACATAAAGTAACAGTTATTTAATAGAAAGTTAGGCCTAGGCCATTGACAGATTGAAGGATCTAAGCACAAGAATATGTCATGGATATATTTATGAGAAATAATGCATTGAGTTCAATTTAAGAGGAGAGTGTTTATAATTTAGATAGCACACAATTACATTATTTCACTGAAGAGGTTCATTGACTAATTCTCAAACTGATGATTGTGACAGATTGTCCCTACACTACCAGAAAAAACTTACACCATTGACATTTTGGCAGCCTTCAGAACTATTTATCAACTTCCAGTTCTTGAGCATGGGCTCCCAATGTGCTCCAGTAACTGTACTATAGATTGGAATAATGTAACAGTGCTAGACAATGCCAGTAACAGACGGGATACATGGATTAAGCAAGCAGTCTATATCAAAGAAACTGAAAACATGAATTGGACCAAGGCAATTTCCAACTTGACAACTGTTAGGAGCTTGTGGTCAAGAACTGGAAGTTGACAAATAGCTCTGAACTCCGTAGTCTGTCAAAATGTCGATAATGCAAGTTTTTTTGGGTAGTGTAGGGACAATTATTAGTGTGTGAACTGCATTATTTCACATATGATAGATAGGCTCTTGTGATTAAATCCTTGTCACACATGGTGTAACAATGTAATATAATATAATTGAACTGGCAAACATTTCAGAACAAATTTGCTGGCACATACGGCATTGACATGGATACCGAGACATGGACAAAATAAAAATCATTCATCATTTCCCTTTCAGATTGTTATACTGTATTCTGATTGGTCACAAACTGATAATGCATGTCTCGCTATGCATGCATGAATTTGAGAAACATAGAAGATGTTCAGTTTTCTAATATTTCATTTAGCAATGCATAATTGTAAAATTACCAATTAAAATATACTTTTTATACATATCTTCATTTTAAAGCATCACCCATTATTCATGAGGTAATGCTGTGGAATCTAGGCAGTGGCTCTAATTGGAAATTATTTTTGTCAATATTTTATACTTTCTCATTAAAAGCTGAAAACAACAATATTGTTGATTATCATTTCACTATCATATTCCTCACTCTCTGATTGGTCCATGTCCTACAAGTGACTAAATCACCACGTGAGCTAAAAATAACAAGCAATATTCAATAGAAGTCACTTGACTTCCATTGAATATCAAATGATATTCACCAGTCATGGCTTAGTCCCATGTAATTTCAATTTCATATAGCCTGGGAGTACATTGTTATTATGATTAGACATCAATACTTTGTTGTTCCATTAATGTGAGTGAGGAATATAACAGTGAATAATAAAACAAATGTTTAATTCTATTTTCAGTGAATACCTGTGACACGTATGAAAGATGCACAAGTATTCACCTCAATAGAATTAAACATTTGTATCATTTTTTTTATTTAAATAGTCATTGGTTTCAATATTTTCAAGCAAAGGAGTAATATTTTAGCAACTTTCCAAATCAAAGAAAATCTTTACAAAATGTGGCAACAGAATTCAGCTTGGTCAAATTATCCTTTAGACTCTTGCGTGGTATTTGTTTCCTTGTTCTCAATACACCATCATGACACAGGATGGAGCAAGATGCACAGTAATATTTAGGTTTCCATAGCAACAAGTTGCTTCATTGTAAAACACATGCCTCTGATTTATCACCAGTCCGGTGTGCAGCTTTAGCAAAACAAATAGCTTCCATCCAGCTATTTTGAATATCTTCAGTCTCTGCACATATGTAATACACCCTACTACTGTCCTTCTGTTTAATACTAAAGGAAAATTGTTTGCCATCAATGTCTGTCTCTGATATTTGTGCTCCATCCAAGGAAATCTTTTTGGGCATATTCTGCAAGTACATAATTTTTACCATTATATGAATGAATAATAATTAGGAATTTGAATTTCTCCAGAAAAGTATGAAACAATCAAAGCATCAATTGCTATGATGAGACAAGAAGTTCTGTTTTAAATATGAAGAAATTTTCAAAATATGGAATTTCTTTAAGATTTTTTTTATTGATCTCCCTCTTAGAAAATTGGTGCTCATATCCAAAATGTCAAATAATAGATGTAATATTATATTGTTTGGGTAGGCTAGAAGGGTGACATGACCTGGTACCCGCTTCCTGAAACACAATCTTCCAGGGGTAGTTTAAGGCAATTCATAAATCATAAGACAGACTGCTTTGAAGATCTGCTTCATTTGTTTTCAATCTGAACAGACCATAGCAGAACATCTATATTTTATCTAGAGATCTGTGTTTATTATGCTTTACAAAAGTCAATTTACAAGGAAAAGCAGTTAAATACCTAAAATATCCATCAATTTATTGTATGTTACTAGGATGTATTTGTTGTTGCTTTGTTCTGATTCCTCATATGGGCCCAAGTGATACACAAAGTACTTTGTGGAATGGAAATTTTGCTTCGAGGGCGATCGAAAAAAATCCATATTTTGAAGATTCCCAAAGGAGTTGGGTAAACTAGCAACAGAGAGTGCCCCAATTGAAGTGTGAAAAAACTTTTTTTAAGAATAGGAGAAAAAAACATCAGAAATGCATAGATTGAAGTCTATATTTTTGGGTAGTATTTTTTAAAAAATTTAGAAAAAATTGTTACGGTGTCTGGAGACCTTCAAAGAGGGTGGGGGCCAGAAGGAAAAAAATTCACATATTTTGCAACCCTCTTGATGAATTCCAATTTACTCAGCTATGAATGAATGTTTTTGATTTATCTGTCCAGGATTATGTAAATATATATTTATTTGATCCATACATACAATTGATTTAAACAATATGTACAGTTTAGAGGTAAGTAAAGCTTTGAAAGGACATTTAATGCTGTGTCTGGGTGACATTTTTATTCACTGGAGGTAGTAATCCTTTGAGTGTTTTCACATCAGGCCCGTAAGACACTTTTCTCCAAGGGGGGTGCGGTTTTAACTAAAGAGAAAATAAAGTTGTCAATTTTTTGCCCCGTAAATCAAATTGAGGAAGTCAAAGGGGGGGGGGGGGGGGGGGGGTCAGCGGGGGGGGGGTCAGTTACTCCCTATATTGGGGCCACTCAGCTTATTTTGTAGTATCTTACAGTATTGTTTTCATATTGTTTTTAGACTAAATATTGTATGAGCAATTTGGAGAAACGCTGTAATATGGGGAGGGTGTACTCCAAGGGCATAAATCCCGAGAACTTTTACCAGTTCAAGATCACATTCAGTGATTTCTGGACCCTTTCAAGGTATTTTAATTGAAATAGAATCTATTTATAAGATATTCAGATTGTTTCGATCATTTTCTTCTTAGGGGAGCGAGGGGGCAGCAAGGAATTCAAGATGCTCTCTGGTTAATTCTGAGCACTTTTAATGTGTTTGAGTAAAAAAAAATACTTTAGTTTTTGGGGTGCGCTGCCAGAAATTTTTATGATTTCATAATGTCACTTGTTGACTTCTAGGTACTTTTAAAGTGTTTAAAATCAACAAATGCAACTTCCAAACTTGTGAGGAGTGACCCACTCCCCCTAGAAAATTTTACACTTTTGAGATCTTATTTGGTGCTTTCTGGGCAATTTTAACGTGAATGAGTCGATAAAAAATGTGAATTTTTCTTCAAACTCTTTTTGGGGGTATCAAAGAGAATGAGAGGGTGAAGTGGGATGGAGTGCCAGAGGGGGAGCAAAGGTTTGTCCCCAAGAAACATTGACCATATCAAGGTGCCATTTGATGATGTCTGGGCACTTTAAAAATGTCTGAGATAATACATGAAATTCAGAATTTTCTCTATTGTTTGGTAGGAGATGTGAGGGGTGGCCAACTCTTCTAGGAAATTTTACAATTTTAAGATGATATTTGGTGCTTTTGGGCACCCTTTAAGTGTATGACTCAATCAATAAAAAACAATTACATTTTTTCAATTTTGGGGGGTTGTTAAAGGGGGGAGCCAGAGGGGGAGGTGGGATAAGGGTGCCAGAGGGGGAGCAAGTGTTTGTCCCCCATATCTGCCCCCCAGAAACATTGACCATATCAAGGTGCCATTTGATGATGTCTGGGCACTTTAAAAGTGTCTGAGACAATGCATGAAATAAATTCAGAATTTTTGTCAATTGTTTTGTTGGGGATGTGAGGGGTGGCCTACTTCCCTGGAAAATTTTACAACTTTAAGATGTTATTTGATGCTTTCTGGGCACTTTCGAAGTGAATGACTCAATAAAAAATATGAAAAAAATCACAATATTTTGGGGGATGTTAAGGGGGAAGGGGGAGGTGGGGTGGGGATGCAAGAGGGCGAGTTAGTGTTAGTCTCCCAGAATCATTGACTATATCAAGGAGCTATTTGATGATGTCTGGGCACTTTACATGTGTCTGAGATGATACTTAAAATAAATTCTAAACTTTTCAATTGTTTTGTTTTGGGTGTGAGGGATGGCCCACTCCCCCTAGAAAATTTTACAATTTTAAAACGCTCTCTGGGCACTTTCAAAGTGTATGAGTCAATCACAATTTTTTCAATTTTTTTGGAGGGGTGTCAAGGGGGGCGGGGTGCCAGAGGGGGAGGTGGGGAGGGGTGGGGATCCCGAGGGGGAGCAAGTGTAAGTCCCCCAGAACCGTTTACTATATCAAGGAGCTATGTGATGATGTCTTGGCACTTGGGCACTTTAAAAGTGTCTACAATACATAAAATAAATTCAGAACTTTTCCATTGCATTGAGGGGGGTGTGAGGGATGGCCTACTCCCTCTAGGAAATTTTACAATTTTAAGATGCTATTTGGTGCTTTCTGGGCACTTTAAAAGTGTATGAGACGATGAAAAAAAATTAATCTACCAAAAAAAATATTTTTCAAAAAAAAAATTTAAAATTTTTTTTTTTAATTTTTTGGGGGTGTCAAAGGGGGGTGCGGTCGCACCCATCGCACCCCCCCATCTGACGGCCCTGCACATAGAGCATAACAAGTCTCCACTCTAATAAGTGCTTCTTTAGTTACATAAATGTTATATTGTTGCATACAAAGAATAATTTTGATGGAGACTTATTATGCTCGATGTGAATTTTAGAACTTTATAGAAAATTTTGCCTGCCATTTTTGTTGATTATTCAAAATGGCCAAATGCTATTCATGCTGCATATGTAGGAAGCAGGTAAATTCTCCTAGAAAACGGAGAAAGGTTACAGAAGATTTAGCTTCACAAGTCAAGACTATTGCAACTAATAATAGAAGTGATATTGAGGTAATATAAGCTTGATTTGGGAGGAGATTGTTGTGATATTAGGTTGATATCAGAACTTATATTTTTTGATATTGCTTATGTAATGGCAATATGTTGGTAATTGGGCAGATATAAAGTTAATATTGGATTGATATTTGTCAGAAATTGCTATCGAATTGGGCTTATATTTGGGTGATATTGCTATAATATTGGGCTAATATTTGGGTGATATTGGATTGATATTGGGGTGATATCGCTATCATATTGGGTCCATTATTTGGCTCATATTTGGCTGATATTGCTATAATATTGGGTTAATATTTGGGTGATATTGGATTGATATTGGGGTGATATCGCTATCATTTTGGGTCCATTATTTGGCTCATATTTGGCTGATATTGGATTTACAGTGGGATAATATTGCAATCAGAATAATTGGGTGATATTTGGTAAATAAGAGGGTTGATATTGGACTGTCACTTAAATAATATGAGGCCAATACTTGGGTTATTTTGGATTGACAAAGAGTGACATTTGATTGACAATTGCTTGATGTTGCTATAATATTAGGACATTATCTGGGTCATATTTGGGCGATATTGAATTGGGTGATATTGCTATTGAATACATAGAGGTTATATAATGGGAGGGATGGAATATGAATTTTATCCTGAGGGAAAATATGATATTGGCAGAGGAAAATCATGAAATGTACATTCTGAATTTAAATGAATTAAAAATAATAAAGTATTTTCATTATTTTAGGTACTTTTGTTCTCTTTCAGTGTTGCGTGGGAAGGGCGGAATATATTAATATAAATATCTCATTATTGGCAAATTGCCAATTTACTATATATTGTAATTCCAACCTCTATGAGACTAAATTCCTACAGATATTTGTGATATTTTAACCAAAAAGGTATATTTTGGTAGAAAATAATGAATTTTTTTAATTTGACCTTGACCTGGGGAATATGACCTTGACCTAAATTTTCATACATTTTTGAAACACATATATCACATAGATTAATAAAATAAAGAGAAAACTTGAAAATCAGGTGGGGCTTAAAATGGCCTTGTTTACCCAACTCCTTCCCGGGAAACTACATGAATACTAGTATTTAAGGAGCTTTTCGTTCAGTGCTCGACTTCCGGTTTGCAATTTGTGATGAGTCAGATGAGATTAGTTTGGACCGAAAAATCAACGATTTTAAATGCTACCGTGATTTTGTGATTAGTCAGATGAGATTACAGTAGTTTGGACCAATACCATGTGTGTTAGAAGTCTTACATTTTGATAATTCCTCTGTCATGTCCATTATTCATTCTTCTGCCATAAATTATAAAATTTCTAATGCATTTCGCTAATTTGATTTTTTAAAGATTAATCTTCATTTCGCTAAAATTTCCCGCGCTAAAACCCCCTAAAATTGAAAGTCAAAATTACCCGTTTTACAGTAATAGCTTTCCCACGGCGCACTTGGACAGCTGAATAATAGTGACCTTTAAAACATCAATAAAGATTTCCACGGCTTACTTTTGGTCTCTAACTGTGTCTTACATCAGTATTATCAATCCGTGCAAGTATTGGAGCGCTGAAATACTTCTTTTTCGATCAAGACTTGTAAATTGTTCATCGAGTGAACGTTTTTTCGACCCATTTCCAATATGGCGGTTTGCTAGGAGCGAGATACCCAACGAACGAAATGAATTTTGGGAATGAGTTAGGTTCGGACAACTTCCGGAGATGTACGAAAACGCCACATTGGAATTTGGCAGTAAAAACATTCACTCCACTTACAATTACAAGTCTTGACCGAAAAGGTAGTACTCCAATACTTGTACGGAAGAATGATAATGATGTATGACATAGTTAGAGAACAAAAGTAAGCCGCTGATGGACTTAATTCGTGTTTCAAAGGTCACTATTATTCAGCTGTCCATTTCTCCGTTTGAAAGCCATAAGTTTCAAAATCTAACATGGCTCTCAAAGTGAGTAAGGCAGAGGGTAGTTTATAACAGGTTCACACATCGCACAGGGTAGAGAAACCTAGGCATTCACTCTTAAAAGGTGGCTGGTGTGATTCACTGATAAAATATATTATAATGAGCAAAAACCATCCCACAATTACTTCCTGCGAAAGCTATTTGGATTTTGATATAACTTAATAGCTTTCCCACAGAGCATTTGGACAGCTGAATGATTGTGACCTTTGAAATCGAATTAAGTCGATCCGCGGCTTACTTTTGGTCTCTAACTGTGTGTTACATCAGTATCATCAATCCGTGTAAGTATTAGAGCGCTGAAATACTTCTTTTTCGATCAAGACTTGTAAATTGTTCATCGAGTGAATGTTTTTAAACCTATTTGAAGTATTTCCAATATGGCGGTTTGCTAGGAGCGAGATACGCAACGAACGAAATGAATTTTGAGAATTAGTTAGGTTCGGACAACCTCCGGAGATTTACGAAAATGTCCGAGCAGAAAACGCCATATTGGAATTTGGCAGTAAAAACATTCACTCGACTAACAATTACAAGTCTTGATCGAAAAGGAAGTACTTCAGCGCTCCAATACTTACACGGATTGATGATACTGATGTAAGACACAGTTAGAGACCAAAAGTAAGCCGCGGATCGACTTAATTCGATTTCAAAGGTCACTATTAATCAGCTGTTCACTTCCCCGTTTGAGAGCCATAAGTTTCAAAATCTAACATGGCTCTCGAAGTGAGTAATCCCACAAGTGGTTGGAGTGATTGAAAACTGGGCTAAAAAATAGACAATAGAGGAAAGTTCTTCATTTGAATCTCACCTGTTCAGAATCGCCATAAAACATGTCTAATTTCTTCAAATGGAACCACTGTTTTATCCATTTATGAGAAATTTTGGTACGTTTCAGAAGCCATCCAGATTTATCTGTTGTTTCGAGTTCTTCATTGGCATCATTATGAGTGCTAGGATCACTTTTTTCATCGATTTGTGCTGAATTATTTTGATCTCCATCAGCCATTTTGATGCTAATGAAAAAGAGGCTTTACTTTGTGATAGTCGCAAAAGATAAATAAACAAAAGCACGTGGGTTTGACACGCCCATTTTTAAAGCCACTCGTTAGTTGTAAAATTATAAATTTATTTTACATGTCACTGGCCGACTCAGTGTGAATAAAAGAAAAATTATAACAACAGTTGTGGATTTGAGAATCAGACCACAGATCCATGTCTGTTTTAGCATGGACATATATTCCATGGTTTTAGCAAGGACCATGGAGTTTCTTTAAAGCACAGACATTCAGAAATAAAAGTGCTCACAATTTACACTTTCATAATATCCATATAAAACTAGTACACAAAGAACACTGCATGAACACTTTGCATTCATTTCACTTCGCTTCTTGAAAGTCTGTTGAAAGTTCATTGTTTATATATCTAGAATGCGGCCTCAGCACAGGATACATAAAGAGATAGAAAATGACCAGAGACTTGGAAAAATCATGCAGAATGTGTTTTTTCCTCCTCTTTGATTCCCTCTTTGATTAAGGGATGTGTCCAGTTATCAACGGTCATAAAAAAACTAAGTAATTTTCCCCCATCATGAAGTTTGATTTGCATTTTTCTGATATTTTCAGGCAGATCTAACTGATTTGCTTACTAAATGTCAAAAATAAGAAAAAACTCAAACCAGGCCAGACTCACATCAATAGGGATAGTAACGGTTTGACCCCCCTCTTCTCAGGGAGTAAAATGATCGATGACTCATGATCCTCTAAACAAAATGTTAGAATGTTGAATTAATTGTCTTTCATTAATTTTCTTTCATGATTTAAGCCCTGGACTTGGAAACAGCGCCTGGGAGGAATGGTCATTACATAATGCTAAATTTTGGCTTGAATTCTTTTAACACATTGCAAAATATTTTCTACAAAATCATATAAAAGATAAAAACCACCAAAATAGACAAAAAGAATACATTTTCAATGAAACATTTTGCAAGGGTCAATGAAATGTCTTGCAAGGGTCAAGCTGACAAAGTATCACTTTTAATCTTTAAAGTCCAGTCATCACCATGACAACCGTTTTACTACTGACCTTGAGTCCGTTATTGGTTATATAATGGAATCCAGTTATGTGAAATAGCGTGTTCTGATTGGCTGGGATAGGACATACCTTGCCTAGCACTTAAATTTGAATATAAACAATCATTTACCCCACCCCCTTAACAAGACTTACTTCTTTATTCCCAAATCGTTGATAATATTGGACAATGTCCTTAAGTCAGTTACATCAGTTATAAGAAAGTCCATTGTTACATTCATATTCCTGTATGATAAAAGAGGGGCTTTAAAAATTACGACATAGCTCGTCAATCAACAGGTGGTCACGTGATTTTTGATTAAACGGAAGTTTAGAAGTATGGAATAAGAGTAGAACACAGATTTAGTCCTGTTTCTTCACAATTGTAGTGTTTCAAGAAGCAAGGATGGCTTCCGACACTGGTGGAAGTAACGAACTCCATTTCTACATGCAGATTGGCCTCTCTAGAGAGTCAGTGAGAGTGGAAGGAGGAGATCTTACAATGACGACCATCAAGGAAATTGCCTGTACTTTCGTCGACAGAAAGGTGAGATCAAATTTCAACTTTCTTTCCCTGCTGCACATTCAGTGCTCATTTGTAGCATTGATACAATGATGGGGATGTCTGAATTGAACTAACCTATGTTCAACGCTATATAACTTCCAATGGCATGCAGTAGTTGGGCAGTTAGATGAAAATGAATGTGACACATGATTGTTGAAAAATAACTTACACAGCCAGATATAGGTCATTTGTATTATGCTCACTTACTTTGTCCTGGTTTGTCTCATTCATCATTTTGCAAATGCGTATCCCAAGAGATCAGTTCAATGACGGATCAAGAAATTACAATCCATTTTATCATCATCACATTATACTCTGAAATAAAATATAAATCCAGGTACCTAGTTAATATGAATTGTAGTCTGGAAGGATGGTGTGGGTGTGACCAATATTTATGTTTTTGAGTGAATCATAGATGTCCATAACAACAAATAAATAAATGACAGTCATAGCTTTAATGAAATCTATTTTAACCATACTATGAGTATAATAGATTCAGACTTGGGGATTTCATCTGTATCTTTCATTTGACATGTAGACATGAAACTGATATATGAAAAACACGTACTGTAGATCATCTTCACATACTTAAGATAGATATAAAGGTTTAATAATGCTATAATCTGATATTAATCAGAAGCATGAATTATGAGCTATTGTTGGTGAAGGTATGAGGTGACCTGATCGGATTAAGTTGCCTTTAAATGTCAATCACTGGTTAATATTAGGATGAATGTTGGCTATATAGATTTGAAATCTCTTCAATTTACTTATTTAACCACCAAGAACTCGTATTTTCTCCCATGTGATGACATATTTGAGTTCTGTGCTGTTCTAGAAGAATTTTGGCTTATACAGTCATTTATTCAATTTTCCAGGATTCTCATCTTTGCTGAAAAATGTTGGGCTAGATCCTCATTTACACATTTGTTAAAATATTTATTCTTTTCAGAATCACAAGTTTAAGAAAAAAAACACAACATTTGTGTCATTTAATCTAGTTGTATTGCAATTGGAGTTATTTGATCCAATCAGAAATATTTGAGAAATCAAGAAATAACTAGATTTTGGTATCTAGCCTGACCAACACAAGTGCTGCCATCTATTAATCCATATATAGTAACTGGTCAAATACATCAAAACAGATAAAGTGAACCTTAGATATTAATAGTGGTCGGACTCGCCTGAAAATCTCTACTTGAGTGGGCCATGAAAAACCAAGATTATATTCGCGATTTGACTTAGTTGAGTTACTTCCGGTTTCAGTTTCCCAAGTAGCGACAGAATTCATCAATTTGATCAAGTCTTTCAAGTGCCTCTATACTTTTTATTGTCTAAATCGTATTGCACATCCCTATTCCCGGCTGTTGGATATTCCCAGAATGCATCAAACCGGAAATGAAACTTTTGCATAAAAATAACGAATGCAGAATAAAATCCAAGTATGTTTGTCTTCCCGCACATGGCATTAAATAGAAAATAAGTTGTATTCTATACAGATTAAGCAGAACATTACAACTATAAGCATGGAAATTGCGAATAGCACTGGGGATGAACTGGAAACGAGGGAGGTTTTGCCTCGTATCAAAATGGCGGCGCGTGAAAAAATTTCATTCGGTAAGATTTTTGTTTTTTACAATTTTCGTGCTTTTATCCTTCAAATTAAAACTTAATATTTGGCAAGTAAATAGTTCATAAGTTCCGGTTTTATAATATGATTACAAATTAGAAATCAATACTGGCATTGCTGAGATATTTACATATCAATTCTCTCACTTAGGAAACGAGGCATGTTTCTCAAGGAAACGAGGCAGCTATATAGCATTCTTAAGAATGAAACGAGGCAACCATATTTAATTAAAAATGTTTTGTTTTTACAGAACGGGGCCTATAAAAAGAAGCGTCCCTGTTCATTTAAAATCACCATGTGGCATGTATTTTTAGTTTATTTCCTTCAAAATTAGTTTTTACAGTTATTTTAAAGAAAAAAATCATCCCGTCCCTCATCAGCATTTTAGATAGACAAAAAGGTAATATAAAAACCGTCATTCCCGTATCAATTTTGAAAAATAGAAGAAAGAGAAACAACTAAAATAATTACCCTGGCATAACATAAAATTTATATGTATATCTATGTCATCAGTCTATACATGCGCGTATAGTGATACATTTGAACAAGATGGTTCTGGAAAGAAATGAGCGTGGCAGATTTGCTAAAAAGCCACATACACCACGAAAGCAAGACCAATTTGAAAGTAAGTTCATTATTCTCAAGGGTACACTTCAAGTGAAAGCTACATTGCTACAGGGTGGCCTATCATTCTGAGACAAATGTATTATCCAACGATTGTGATTTTCGAAGCTAAAATATGATATCTTGAGCAGATGGAAATACATTCCCATGAGATATGTATATATAGTAAAAAGTGATAACTATTTATTGAGTGTAATGAAATGTATCCTTCGCTAACTGCTTTTGTTTGAGATAATTATCATAAAATATTTTTAGATTAATTTTTATGTGTGTCATTGATCCTAATCCACCCTGTAGTCTGGTGTTTGTAGAGCATTGCACCTCGTACAACTTATTCTCACAAATATCAGACCTCAATTAATTTTTTGTGTGAATGTGAAGAGTTCAAGCATTGCTTTTTTATGTTTACTGTATAGCTATATTTAGCCTTGATATCCATGATTTATTAAAACAAAATCTCACCGTTAGATTTCGAGCTATTCACGTTTACTCATTTTTCTAATTGGAAAACAATGCAAATCTCATTTTTTCAAAGGAAAAAAATTGAAATTCTAAGACGGTGAAAAATCATTAAAAAATACACAGATTCAGAATCCGGCAAGCATTTTCCCTTATTCCTCTCCGTTAAGAAGTTTTGTAAGGTGGTGGATCCCTGTAACTCTTACATATATAATCATGTATATCGTGTAAAACGTAATCTGTCGTATGTAACCAGAACGGTGGAAATAAGATCATTAAATGTAGACACTATCACAGAAAGAATAGTTGCCTCGTTGCAAGTCAAACATTGCCTCGTTTCATTGTTACAAAATGTAGACAGGTGCCTCGTTTCCTAAGTGAGAGAATTGAAATGTAAATATCTCAGCAATGTCTGTATTGATTTCTAATTTGCAATCATATTATAAAACCGGAACTTATAAACTATTTACTTGCCAAATATTAAGTTTTAATTTGAAGGATAAAAGCACGAAAATTGTAAAAAACAAAAATCTTACCTAAAGAAATTTTTTCACGCGCCGCCATTTTGATACGAGGCAAAACCTCCCTCGTTTCCAGTTCATCCCCAGTGAATAGGAGAGACGAATCGCGAGTCAAGGTAAGGTGAAAATGAGTGAAAAATATTTTTTTGGTAAAAATTTCAAATCGTGAGTTCAAGTTTTCTAACCTTATCCCGTTCCCGGACTATAGTCCTGCACTGATCGCATTCATTTGCCTGTACGATTACAACTTGGGAGAATTATCTACGCCCCTTACACTTAAGATACCTACCTCAATGCATTATAGAACTCAAGATGTAACTTCTAATATATTGGAACCGCCGATTGTCTGGGTATATCGGCAGAACGGGAACATTTTCTCTTTTTCATCGAGAGAGATTCCATCACTTTTCAAAATGGCGGTTGGATTTAAAAGGGGAATCCCCCGTTTGGCTGTCCCGGATGTAGCCCGGAAGTACCAATATGGAGGAATTTGACGGTTGAAATAAGTTAAATGTTACACGCAAATATTGCGATCAAAAACAAAAATGTCTTCGTTCTGCCGATAAACCCAGACAATTGTGGATTCAACTACACGAAAAGAATGCTAAATTACCAAGGAATCTATTGAAGTAGGTATCTGAAGTGTAAGATCAGTAAAAAATTCTCCCATGTTGTAATCGCACAGGCAAAAGATTGAGATGTTCACAGGACCATAGTCCGGGAACGGGATAATTCTAACCGATCAATTGATTTTTAGGACAAATGCGAGTAAAACTCGAGTACACGAGTCAGTCTTCCAACCACTAGATATTAATATAAATTTATTTGTATATAATTAAAACTAAATGGTCTCATTAACTATATCCCTTTCTCTGAACAGAAGCTTTTCTTTGATCTCTATCTTAATGTAATAAGGGAGTCAATATAGAGTCTGAGCAGATTTGAGAATTGTTGCCTATCTCAAGTTAAGAAGAAAAAGTATCCTATAAGTAGAAATATCTATTAAGTTGAAATATCCAATTCGATATGCATTGAATAGGAAATGAAGATTTTACCTAAAGGATAATGTAATAACCATGAAATTCATCGTATAGATTTATAGGTTTATTAGATAAATATTTTCTAATATCTCGACCATGCCTGTTAATGTGATAGTCATCAGAAAATTGTTACTGAATATACAATAGAATCTGTGTAAGTAGAACACCTTTGGCCACAAAAAAGTGTTCCACTTATGTGGTGTTCCACCTACAGAGGTGTTCTACTTAGCGGGTTCTAGTGTATATTAAGAATAAGAATTTCAAGCTTAAAACAAAATATCAACTTTGATTTCAGCCATCAATGATAATGGTATTCAATATCCTGTTATTCAGATAAATGATTCAGATAGACATGTACTGATTTAATTTATAGTTATTTTATATGTCAGTATTTGTTTCTTCAATAAATCAGATGGTATAATATGATAAGATATTCAATATTAGTAAAAGATTCACATTTGTTGTTTATTTAAAGTGCTGTATTTTCGAGTCACACTAGAGCATTTATTTATATAATAAATAAACATTCTTGTGTGACTTGAACTCGAGCACTTTAATCAACAAATGTGCATTTTTCTCTTCCCTTATAATTTGCTTGCATGATGCCATTTACGAGGTGAACAATTTTAAAAAGCCTTTGCTTTTCTAGGAATTAAGCCTTTGTCAATTGCATTCAGTTGTGAACAGAAGGTATATATATTAGGGGCG